ATATATAAAACAAAAGGGCTGGGGAGTGTGCTACAAATGGTAGAGGCCTTGCCCTGGCTTATTTATTTTTATTTTTAGTGGTACTGGGGTTTGAACTCAGGGCCTCACACTTGCTAGGCAGGCGCTCTACCAGCCCACTATCCCCATTTTAAACATGAGAAATAGGAGGCACAGAGAGAGTAAATAACTTGCCCAAGATCACAAGACTTCTGAGTAGCACTACTCAAGCCCAAGCACTATGGCTTCAGGCAAGTCCATGCTTATAAACCCCAAGTTATCCTCCTTGTTCCATCTTCTGTAGACTACAGCTCTCTTCACTTTGTGACTTCTTGCTAGCAGATGGACAAGCTTGCCACTGCCACACTGGAGCCTGTGCAGGGAGGAGGGGAGGGAAGATGGCTGAGAGAGTCACCCGGGAAGAAGACATGGGTTGTGGTCACAATCTACTGAGCAGACAGGACCTGAGTCCCTAGGTACCAAGACAGCAGGACTGGCCAGGACCCCTTCCCGCTTAAGTTCTGCACTGACCAGCAGTGCGGTGGCCCTTGGGAGCATTCTCAACCGGGAATATTGAGAATTCGTGGGGCGCAGGATGCAAGATGTGACGGAGCCCCAGGGGTACTTTACCAAGTGTGTAAAGCACACAGGAACAAGAGGCTGTAGGCTCCTTCCTGGGGCAAGAGCAGCAGCTCCAGGCCATGGCTTCACACCTAACGGCTCAGTTTCCAGGAAGAGGGGACCCAGCAGATTGAAGGGCAGTGGCAGGATTGGGAGAGGACCAACACAGAGCCAGGGAGAAGGCCTGGAAGCGGGGCTCCGCCCTGGGCAGTGCAGAATTGACAAGGCTGGGGATGCCGTGGCCGCATGTCCTGGGAAACCGGCTGACCCCTGCCGTCATTTCCTCTGGAGCCAGAGAACAATGGGTCAAAAACAAGTGCAGCGGGTCGGCATTGCAGCCTCCTGGCAGCACGCTCGCACGCACGCAGGCTCCGGGGCTGAGCGGATGGCCAGCCTGCGTCCAGCGCCGCGGGGACCCCGGAGCCTGACCACCCTCTCGATCGGCGCCCCCCCTCTCCTTCTAGAGCCACCCGGTGCGCAGCAGCCTGGAGAGGCCCGAGGGATGAAGACGCGACCGCGCGGTGGGACGCCCTCGCCGCGGGATCCCGGCCGCGCCTGACGCCTGTCCCCACCCCGCGCGCAGCGGCCTGCGAGGGAGCGGCTGCCGCATGGAGCGGCTGCAGAAGGTGCGCGGGCTGCACCTGGGCAGGGCGCGGGGACCGGGTGGGGCCGCTGCCAGCCAGGGCCAGCTCGGGAGTCGACGGTGCCACCTGGTGGCCGCCGCCAGGCAGTACGCCGGGGCCCCGGAGGCCTAGGGCAGACCTGCGTCCATCCCCGCCCCCACCCCCGCCCTCGCACCCACGCACATGCCCACCGCAGCCTTCTCGCTCTCCCTAGCAACCTCTTACCTCCCCCGGGAGCGTCAGCTCCTCCCGAGACTCCAGTGTGCCCGGCTCTCCCTCCAGCATCGTGGTGAGTACCCCTGTAGGCCACCTGCACCTCCGGCTGGGCGAAGGGTGGGGCGGGACCCCGCTTCACCCAGAGCCCGGGGTGGTGGTCCTGCCTGCACTGCCCGGTGGAGAGAACCCAGACACCCAAGCAGGCTTCCCCGCTACTCCCGCACCTTCTGCTCTGGTTGCACTCAAAGGCAACAACTTAACACGATGGAGCGTTAACTTGTAAAAGTTAGCATCTTTTCTTGATAATAAATTAAGTGGCCTTCTGCACATCTGTTCCATTTGTGCCCCTTCCCTTCAGGCCAAGATGGACAACCAGGTACTGGGCTACAAGGACCTGGCTGCCATTCCCAAGGACAAGGCCATCCTGGACATTGAGAGGCCTGACCTCATGATCTATGAGCCTCACTTCACCTATTCCCTCCTGGAACGTGTGGAGCTGCCCAGAAGCCGGGAGGTGAGGGGGGCTTCTGGGCAGTGAGGGTTGCAGACCTAGGAGACAGTGGTGAGTGGAATCCCTCTGAGGCTGTTTTTCCTGAAGGCCAGCCTCACAGAATGAGCAAGTTGTGCACAGAAATCAACCCAGTGTTTGTGGAGAGCAAGCAGCCAGAGCTGGCAGCTGGGGCTCAAGGATTGGGTGTGGCCCGGAAGTAGAGAGCAGGGGCAGCCAGAGTGGGGTGTCCTGTGGGAAAAGGGTGGGAATAGCCAAAAAGAGCTCAGGAGTGCTGCACTTGGAGCTGAGGGACTGGTGTGCTGTTGTTGCTTCTGTTTCCCTTCCTGTCTCTTACTGGTGATGGCTCTACCTGTGCACCCCCACAAAGTAGCAAGGGTACCTTCCCGTACTTTGTCACTTGTAATGAAGAAAAGGGTAGTGTCACCGCCAAGCAGTGGGCCAGAACTATGGGATTTTTAGGACCTGGCCAAGGAGTCCAGACTTCATCCTTGGCTGCTTGTTCGTCTTGTTCCCGACATTCCTTGTCTGGCTTTGAGGACAGGGCCGTAGCTAGTCCCCAGCTGGCCCACAGAGCACCAGGCACACTGATCCAAGATCCTGTGCTGCTCCATGCTTCATATAGAGACTCAGGATTTGGCCTGGAGAATTCTGAGAAGAGGAATGATGCAGGCCAGACTGGGAATTAGCGAGGACCTAATTAGTGAGGACCTAAATAGCAAGAGAAAAAGAAAGTTAGCTAGGAAAGTATGTGGAGTTGGGTGGGGATTGAATGGCCCCTCTTAGGTTCTAGGGACACCAGTTTAATCCTACTTGTGACTCTAACCAGCCTCTTTTCCGTTCACAGCGCTCACTGTCACCCAAGTCCACATCCCCACCACCGTCCCCAGAGGTGAGTCTACCTCACCCCTAAAACTTGTACACCCCACTGTCATGCCCCCAACTCCCCTTCCCCCTACATGTCCAGACCAAGCTTGGCAGAGCCCAGATGATAGAATCAGCAGATTCTAGCTAGTCACTGGTCAACTCTATTCATCCGTCTGTCTGACCCAGGCTTCATTTAACCCTTTCTCCCTGGGTAGGAGCAGGTGAGGGTCTTTGAAACTCCTTGCCCTGGGCTTGGGGTGTGGGCTTTGGGGTGGGAGGACAGCGAAAAGTGGCATGAGATGAAACAGTCTACATGTGGGTTGGGGAAATGGGGATGCAGCAGGGGACTGGAAGCTGTACAATTCTGCTTTGCAGGTGTGGGCAGAAAGCCGAACCCCTGGAATCATCTCTCAGGCTTCGACCCCAAGAACCACAGGAACTCCCCGGACCAGCCTGCCCCATTTCCACCATCCTGGTAGGTGTAATTGTCAGTCTGGCTGCATCCTTTCCCTGTGACTTATTTTCTTCTTCAGGACCACCAAGCCCCTACTCTTAATCCCCTATAAACTCTTCACAGACCTGGCTGGACCCCATGATGTCAGGACCCCAGGCAAAACTCCCAGTGATGGCAGGTCTATCACCTCTTTCCTCCCACCCAACCAGAAAAGTACAGAAAGTCCCAAGACCCTAAAAGACAGTGCCAGGACCTCCAGTTCTGTCTTGGCTCTTGGCCCAGTCTATTTGGCCTACTCCATTTGTCTACATTCCCAGTGTCCCCTGCCATCATCATATCCTCCTTCTCATCTGATCTTTTTCCCTCTCTCAGAGACCACCCGCCCAGATTCCAACATCTACAAGAAGCCACCCATCTACAAGCAGAGAGGTGGGGGCTCCCCTAACTTCCCAGGGCCCTTTGTTTGCCACTTGCTGGGGACCTAGGCCATGTACTGAGGGCTGGCTGAGAGGGGGCTGGGAGAGAACAAATTTATCGAGCATGTAATATTTGCCCTGTGCTTTTTGTTGCATGTTGATTTTACATCAGGGATTTCACAGGTGTAAGGGTGCTAGGGGCTCAGGGTGGCTCAGGTTGGCCTCAGGGAGGGCTATGTGGGATCCAACTCACCTCCATCTGCAGAGTCCATGGGAGGCAGCCCTCAGAGCAAGCACCTCATCGAGGAGCTCATCATCGAGTCATCCAAGTTTCCCGCTGCGCAGCCCCCTGATCCTAACCAGCCGGCCAAGATTGAAACTGACTACTGGCCATGCCCCCCATCACTGGCTGTTGTGGGTAGGAAAAACTAGGGAGAGGACAGAGGGAGGTTAGAACCTTTCCTACTACTTTGTCTTGGCCCTTGAAGCCCTGTGAACCCAGTCCCACTCCACCCCACGCCCTGTGGCTCCTCCCAGGCTTTCTGCACCTTAAAAAGCCCCTTGGCTCCGTGCTCTCCATTCCCTTCATCCCTGTCATGCTGCTGTGAGGGGCCCATCCTTTTGTTGTTTTTTTGTTTATTTGTTTTTGAAACAGAGTCTCATTGTGTAGCCCAGGCTGTCCTTGAGCTCCTGATCTCCTGCCTCAACCTCCCGAGTCTGGGATTGATTGTAGGCGTGCACAACCAAGCCAAACGAAAGGGCCCACTTCGTAGTCACTCCTTCTCTTTTTGTTCATGTATTTGGTGACTCAGTAGACATTTCTTTTTTTTTTTTTTTTTTTTTTTTTGTCAAAAGAAAAAGATGAGAGTTTATTGGAGCCCAGATAAAGTCGACTGAGCACATCCAGGCCATGGAAGGTGTGCATGTCAGTAGACATTTCTTAAACTTCTGCTATGTCTTAGACCCTATGATAGGAGCTCTGGGAGAGAGAATAGTAAGGGAGAAGGTCTTGGTCCCCAGTGAATTTAAGTCATGTGTGTTTCCTACACAGCTTCACAGCAAGAAGAGGAAATGTTACTCTTATTTTACTATTATTGTTGATTTTAGTTTTTGGTGTGGGGTATTGAACCCAGGGCCTTGCACATGTGCTATCAATGAATTACATCCCCTACCCCTTATTTTATTTATTTTTTTTTGAAGGCACTGAGATTTGAACTCAGGGCCTCATGCTTGCTAGGCAGGCGCTCTTACCACTTGAGCCATTCCTCTAGCCCCCCCACTTACTTTATTTTTAAAAAGGATTTGTAACACTGAATGTGGAGGTGTGTGCCTGTAATCCCAGCTACAGCTACATGGGAGACTGTAGCAGGGGGATCCCCTTTTTTTTTTGGCCATACCAGGTTTGAACTCAGGGCTTCACACTTGCTAGGCAGGCACTCTTTCACCTGAGCCCCTCCACCAGCCCTTTTTTGTGTTGGGTTCTTTCTGAGATAGGGTCTCAAGAAGTATTTACCCAGGGCTGGCTTCGAACCTTGATCCTCCTTATCTCTACTCCTGAGTAGCCAGGATTATAGATGTGAGCCACCAGCGCCCCGCTTCAAAGCTGTCTTTGACAACTAGCAAGACTCCATCTCTAAAAATATGATATTAAATAAATATTATAGTATATTAAATACACACTATAAAATATAAAAGTAAAACAGAATTTGTAGTGTTCTCTTTGAGGTCCATTCAGCACCTGAGAAGTGCTCATTGCATAAGCAGCCAATTGACTGCTCTTCCTCTTGTGCGTGTCTCCTAGAGACAGAATGGAGGAAGAGGAAGGCATCCCGCAGGGGGGCTGAAGAAGAAGAGGAAGAGGAAGACGATGACTCTGAAGAGGAGATTAAGGCTATGAGGGAGCGTCAGAAAGAGGAGCTCAGTAAGGTAGCATATTCTCCCATCCCCACCCCTCCTGCCACACACACACCTGTATCTTTGGGAGCAAACATTCTGTTCCCATAGATACTCTAAAGTGTTCCTCCAGAAGAGCACCTGTGTAAGAACAGGTGAAAATGTCTCTCCTTTTCCAGGATCCTGAGGTGCCACTTTTGAAGGGACATCTGGCCTTCAGGCTGCTTTGGGGGAATGATGTTATAGTCAAAAGCACAGAGAAGGGCAGGCCCACTAAGGCCAGGCTTCAGCAGACTGGACAGGAAGGGGAAGGAGACTATGGGCTATGATCCGGGGGAGGGGAGACAGGTGAGAGTCATGGAAGGCCATTGCTGGTGACATGGGTTTGTTCTCTGGGCATGGTGACCTGGAACAGGGAGGCCATTGTCACAGAGTTCCACTGAGCAGCTCTGACGAACCTAACTTGGCTTTGTGTAGATAAGAGCCAGGGGCTCGGTGGGCCCCAGGCATGAACCAGCCACCTGAGAAAACCATCCCTAGACCTGAGGGTACCCAACTCTGGACTTTTTGGAGATGGGAATGGAATATCTAAGTTTCAGCTCCCTTTTCATCTCTCTCGCCTCAGGTTACTTCCAACTTGGGAAAGATGATTTTGAAAGAAGAGATGGAAAAATCATTGCCCATTCGGAGGAAAACCCGCTCCCTGCCTGACCGGACACCCTTCCATACCTGTGAGTGCCCTGGAAGGGGCTCAGGACCTCCTGGACACACATGCTCCCCTTATGGCAAAAATATCAATCATGGGCCAGCAGTAGGTGGGAAGAGAGACCAGCACAAGTAAGGTTGGCAAGTTTTCAAGATTTACCTAGCACTTTCTAGGGGTCTGCCATGTCCCAGGCACTAGAGCCTCTGTGAGTGAAAAATACAACCTTGCCCTCCAATAGCTTTCTGGTTGATGGGGAAAACTGACATGGAACCTGGATTTCAGAGCAATGTGACAGGTGTTGGGATAGAGGGCACAGCAGGTGTCTTAAGGGGCCTGAAGCTAAACTGTGTCTTGGAGAGACAAAGTGAGTGAAGAAGAAGGTGGTTGCAGACTTTGGGACAGTGTGGGAATAAGGTTAGGGAGCTTGAGAAACCTGGCAGTTCAGAGAACAGCGAGGAGCCAGGATCCCAGAGCACACCTTATATTAAGACAAAGATGGGTGCAATGTGCCAGAGTTTTGAGTGCTGTGCTCTGGTTACTCCAGCTCTAGCCTGGACTTCCCTAGAACATAGTGGCTGGAGAGAGGAGGGAGAGAGCTGGGAACCCCAAAATGAGAGCTATAGGCCTCTTTAAAGCTTGGCCTCAGAAGTCACACCATGTTACTTCTGCTGCATTCTTTTGGTCAAAGCAGGTCACCAGGCAGCTTAGACTGAAGGTGGTAGGGAGATAGGCTCTGCTTCTTGATGCAAGGAACCAAGTACAAGATCTCATTGCAAAGGCAAGCAGGATGCAGTAGAGATAGGGGCCATGTTTGGAAACCACCAGCCACTCTCCAGTAGTTTGAGTGTCACTTTTCCATCACCATAATGAAATACTTGAAGAGGGCTAATTTTATAGAGAAAAGAGGTTTATTTAGTTCACAGTTCTGGAGGATCATGCACCTGTACCTGGTGATTGCCTTCTTGTTGACAGTCTTGAGTGGCATAAGTAATACATGGCAAAAGAAAGGAGTATGGGTGTATATCTGGTCTATATCTTTTTTTCTTGTTGTTTTTATATTTTTATTAGCATATATTAGTTGTACAGGGGGTTTCATTATGACATACGACATTTACATATGTGCTTACAATGTACTCCATCATTCTCTCTCATCGCTCCCCCACTTCTTAGAATCATTTCAACAGTTTTCATTGTTCTATTTTCATGTACAAAAGTACATCAGCCATATTCACCCTCTCTGTTTAACCCTCCCAAACTCCCTTTGGTACCCATCCCCAAAGAGGACCTGTTTTACCTTTTTTGGTAAGTGTATATTAATTGTTCAAAGGAGTTTCACCAGGGTATTTCACCCATGTATATTGTACTTTAAGCAGATTAACCCACTCTATTACTTCCTGTTCCTCTATCCCCCCAGGTTCCCTATTAGTCAGCAGCTTTCATGTGTTTCGTTACACCATCTTCCTAAACAGATGCAATGTATTTCAGTTTTTTTTTGGAGTCAGCATTTCTCTGTGTAGCCCAGGTTGTCCTTGAACTTGAGATCTTCTTGCCTCAGCCTCTTGAATGCTGGGATTACAGATGTGCACCACTTCCAGCCCTGGTCTCCACTTCTTTTTTTTTTTTTTTTAATGGTACTGGGGGTTGAACCCAGGGTCTTCCATTTGCTAGATGCATGCTTTACCACTTGTGCGACACTCTCCAGCTTCTCTCCCGCTCCTCTGTCTTCTAAAGCCACCAGTGTTCAACTGTGGAGGCTGATAACTTTATAAGTCCTAATGAGCTTCCAAAGGCCCCACCTCTAAATATCATAATTGGATTAAGTTCCCACCCTCTTGGCACCTCACAGTGGGGGTTAGTGTTCAACATTTGAAGCACTGGGGGACACACTCAGACGGTGTCCAAGCCATAGTACTGAGTCCGGGCTAGACATCTTCATGGATCCAGAGAAAAGGGGATGGGAGCTGAGAAATACCTAGAAGATCAAATCCACTGGATTCAATCCAGTGGCTGATTGATTATGAGGATGAGGAAGAGAGGAGTCAAGGCTTTGTCTTGGGTGCTGGGGAAAACAACTTGGAACTGAGATACCAAAAGGCAGGTTTCTGGGGAAAAGAGGAAGAGACTGGTTTCGGACTGGCCTGAAAGCCCCATGTAAAGCCTGTGGGTGGGAACTGAGTTTGGCTGAGTTAGGTGCTTAAGGGTCTTCGGCTTATATGTAGTAGTAAAACGGAGAGAGAAAATGAGGCTGTACATAGAAAGGAAGGGAAAGGTGCCTAGGCTTCCCTGAAAAACATGTCTAACAAAGATCCACTGGCAGGAATGGTAGAGAGGAGCATGGGAAGGAGATGGAGCCTCACAATGTGGGGGGCTGGCCTTGAAAGGCCTCCTCCTCTGAGGTTGAGGGCTCCATCTGGGAGCAGGCCAGGTGAGAAGCTGCTACTTGGTTGAGCAGGAGGGTGTGAGGCTCAGTGAGATTGGATGGGAAATGGTGCAAGGCTTACCTTTGTAGAGAAGTTGATCTGCAAGGTTTAGTTTCTGCCTCCATAGCCTGGGGGAAAAGAGGAGATCTTAGGTTGATCCAGGGTTAGTGTTTGGTAAGGAAGACCCCTGAGGGGCCAGGCCGCCCAGTGGGGGTGTGGGTGAAAATTGTTAATGTACTCTGCCCCAAGGCAGAAGCTGAAAAGGCAAGGATACCAGACTAGGGCAATGGAGAGATAAGAAACTGGAGATCTGAACCAGGCATGATGGGGTAGGTCTGTAATCCCAGCACTGGGGAAGGTGAGGGAGGAGGATCTGGAGTTTGAGGCCAGCCTGGCTTACATAGTGAGTTCCAGGCCACCCTGGGTTACATGGCTAGACTCTGTCTCAAAAAAACAAAAACAAGCCAGGCGCCAATGGCTCAAGCCTGTAATCCTAGCTACTTAGGAGGCAGAGATCAGGAGGATCAGGTTTGAAGCCAGCCCATCTTCACAAGATCCTATCTCAAAACCCTTCACAAAAATAGGGCTGGTGGAGTGGCTCAAGATGAAGGCCCTGAGTTCAAGCCCCAGTACCATAAAAAAAATCCAAAAAAACCAAAAAAGAACCTAGAGAGAAGAGATTGGTGAGCCGTGGCAGGGGTGGACTGGGTGAGCTACACACAGAAAGAAAGAAGGCTAGGAGCAAAAAAAGAAACCTTCTCCATGACGTCTGTTTTGTCTTTCAAAAGGTGAATAACCAGATGCCTACCTCAGTTTCACTTTTGGCATCCCTGGACTTGTGAATGGTTCATGATCATGTGATGTGTAGGTAACGTCAGATCTAATCAGCCTTAACAGTTTCAAATCATGAATAGACTTGTCCTTTCCATCTATTGGTAATCTTAGAATTGTCTTTCAAACTCAAGGGAGGAAGGAACGCAAAAGCTTCATCAAAGTCCCAGATGAACCCTTTCCCTGATGACTCAGTTAGAGATGCAGTCAGTGCTTGTGGAAGTCCATGACTCACTTTCTCCCCATCCCCCAACACACACGCACATGGGCAGTGGGAGTGTTCATGGCAGGGGACAAATTCTGTGCTCCAGAAGCAGGGCTGCTACCATCAGGGTACCATTCCCCCCACCCTGCTCCTTCCCAATCTCAAAGAAAGTAAGCATTCTAGAAGTGATTTGAAATATGAGAGCTTCATATGAGCTTTGTAGGTTGAAATTTGGTCAGTCAGTGGAACTATCACTGTATACTCATTGTTGCAAGAGTGTGAAATGCTTCAGTGATGAATGGTGATTGTGCGAGCCAATGGTGTTCTATACAGGTTGAGTATCCCTTATCCAAATCTTAAAAATCTTAAAGGGTTTTTTCCTTCAGATTTTGGAATATTTGAATAGACTTTATCAGTTGGAACAATAATCCAGAAACCAAAATCCCAAACTTTTTGAGCATCAAGACCAGCAAGACTCAAGAAATTTGGAATTTTGGAGCATTTCAGATTTCAGATTTTCAGATTAGGGATGCTAAACTTGTAGGAAAGGAAGTGTTAGGTTCCCCAAACCCATTTTGTTCTCACTAATTGAACTTCCAAGTAACAGATTTTACAAGAATTTTTTTTGTTTTGTGTTGGGTGCTGGGGCTTGAACTCAGAGCTACACCTTGAGCCACTCCACCAACCCTTTTTTGTGATGGGTATTTGCCCAGGCTAGCTTCCAACCGTGATCCTCCTGATCTCTGCCTCCTGAGTAGCTAGGATTACAGGTGTAAACCACAGCGCCCAGCTTGATAAGAATGTTTTAAGAAGATAGTTATTTATAATTTTGAATCTAAATAAATAAATAAATACGCTAAATAAATTTAAACAAAAAAAAATGCTTATCAAAATGACTGCTATACCGAGCAGTTTTTTGTTGTTTTGTTTGTTTGGCTGTGCTGGGGTTTGAACTCAGGGCCTCACGCCTGCTAGGCAAGCACTCTACCACTGGAGACCCCACCAGTCCAACAACTGCTATACAATCCAGCCATTTCTTGGAAACAGTGGAGTTTTGAGACCTGTCCACACTAAGAGTCTTAGGTACAAAGTTCTTTCTAGGTCAGGTGTGGTGATATACCTCCTGTAATCCCAGCACTCAGGAGGCTGATACTGAAGGGTTGAGTTTGAGGACAGCCTGGTCTACATAGGGAGACTGTCTCTCTCAAAAAAAAAAAAATGCTGTCTAGGAAAACACACTACTGAAAGACAAATTTCTAGAATATCAATCCACAGTGCTTAAAAGCTTAGAGGTCTTATAAAAGCACAAGTTACAAGTGACATCCAGTAATACAGATAGGAATTTGTTTCCTTTGGCAGTACTGGGGTTTGAACTCAGGGCCTCACACTTGCTAGGCAGGCGCTCTACCACTTGAACCGTGACTGTAGCAGGTGATGCTAGCAGCTGACTATGCTGAGATGATGCTTGTCCATATGGTTGTTTGTACTGTAATGTCAGGTGTTGAAATGTGTTTGCTAACAGTGTTAATAACATTGTAACCGTTCACTGATTTCACTCAGAGTGCAGACTGGTTTGTATATCCTACAGGCTCATTTCAGAATGGCCAGCCTCGTGAACCGTAGCTGTGGATTTTCACACTCAGGCCTCTGGCCTAATTCTGTACTCAGGACACTTCTAGTTAGAAGAGGGAAGGTGTTCTAGACACTGCAGAAGCCTCAACTTCTATCTCTTACTAAAGGTGGAAGCTGGAGGCCTGCAGAATCCCACTGGGCTCACCTCAACTTCCCTGTCCTGCAGGGAAGGCCAGTGAGGCAGCACTCTTGGGAAGGACTGTCAGGGCCAAGGGACTGAGCCCAAGCCCTCTTGCTCTCTTACAGCCTTGCATTCGGGAACATCTAAGTCTTCATCTCTTCCCTCCTATGGCAGGACTACCCTGAGTAGGGTAAGGTCTCAGGACTGAGGACGGAGGGCTGCCAGGGAGAGGCGTGCATGTGGGCTGCTTCTGAGTGGACTTGGGCGTGCCTGGGAGCAGGGAAAGCCCTCAGAGTGGAGGGGATCCTTGAGAATGTCCCCAGTTTCCTCTGATCCTTATGTCCTTTCCTAGCTACAGTCCACAGACTTCAGCCCATCGGGGAGTGAGACTGGAAGTCCAGGTGAGAAGCGGGGCCTTATGTTACTGGGGAGCTGGAAACAGGGTGTCCACAGGCTGCCTGATGGTTGCCAATGTCTGTGCATGGTCAGGGAAGCTGAGCTGGTGGGTAAGGAATGGGGTTGAGGGAGGGTTGAGCTGTTGGGTAAGGTAGAGGCCGCTTCTCTGGGAGCTGCCTCTGAACAATGGCTCTTGTCTCCTACAGGCCTGCAGGTGAGTGCCCCCTGTAGGGGAGCAGGTGGAGCACTGGAAGCTGGGGACAGGGAGGGTGTGGGGCCATGGAGTTGCCTGGTGAAGATTCAAGAACCTTGGGGTAAGGCTGGGAAGGTCCCCTGCCCCACTCTGGCTCACTGAGGCTTTGGTCTCCCCAGAACGGAGAGGGCCAGAGGGGGAGGATGGACCGGGGGAGCTCCCTACCCTGTGTGCTGGAGCAGAAGGTGAGGGCAGGGGACACAGCAGGGGTGGGCAGTGGGGGGACGGAGTCAGGCAAGCTGAATGCTCTAAGGGTTCTCCTGGAAGTGACATGGGATGGCAGCAGGGAAGCTTGGGGAGATGAATGGCAAAATGGCATGAACCCTGATGGCCTCTTCCAGGTTGACAAGGGGACCTAGGGAATAGAGGGGTGACATGGACAGGAGACTCTATGAGCCTAAGGGGGACTTCCCTGCCTCCCCAGGTCTATCCTTATGAAATGCTGGTGGTGACCAACAAGGGGCGAACCAAGTTGCCACCTGGTGTGGATCGAATGAGGCTTGAGGTATGCAGGGAGGATGCTCTCCATGGGTACAGGGCTACCAACAGCCCCCACCCCACCTGTTCTGCATGGGTGCAGGGCTACCAACTGCCCCGACCCCACCTGCTCTCCATAGGTTCAGGGCTACCAACGCTCCCACACACACACCTGCTCTGGATGGGTGCAGAGCTACACCCCCCCCACACACACCTGCTCTGCTCCAATGCCCTCTCCCCAGCCTGCTGTACATGGGTGCAGGGTTACCAGTGAGGCTTCCCCGCTGCCTGCTTCGAGAAGACCTGGGCCTCTGCCTTGCCCCAACAGTTGCTTGGCACAGCCCCCCTCTAGTTTCCACTCACTCAGCTGTCCGTGTGCCCACCACAGAGGCATCTGTCAGCAGAGGACTTCTCGAGGGTCTTTGCCATGTCTCCGGAAGAGTTCAGCAAGCTGGCCCTGTGGAAGCGGAACGAGCTGAAGAAGAAGGCTTCCCTTTTTTGACCACCCACCCTCTTGGTGGTGGCCCCTCCCCGCCGCTATTGCTTCAAGGCTCTGGAGCTGGGGCTGCTAGACCCAAAGCTTCCTCTTCCCAGCAGGCTGGGAGCAGTGGGAGGTGGGGCAGAAGCAGGTGAGCTCTGCTCCTCAGGGAGAGAGGAGCCCAGACCTTTGCAGTCCCAGAGCTGTGTAGTGTGCCCCACAATGGCCAGGGGCCTCCTTTTGACCCTGGTCCCCACTGCCTAGCCAAACTCAGCCTGGATTCCAGCACACAGAGTTAATGTTTGCAACCTCTCCCTGCCTGTCACCTGATATGAAAGTCCTCAGAAGAGGGTGAGGAGAAATGAAGGGGGATTTAGTGGTCAGGTGTGAGCTGTCCTGCACAAAGGGTGGGACTTAGCCAGCAGGGACAGCTTTGGGACCCTGTGTCTGTCCACCCGAGTGCGCCACTCCACTCCTTTCTTACAGCTTCCTGTATTTGAGCCTCTGCTTCTCTGATGGGGGACCAGGCTCTAGCTGGGCCTCCAACAGGGAGGTCACCCTCCCTCCAGCTTGCCTTGTCCTCCACTTGCAACCCCAAGCTTCAAAGCCTCCTTCTCCAGCCCCAGGGTTCCCCAAAGCCTTGGCTAAGAGTGGAGATGCTGCCTATACAATACCTAGTCACCACCAGCCTCTAGGCAAAGTCAGCTAGGATGTCTCCTTCTAGCACCTGTCTAGGGACCAGAGTCCAGGCCTTCAGCCTCCTTGTCTGGGATCAAGAGGCCAGGATAGGTACATCTCTGAGAGTCCTGACTCCCAGGTCCTACCCATTCCCATGCATCCCCCATTTGCTGTCTACATAATGTAATTTATTGGGGCACCCCTTGCTGCTTTCCTCACCTGTTTCCCTGCTCTACCTAGCCACACTCCCAGCTCTCCTCTCCACATACGTATGTGTATATAATTATATATATATTTTTGCCCAGGTCTGGGTTTTGTTCCTGCTCAGACCCTGGCATTCCACTGTGTGTGTGATCATGCTGGGAGGGGGGACTCTGCTTGGAATTAAAAGGTTGCATTGGGTCCCTAAATCTGTTTGTTTTTTATGAACCATTAGCCCTGGGTCAGAGGGATAGTCAGAAGCCATGAGTGAAAGTTCACATCCAGGAGATGGAAAGAGTACCTTCCCCCAACTCTAAGCCATAGAGCTGGTCTGGGCAGCCTGTCCATCAGAGACTCTGTGATGGTGGCAGTGATGGGAGGCAGGAGACAGAAAGCTTTGTGTGTGTGTGTGTGTGTGTGTGTGTGTGTGTGTGTGTGTGTGTTTGGGGGGTGAACTTGAGAGGGAACTTTGAACAACTGCCCTCTGCTCACCTTGGCAGTCAAGTTCACCTGAGTCTGACCTAGGTGTACCTCCCCTGGGCCCAGGATGCTCAATGTTTGGGAGAGAGGCCAAACACACAAGAAAACTCACCAATATGTGAGTACACGGTGAGCAGACTGCCAAGGATCAGGCACAGAATACAGGAACAGAGAAATAGTGGATGAAAACTAGCAAGAGTGAGGCTCAGGTGGAGGCCAATGGAGGAGGTGGTGGTTTGCTCATGATTGGCTTGGCAAGACCTCCCACAGGGAGCAGACTTGCAGCTGCACATCCATGGGTGGCCGAGGGACATAGATTTGATGGGAGGATTAGAAGGCAGACTGTATGTGGGTGATTGTGGGAGAGGGAGTGGCCTTACCTGGCTGGAACAGACTACAAGTGGATGCATGAAGAGGTGTGCCATAGAGGGACCAGGTGAGTTGAGGAGATGGACCCTCCAGGTGAGAACGTAAGACAGGAGCTGGGGGAAGACCCAGGGTCCCCAGATGAATTTCCAGCTCCTTTGGCTAAAACAAAAGCAAAACAGGTAAGAATCACTCAAATTTGAAAATTTATTTTATTAATTTTTTTTTTTTGCATTATTCGTGTTTGATCTTGGGGTCTCCCATTTGCTTGGCAGGTGCTCTACCATTTGAGCCACAGCCCCAATGCAGAACAGTTGTTCTAAATTATAAGAGTTCTGCTGAATTCACATTATTTTATCCCTGTAAAAAAAAAAAAAAGTTCTGTGAAGCCCACAGAATTTTTCCTTTTGTTTTTTGTTTTCTTTACTTGTTTTGAGACAGGATCTTGCTTTGTAGCCCAGGCTGGCCTAGAATTCTCAATCCTCCTGCCTCAGCATTCCAGGTACTGGAATTACAGGTATACACCACCAGCGCAGGGCAGATCATTTTAATCCTTTCCAGCAAATTTGAACATTGTAGAAATAGAAACATTTCACCTGAAGCCCAAAGCTACATACAACCAATGAACTGGGAATGGGGTCAAGCCCCCCAGTTTCCTGTTTATTTGTTTCTTTTGCTGGATGGGATCAAACCCAGGACTTTGTGCATACTGGGCAGGTGCTCTACCAGGGAGCTATATCCCCAGCCCCCTAGATCTTTTTCTTAAGCTGTGTCTGAAGGGAAGTGTACAGGGCAGGCAAGGAGGTGCAGAGAAAACTGGGCTCCACACACACGCCCACTATCAGCACTCAGCAAATGGGTGGAGACTTACCATGCTGGACAATGGGAACACAATGACAAAGGCAGGGAGGCTCCTGTCCACTTAAAGCTTCCAGGCTTTTGAGAAAATGTCAAGGTCATTGAGCACCAAGGGATGCTGGAGGCAGTGTGTGTGATCTCAGTTACTGGGAAATGTTTGTAGTGGGGATTGATTTGACATTTAAGTCTTAAAATAATTTTTTAAGTTCCTGAGAATTTAGAGCTGCTCGTAGTGGGGCTGTTGGTCCCCAAATTTAGTTCCGTGGGTTCCAGACTTTCTTTTTTGGTGGTACTGGGTTTGAACTCAGGGCTATGAGCTTGCTAGGCAGGTGCTCTACTGCTTGAGCCATACCTCCAGCCCCTTTTGTTCTGACTATTCTATTTTTGACTCTCACTTTTTGCCCAGGACAGCCATGATCTTATTTTTTGCTTCCCATTGTTGCTGGGATGAAAGGTAGGTCCCGCCACATGCAGCTTTTTCTCATTAGCATAGGGTCTTGCAAATTTTTTTGCCAGGCCTGGAAGCAGGATCCTTCTAGTCTCAGCTTCCCACATAGCTAGGATTACGAGTGTGAGCCACCAGCAAAGCCTTTTTTAAAAAAAAATTATATCTTACTATTAGTAATTAGAAAACATAAACTGAATCTTTTTTTTTTTTTTTGGAGGGACTGAGGTTTGAACTTAGGGCTATTGCACTTGCAAAGCAGGCCCTCTTACTACTTGTGCCACACCTCCAGCCCCATAAATTGAATCTTATAGCTAATTATGAAATCAGTGGAGAACAAAGAAGCTGTCTGATGAATAAAAATGTTAAGTCAGTGGTTCTAACACAACAGTTGCATTTTTATTAAGCATGGCATCAAATTTAGTATTGTATTTAGTTGCACAGTATTGAGAAAATCCTGATTCACACAGATAAGCAATTACAAAACTTTGGTGAGCAAATTACTTCACATTCTCCCCACCCAGAGGCAGCAGACAAGGTCCTCTCCTTGCATCTGGGCTCAGTGACTTCTCACTTAAAACAGCTTACTGTCCGTGACTTGTCCACTTCCTGGAAGCTGGTAAGAGAGGCTTTCTTCAAAGGTGAGCTAACCTGGCAGGAGAATTTAATACATCATACATCAGTGGTTCCCAATTCGTTTTTGCCATACGACACATACAGTACATACATGAACTTTTTTTTGGCAGTACTGTGTTGAATTCAGGGTCTCACGCTTGCTAGGTAGGCATTTTACCACTTGAGCCTCTCTGCCAGCCCTTTTTTTCCTATGTTGGAGATTTTTTTTCCTATGTTGGAGGGTCTTGATTTTTGCCCCAGCTGGCCTTGAACTGCAATCCTCCTGATTTCTGCCTCCCCAGTAGGATTATAGGTGTGAGCCACCAATGCCTGGCTTGTTTGTTTTTTGAGACAGGGTCTAACTACATAGCCCAGACTGGCCTTGAATTCAAGATCCTCCTGCCTCAGCTAAGGTTATAGTGTGTATCATCCCTCACCCCCCAGCTCTTTATCTTTTATTAGAGTTTTAAAAATAACATTAAAAAGTCAAATGGAAGGTTATGAACTGCCCCATGCACTCCCATCACGCCCTGGAGTTCCCTGAAACATACAGAGGGGAGAAAGGCTGATTCCCTCCCTCTGCCTGCTTCCCTTACTTGTGAGGATCAGAGAAGTGCAGGAGCTGGACTGGAACCCAGGTGTCCTGCCTTTCTAGGTTAGTTCTCACACACACAAAATGGACTTGTTTCTTTCACTCTTAAATTTTTATTTTATTTATTTATTTATTTGTTTGTTTGTTTGTTTTGCACTACTGGGGCTTGAACTCAGGGCCTTCACCTTGAGCCACTCCACCATTCCTTTTTTATGATTGGTTTTTTGAGATAGGGTCTCGGAAGCTATTTTCCTGGGCTGGCTTCGAACCTCGGTCCTCCTGATCTCTGCCTCCTGAGTATCCAGGATTACAGGCGCCTGGCTTTCACTCTTACATGTTTTGACCTAACAACCCCCTCACATTTCCCATAGGGATCCTCACTCAGGAACACACTCCCAGATGAACTGAAAGCATCTGTTTTTCACAAACAGCTGTCAGAGGCTGAGATCCAAATCTTCCTGGACTTGGCCAAACTCTGGCCCTCCTTAGGACCCAAGGCCCAGACCCTGGCCTTCCGCACAGCACCTCAGTCAGATTTCAGGCTCCACTCTACCACACATCGACAACCCTGGGAAGGTCATTGTCTCCTTGGCCTCTGTCTCCCTGGGGAATGGAGCCTAAAAGGCTCCACTCTGTTTCACAATTCTGTGATGTGATTACTTCCTCCTGGTAGTGGGACTTATTTTGCAGTGCTGGGGATGGATCAAACCCGGTATCTTGTGCATGCTAAGCAAGTACTCTACCATTCAACTACAAGCCCAGTATTTGTTTTTTGGAGACAGGGTGTCACTATGTAGCCCAGGCTGGCCTCAAACTCCAGATCCTCCTGCCTCACCTCCCGAGAACTGGGAAAGCAGGTGGGGACCTGGGAAGAAACCTGGGACTAGGAGTTCTTCCTGACCAGGCGGTAGTGGAACTTTTTTTTTTTTTAATTCTGGGGTTTGAAGGCTTGCTAAACAAGTCACTCTGCCAGCCAGCCCTATGTTGGGTATTTTTGAGATAGGGTCTTGAACCTCAATCCTCCTATCTCTGCCTTCTGAAGAGCTAGGATTACAGACGGGAGGGAGGGAGTCACCGGGCACCTTCCCTAGTGGGACTCTTGATGCCTTACCCTCTCCTATGTAATTGGAAGAAAGACTTTTTTTTTTTTTTTTTTTTTTGCGGTGCTGGGGTTGGTGCTCTACCACTTGTGCCATATCCCCAGTCGCCTTTTTTGCTTATTGTTATTTTTCAGGTAGGATTTAGGTGGGCCTCAGACTGCCCTTGGACTGCCATCCTCCTGCCTATTCTTCCCTCATCGGTGGCATTACAGGTGGCTTGTTAGTTGCGATGGAGGTCTTGGTAACTTTTTGCCTGAGTTGGCCTTGAATTTCAGTTCTTCTGATCTCCACCTCCTGAGTAGCTGGGATTACAGTGGTGACCCATGGCAGCTGGCTGAACTCTAGTAGCTACTTTAAAAAAGTACAAAGTGAAAAGCAACACGTGAAATTAATTTTTTTAAATACTTCATTTAACCTAATATTCCTAGTACCTTCCGTTTCAACATGTAATCAATATAAAACGCGATTAAGGGGCAATTAGCATTCCTTCTTTTCCCACCATGTCTTCAAACCGCGCGTGTCCTTGACCCACGTACTGGTTTGGGCAGGGCTGGGGGGCTGCTGAGACTTAGCGCCCATTTTCAAGAGGAATCTAATTTCTCATTAAAATAGACCCAGTCCCACCCCAAGGAACCCATCTCTAAGGCCGGATCCGGAGCGACCACCCGCTCCGCAGGACCCCACCCTGCGCGGCTCCCGCAGGCAGCCGGGCTGGCGACCTCTGCTTCTTCCCCACCCTCCCGGTGCGCGCGGCGAGGGCCCCCAGCCCGTGGGCCGGGGCGGGGCTCAGGGCTCGGCCCCGCCTCCCTTCCGCCGCGCGCCCGCCCCCTCCGCCCGCGAGAGCCGCCGCCGCCGCCGCCGCCGCCGCCGCCGCCGCCGCCGCCGCCGCCCGGATCCGGGCCGGGCCGCCATCATGCTGAGCCGGCTCGGGGCGCTGCTGCAGGAGGCCGTAGGGGCGGTGAGCCCGGGGCGGCCGGGCCGGAGGGGCGGTTGGGGGGCTGGGGACGCGGGCCTCTCGGGCAGGGATCGTCCGGGGGCCCGGGCGCCGCTTCCGGGCCTCCTGTCGCTGGGTCGCAACCCTCCCGCACAGCGAGTCCCGCTCCTGTCGCGTGTCCCCAGGCGCGCCTTATGTCCGGATCCTCTCCAGACCGCCCCACTTCCCAGATCCTGCGCCCCACACTGCTTCCTGTTTGTGTTTCCTGCGCCCCGGAGCCTCTCCGGGCTCCCTAACTCTTCTCTCCCAAAGCTGTCGCTTGTCACCCAAGCTTACTCCATCCCCCTCCCAGCCAGCTCTCCAGCCGGGTCAGCCTGCCTTCCTCCTTCGCGTCGCTCCTCCCTTCCTCCTCACCTAGGTCTGAAAACAGCCTCCCTTTCCCCTCTTCCCTTCTTAGCTCCCAGGCAACTCCAAGACCTGGTTCCGCACAGGGTGCCCTCCCACTCGGCCTGGGCATGGGAAGTGCGGCCCTGAGTGACCAGGAACACATCTCACACTGCTGAGCCACACCGACCTTGAGTTAGGAAGAGGCCAGCCAGCCTGGTGGGGTTTGGTGTGTGTTGGTTTTTCACATTATGTCAGTTTGTGTTTTGGTCATTTTCTGTGGGGACTAAGGGTAGGTCCCTGTCGCCCACTGTGTGTGGTTCACTTCATTCAGCAAGATCAAAGTGCAGTCTAGACAGGCTGGGAGGGTATTCACTCCTTTTCAGGCAGCCTTATGAAGAAGCCGTCCGTCCGTTAATTATTTTGTCTCACAGTATAAATCCACTCCCTAATTGATGAGTTTAGTGTATCAAGAGAAGGAATCTTGGGTTTCATCTCCTTCCTCTCCAATACACTCTTCCCAATCAGAGCTACTTACTAATGAGAACACACTTTGCCACAGGCATACTTGGGGAGAAAGTGAGAAACTTCTTCATCTTCCTTCTCCCCAGCCCTGCTGTGCCCTGAGCTCCAGGGCCTGGGACACCTCATTGGAGAAGTTCCATCATGACCTTTCCTTTCCTTCTCCCCATCTCCAGTCAAAACAGTTGTCATCTTAGAAAGTGATCTGATAAACTAATTCATACCTCTGAGGAGGCTTCATTTAGGAGGAGGGCGGAGGGATGGACAGGCCCCAAGTTCTGGAGAGTGAATTTCTAATGTGTCAGACGCCTTAAGCTAAGGCATCTGTGGCTAGAGGTGTTGGGAACAGAAGGAGATATTTTTGGGCAGGTGACATTCTTGGAGACCCTCAGTGTGCAGCATATAGACAATGTCTTGAAAGTGTGTCTGACCAGGCAGGAATCCCTCTTTTTGGCTCCACCCCCATTCCTGGGATCTAGGTCTTTCCCCATGCTAAGTCACCAAGTCAGTGTGACCCCAGAGGAGTGCTCCTTTCTGCCCTCTCCTGCCCAGACTGAATAGGAATCATTATGGCTTTTTCTCAAAATATTATCTTTAGAAAGAAATCATTTAGCTGGGCAATGGTGGCTTACGCCTATCATCTTAGCTACTTGGGAGACTGAGATCAGGAGGATCGTAGTTTGAGGCCAGTCTGGAGAAATAGTTTTTGAGACCCCACCATCTCCAAAATAACCAGAGCAAAATGGATTGGAGGCATGGCTCAAGAGGTAGAGCCTCTGCTTGCAAGCATGAAGCCCTGAGTTTAAACCCTAATCTCATCAAAAAGAAAGAAACCTTTGGTGCAATTTCTTTGGTCTTGCGTTATAATACCCAGTAGTAGATTCAGGTAGAGATTTTTACCCTGCTTTCTTCTCTCTATCAGCCTGTGCTTTCTCCTGGGTATCACAGTCTTATCTGAGTTGTAGTTTTTTGTTTGTTTGTTTGTTTTGCAGCACTGGGGCTTGAATACAAAGCCTTCACCTGAGTCACTCTGCCAGCCCATTTTGTGATGGGTATTTTCGAGATAGGATCTGCGAACTATTTGCTTAGGCTGGCTTTGAACCTCAATTCTCCTTATCTCTGCCTCCTGAGTAGCTAGGATTATAGGCATGAGCCACAGGCGCCCAGCTTACCCGAATATTCTTTGTGTTGAAGCCCAGGTGAAGGGGTTTAGAGACTGTAAGTTAAACTGGAGACTAGGTGAGACCCCATCACAAAAACTGAAATCACTGTGGTGCTAGTCAAGCTTTCCAAGGTGAGGAAATATGGACAGAATGTGTTTAGGAATTTGCTGAGAGAGTTGGTAAATTATGAGTGTTCACTGTACACAGAGCCCTAGCCCTTGGGGAACTCACAGTCTAGCAGAGACCAGCCAGTAAAATTGTCACATAGAATGTAATAAGATGGTCACTCCTTATGGATGGAGTACCTGGGAGGATTATGGGCAGTGCCACCTCAGAAAGGGTGGCTGCTTCTACAGCTAACTCAAAGAAGATAAGATTGCTTGCAGCCAGGGTGAGAGTGCTTCTTGGTCTCTGATTCAGCGTTGTTGCTTACTGCCCTATGACCAGGGCCTTCTAAGCATTCTTCCTGTCTGTGTCTCCTCTTCCACATGACACTGCATGAAAATCTTCCCAAACACTGCTCAGGTGGCATTGGCCTACTTCTTGCTATCCTGGCATCTTAGCTTGACCTTAGAGACCCACAAAGTCGTCTGCCCTTTCTTCCAACGTACTTTGCCCAGATCCTTCTGCAAGGAATGTCCTCCTTGCACTGTTGAAATCTGACCCAGTTCAAATTTGAGTTCTGGGGTCCTCAGTAAAGCCTTCATGGTTCCAGCTTGTTAGAAATGACCACCCTTTTCTGTAAGGTCTCTTTCACCTACCCTGGGTCCTCGAACTACTTCCTTGTAGGTTAGTTATTCACTGTGAGTATATTCTTTTCTCAGCAGATTTCCTGAGGATTAAGGCTTAGTCATTCTTAGGTTGCCTGTAGCATCTCATATGACATCCTGCACCTAGTAGGCATTTACAAGGTGCTTACTGATTGAATGACTTAATGAGCAGATGCCTAGCTCTGTGGCGCTGTAAGTGTGTGGCTGGAGTGAGGTGCATGCAGGTGGAAGCCCGGGAGAGGGCTTTACAGAGCTGCCAGCCCTTCGCTGGATTTCACTGGGAACTCTCAGGAACTGGACAAATGTAGAGGGACACAGGCCCCCCCACCAGACAGCAAGGGGCCTGAGCAAAAACCCAGAGGTAGCAATGAGTGCCTGTGGGTAGGGACTGTTTATGGTGCGTTTTTCTCCTACAAACATTTACTCCGCAAGAAAAGAGGAGGAATGTCCTTTTTGGGAGAAGTTTTCAGGGAAAGTGGTTGTTATCAGTTCAAGGCAGTCCCAGCCAGAGCAAGGAGTTGGAGCATTTAGAGAAAAGGAGTAGGCAAGGGGCTTGCCTAGAGTGGCCTCAGAATGCACCAGGGTGAGCAGTGGGCAGAGCTAGCTAAGGAGTTAGGGAATGCAGATGGAGCCTGGGTCGAAAGAAAAATGCATATTGTAAGTAAGGCTTTTCCTTTATATTTTGCTAATGTTACCATTGCTGAATAGAACCTGCCATGGCCTTGACCACGAATTTTCATAAACATCCAATGGAGAGGACCTGAAAATCTGGTCTTTGCAACGTTTTCCATCTGTATCATTCTAATGACTTTTCTTTCTGAGGTGCTCCCCTATGTTCCTGTCTGTCCCTTTGTTGTAGCATGACCTGGTCGTGTGGAAATGGTCAGTGTCTGTTTCCCCTCCAATATGCTTTGTTTCTCCAGGCCAGGGACTGAGGAACGGGGACATGTGTGAGGGAGGGATGGTTGGGGAGTGGTGCCAGGTCATTGGCAAGATGTGGGGACCATGCTGCTATCTTGGATAGGTGTGTCACTCTTCCCTTTGAAAAGCCAGGAGTGGTGCATCTCCTTTAGGGCCTAGTGCCCATCCTGAGAAGGCGCATGGGTGTTTGTTCCCATGAGCATCAGTGGCAGTGGGCCTGTGGTCATTAGAGCCCCAACCAAGGCTGTGTCTCTGCTCTCTCTGCAGCGGGAGCCCAGTATTGACCTGCTGCAGGCCTTCGTGGAGCATTGGAAGGGCATCACACACTACTACATCGAGAGCACAGGTGGGGCCTGCTCCTTCCACCCCGGGGCCCTAGGAGGAAGTGGGAGAAAGGCATGGGCATTGGGTCACCATGCAGGTATCTTGTGAAGATGATGTCCACTACCCAGAGTTGAGGACAAGCCAATGGAGACAAAAAATCAGATAGGTGGGTGGAAGACCTAGAACTCTGGTCATCTCTGGTCTTCATGATTTAGTTGCTGGCACCACCCTGACTTTTTGGGAGAGGGGTTATGTGAAGGAGGAGGGAGGATTAAAGAGGTCGGGGATCTCATTGGCCTGACTCTGAAAGGCAGAGGTGGCTTCACTCACCCCAGCTTCTAGCTGGGTACAGCCCCCAGGCATTCAGTCCCCAAGTGCTTGTCACTAGCTAAGAAATGGGACAGATTCTCCTTTCTCTGAACCAACTTAAGGATACTTACCTTAGAGATCTGGGATAGGAGGAGAACAAAAATGAAGGCATGGAACATGCCCAGGTCCTTTTTTCTAAGCTGACACTCAAAGGGCCAAAGCTTTGGGTCATCTGGCCCACCATGATCACTCACTGAGGGGCAGAATCTCATTGGTTGCTTTGTAGTCACTATGGCTGTATTGGTAGATGCAGACTGGTTGCCAGGTAACCAGATCCTGTATCCCTAGCATCTCCTGGATTCAGACTGGATCTGATTTCAGCCTATGTCTTTTTTTTTTTTTTTTTTTCATGGTGGGACTGGGGTTTGAACTCAGGGCTTCATGCTCACAAAGCAAGCTCTCTACCACTTTAGCCACACCTCCAATTGCCTATGCCTTTTTTCTGGGCAGTAATGGGGTTTGAACTTCAAGCCTCACTCTTGCTAGGCAGGCGCTCTACCACGTGAGTCACTGCACCAGCCCTGTTGTCTGTGTTAGGTTTTTGAGGTAGGATCTCTCAAAGTGTTTGCCTGGGCTAGCTGCGAACGGTGACCCTCCCAAGTAACTAGGAGTATAGTGTGAACCATTAGTGCCCAAGTACCTATGCCTTTTTAAAAGGATTCCTTTCCAGCCTGAGCCAGCCCAGGAATTTACAAAGCACCCTTTGGACGTTCTGAGGGATCCTTTTATTAGACCCGATTTCTCAGTCTTGGCCCAGTGGACATTTGAATTCCTTCTTGTTGAAGGAGGAATATCCAGCATATGGTCACCCATTGAGCAGCAATTCAGGCCCCTACCCACTAGATACTAGTTTTGACGACCATAAATGTCTCCAGACATTGCCAAATGTTCTCTGGGGGGCAAAATTGCCCCACAGTTGGGTACTACCATTTTAGGCTAACTAAAACTCTCTTGACAGAGCCCCAGTTCCAGGAGAGTAGCACTAAACCCAGAACTGGCTCCAACCCAGATGAGGCTTCCCTTCCCTCCAATCCTTTAACTTCCGGAGGCATTGGGTGAGGGTGAGGCATGCTGCCTTTCTCAAGAGCCTTTGCCTTAAAGAAAAGCTAGAGGGTGCTCTAAGGCCAGGCCCAAAGCTTTCTCTAACACACACTGTACCCTCTGCCTCCTTAAGCTCCAACAGCAGCTCCTCCTCAGCGCTGTGCTGGAACAGGTGGGGCTTGTGTGCAGATTGTTTCCTGCTTTGTGAAAAACACAGCACTGCCTTCTATGAATCAAGAGGCCCAAGAAGTAGTCATTCACGAAGCTGCTAGAATACAGCTTCTAAGTCATATGACAGGCTCTTAGCCCATAGCTGTTCACCCAGAGCAGACAGCTCTCAAAATATGCCCTTCTTTGTGCTCATGTGTCCCTGTCCTGGGGTTTGGAAGAAAATGATGATGTACACATTCTCAATCAGAGGGCTATGTCCTAGGCCTCATCCAGAAGGACTTTTGTCTTTTCAAATATACAAATATCAGCTGTAAATGTCCATCTCCTGATGGCCTTCAGCCCCTCCCTCCATCTCCCAGACATGACTTCTCTTTCCTGGGCCTGACAGGAAAGGGTGTTGCTTTTAATCCCGAGTACCTCTCTTCACATTACCCACCCTTGTGTCCCAAATCTCAACTAGATGAAAACACCCCAGCCAAGAAAACAGATATTCCCTGGCGGCTGAAGCAGATGCTGGACATTCTGGTGTATGAGGAGAAGCAGCAGGCCGGTGCTGGTGAGGCAGGGCCCTGTCTGGAATATCTGCTGCAGCACAAGATCCTGGAGACCCTGTGCACACTGGGCAAGGCTGAGGTGGGCATGTCCTTGGGGGTCTTCTCAAACCTTCCGTCCCAGCCAGGCCTCCATTCCAGGCTTTTCTACTCATGCGCCTCCAGTTCTGACATGAGGGTGGGGAGCCAAACAGGGTGGTTACTGTGACTGTCTCACTTGGGACTTCCCTTCTCCTCACTTAGCAAAGTGCCCTGTGCTGGGCACCTAGAATACCTGTTCTAGGTGCTGGGGATTGAGAGGCAGGATAATCACAGACAGGGTAATCCCCATACCCACGGGGGATTGGTTTCAGGACCCCTGCCTCTCCCCTCAGATACCAAAATCCATGGATGCTCAAGTCCCTTACATAAAGTGGGTTGTTCTGGAACCACTCTCCTGTGGATACTGAGGGATGTCCATATTTGCATATAACCTACATACTGTTTCTTTTTTTCTTATGCTAGGGATTGAACCCAAGGCCTTTTGTGTGCTAGGCAGGCACTCTACCACTGAGCTATACCCCAGCCCGTCCTCCTGTGTCTTTAAATCATCTCTAAATGATTTATAATACCTCATACAAGTGCTGTGAAAATTGTTATGTTGCACTGATAAGGGACTAATAACAAGAAAAATGTCTGTATATGTTCAGTACAGTCCACTGATGCAAAACCTGCGGAGGTGGAGGGCCAGCTGTTGAATGTTCAATAGTAGCCCAGTTGTGAAGAAAACTAATGCAGGAAAAGGGGTTGGGAACACAAGGAAGGCCAATCCCAAACACTGGCAAGGGAAGGAGACCTGTGAGCTGTGACCAAGGAGGCACTGAGCCCGGCAGCAGCTCTGGGGAAGAATCTTCTGGCAGATGGATGTGGCCTGATCTCTGATGGGCACTCTGTTCCTGACCCAGTACCCCCCAGGCATGCGGCAGCAGGTATTCCAGTTCTTCAGCAAGGTTCTGGCCCAGGTGCAACACCCTCTGCTGCATTACCTCAGCGTCCACAGGCCTGTACAGGTAAGGGCCAGGAGGCCAAGGGGTGTCTGGGCATAGAGTTCCCACTCCCCCCACTCCATTCCCCTCTATTTCTGTCCGGCTGCCCTTCCAGAAACTTCTCCGGCTTGGTGGGACAGTCCCTGGATCTCTCACAGAAAAGGAGGAGGTACAGTTCACCAGTGTCCTCTGCTCCAAGATCCAGCAGGATCCAGAGTTGCTCACCTATATCCTGGAAGTAAGCATGTCTGTGGGAAACAAGGAGAGAAGGGCCTGGTAGTTCAGGGCAATCCCCCTTGGCCTTGTGAGGAGAAGGAGAGGGTGGGAGCCCACGAGATGCTCCAGGCTGAGGCCCTATCCACTACCGAGCCAGTACTTTTTTTTTTCTTTAAACATTTTATTTTTATTGCTTTTAGTTGTAGTAAAACACACAACATAAAGTTTACCATCTTAAATATGTTTATGTGCCACCCTGCACTAGGTTTTTTTTTTGGTTGGACTGGGGTTTCAACTCAGAGCTTTGTACTTGCAAAGCAGGTGTTTTAGTGCGTGAGCCACATCTCCAGTCCATTTTGCTCTGGTTATTTTGGAGATGGGGCTTATGAACTATTTGCCCAGGCTGTCCTTGAACTGCGGTCTTCGCAATCTCAGCCCCCCATGTAGCTAGGAGTACAGGTGTGAGCCACCGGTGCCCAGCTCCACCATCCACTCTTAAGGGAAGACCCCGTTGAAGAGAATTGATGTCCACTGTGACCTGTCCTCACCCTACCTTCTTTTCAGGGTAAAAAGATCATAAGTAGGAAGAAGGCATCCAGAGAACCTACTGCTCTGCCTAAAGAAACTGCCAGCCACAGCGACAAGGACTGTTATCACAACAGTGCTCCTGACAGGGGTCCCCAGATAGATGGAGAGCCTTATGGAGCTCAGGCCTTCAACAGCCGCCTTCCATCTGAGACTGAAGGGCTGGATGGTGGGCCTGGGGACAGCAACCTGATCACTTCCCTGCTCGGGCTATGCAAGAGCAAGGTCTGCTTCAGAGAGTGAGGGTGGGCTGGGGAAGGGTGGAGTAAACAGCCGGAAGATGACTTGGAGGTTGGGTTCAGATGCATGTCCCTGAAGTCATCTCTCCATCTCCAGAAGAGTCGGGTGGCACTGAAGGCCCAGGAGAACCTGCTGCTCCTGGTGAGCGTGGCCTCCCCAGCAGCTGCCACCTACCTGGCACAAAGCACCCCTTGTTGCATCGCAATCACAGAGCACCTCTGCCAACTGTACCATTCTCTGCCTGCCTTCCTTGACCCTGCAGACATCGCTACTTTAGAGGGCATAAGCTGGAGGTGGGTTCATGTCCTGGGAAGGCTGGGGAACATCAGGAACTGGAAGCTGCACAGAATAGGGATGCCTACTGGCCACCCTCTTCCAGAAGTTCCAGCAAGTCCCTAGAGATTGGCTTCTTAGCCTCCTGGAAGGATCATTTTCTTGGTCTTTAATCACAAAGCTCCCAGTAGAAATGATTCCAGATAAGAGAGAAGACTAGCTCCCAAACATCCTTGAAGACCTTGAAGCCTCTGTCTCCCCCTCCAGACTTCCTGCCTCCCTTTCACCTAGGTTACCCAGTGCCCCATCCGATGAGGCATCTTTCCCTGGCAAGGAGGCCCTGGCTGCCTTCCTGGGCTGGTTTGATTACTGCGATCACCTTATCACAGAGGCACATGCGGTAAGCAAGGGCGGGTGTGGCCAGGGCTCACTCATGGCTCCCCTCGCTGTCTTGTCTTGAGGACAGAAGCGCAGCAGACATTTGGTGATGGTGGGGGTCAGTCAGAACCAGCAGGGCCTGGGCTGGGCCCTCCAGTGTGTTTGGTGCTGCACAAAGGCACAGTGATTCTCAGGGATGATTGTTATGGGTGCAAATCTGAGGAAGACTAGCTCTCTGACTCCCAGGTGGTTGCGGATGCCTTGGCCAAGGCTGTGGCTGAGAAGCTGCTTGTGGAGACACTGCAGCCCCGGCTCCTACATGTGTAAGTGTCTGTCTAACTCCCTTGTCCATGGCCCTGTTCTGTATTAGACCCACCCTACCCCTAAACCCCTTCCTGTCCCAAAGGCCAGGGACCAACTTGGCTAGAGTCACATGTGGACTCTACCAAATAGTATTTGCTAGACATGCCCCAGACATGCATGTAGCTCTAAGCCACTTGGCCTGAAAAACAGTCCTTCCACCTTTTCCTATAAGACCTCGGTAGGGGTGAGGAGATGGCCAGAGACATATTAGCCAGATCTGTAAGGAAAGCAAGAAAGGGTTGTGCACCCTGCACCCATCTGCTCTGTGCTCTTCCATGCTCTTTCTCCTTGGCTCAGCGCATGCCCGGCCTGGCTAAGGTGCCTTCTCCCCGTAGTTCTGAGCAGAGCATCCTGACCTCCACTGCCTTGCTGACGGCCATGCTGCGCCAGCTCCGTTCCCCTGCAATGCTGCAGGAGGCTGTGGCCTTCTTCCTAGGCACTGACCATCAGCCTACAGCTGCCAAGGACAGCCCCCACACCCTATGCGCGCACCTCATTGCGCACTGCGACCATCTCTCTGATGAGGTGAGTCAGGAGGGATCCTCATCTCTGACTACCCCTCCTCCACAAGGTGAACACTTCTTCCCACTTTCCTTAGCTTGCCTAGGTGACTCCATCTCTGAGGCCTGAGCCCCTCAAAGCAGTGACACGGTAATTGGCAGCCAATTTTCTGTGATCACACTCTTTATGGCACTATATATTTTGTGAACTCTTTCTCATTCATTTGGCTCATTGGAGGTTCCAGCCTTTGGTGAGGTGGAAGCTGAAAGTTCTATTTTTCCAGTGTGGAAACTGAGGCACAGAGAAGCCAATGGGCTTGCCTGAGATGGCACATCAAGTGAATAACAGAACAAGAACCATCCAGACTTTCTGCTTCCTGTGCCATCCTTGCCCACCCCCCCGAAACCTGCCACCTTACCTCCTGGCTAAAGGTGACAACTCCCCACCTTAGAGGACTTTCTTACTTGGGCTAGCAGTTCCCAGGCTCAGAGGAGCTAGAAAGGGTGGCAGAGAGGGGGCCCTACTGACCCCTCTTGCTTCAGATCAGCATTGCTACGCTGCGGCTATTTGAGGAGCTACTCCAGAAGCCCCACGAACAGGCTGTCCATCGCTTGGTCCTGTGTAACCTTGAGGGACGCCTGTATGTGGCCCGGGGCTCACCTGAGCCCGAGAGCTATGAGGACACCCTGTAAGTGTAACCAGGAGGGGATGCCTGGGGCCCACCCTTGACTTAGCCCCACCCTCAGTACTCTCGTGCACATCCATTCATCTGCCCACTCACTGGTGTGTGCAGGGATCTGGAGGAAGACCCCTACTTCACAGACAGCTTCCTTGACTCTGGCCTTCAGCCCTCCACAAGGCCTCGCCAGGCCCCTATCGCCAGTTCCGACGGCAAAACAGCAGTGACTGAGATTGTCAACAGGTGGGGAATAGGTTAGGCATGCAGAGCCTTTTGAATTGTGTCCTGTCTTGAGTCCAGTAAGCACAAGGGACTGGGGGGATCCTTGGCAGCACCTTTACACCGAGCCTCCTGTCTCAGTTTCCTCTGCCTGGTCCCCGAGGAAGCCAAGACCTCAGCCTTCCTGGAGGAGACTGGATATGACACGTATGTCCACGATGCCTATGGGCTGGTGAGTGGCAGCTTTGTGGTTCCCCAGCTTGTCCTTCCTAGCCCTTATTTTGAAAATCTGTTTGATCTCTGCCCCACATGGCCCCAAGCCCACCCCTCCTATGTGGGGTCCCTTAACTGGGTCCCAGGGGCCCACTTCCTCAAACACTTGCCCCTTCTATTTCAGTTCCAGGAGTGCAGCTCCCGTGTTGCCTCTTGGGGCTGGCCCCTGGGCCTTGCACCCTTGGATCCCCATGAACCTGAACGGCCTTTCTTTGAGGGTCACTTCCTCCAAGTGCTGTTTGACCGCATGGCCCGGATTTTGGATCAGGTAGCCAACAGGACTGGGTCCTAGGAGGACTCCAGGCTGGTCCTCCTGAGGGTGACCCCCTCTTCAGTTCCTCAGCTGCACAACCCCCCGACTCCCCACCTTTCCTCAGGCGGGAAGCCCCGTCTCGCCTCTGCTCCACAGGCCCTAACATGCTCTGGGCCTCAGCCCCAGGGAATCCATGACACACACACATCACGTGAGTCTCCCACCCCCGCACACGTTCACACCAGCCAGGCGCCTTGCTGGAGGAGTGCAAAAATGCTCACCACCTCCCTGCCAACCAACCCTCAGCATTGTCCATCTTGTTCCCTACAGCCATACAGCCTGAACCTGCAAGTGACCTCAGTCCTGTCCCGGCTCGCCCTCTTTCCCCATCCCCATATCCATGAGTACCTCTTGGATCCCTACATCAACCTGGCCCCTGGCTGCAGGAGCCTGTTCTCTGTGCTCGTCAGGGTGAGGACGCTGAAGGCAGGGGGATGTTGGGGCTGGAGGAGTGGGCATGCTTCCTAGTGCCAGAGAAAGCATGGGTCTCCCACCCCCCCATGGAGTGGCCAAGCCAGTGAAGCCCTCAGGAATATGGCTAGTCCCAATTTCAGTCCTCTGTGGCTCCCGTTCTAGGTGATTGGGGACTTGATGCAAAGAATTCAGAGGGTACCCCAGTTCCCAGGCAAGCTGCTCCTGGTGCGCAAACAGCTCATGGGCCAGGTCCCTGGAGAGCAGTAAGTAACCGAGGGGAGTAGGTGCCTTGGGGTGTGAAGGTGGACAGTGCCTCAGGCCGAGGAGGTATCTGGCTACTGGGTCAAGCCTGGTGGACATGGGCTGTCATGCTGGACATACAACTTGTTGACGCCCAGCCATCCCCCATGTTGTCACCCCTCAGACTGGACCACCAGACCCTTCTTCAGGGTGTGGTAGTGCTTGAAGAATTCTGCAAGGAGCTGGCTGCCATTGCGTTCGTCAAGTGTCCCCCACATGGTCCTCAGCTGAACCTCTCCCCACCTCCAAAAGGGCCAGTCCAGCCAGAAGCATGATAAGCAGAGAGGGGACACTCCTGTTCACACTTCTGCACAGCTGCCTCCTCCCTGCTGCCACCATTCTCCTCTGGGCTCTGGGCTTCCTCCTTGGGCTAACCGCAGGAGACCTTGAGCTGTTGACCGCATGGGCCTGGGTTTCAGGGAGGTGTTGAGATGCAAAACTGTGAGACGGCTTCCCAGGCTCACGTTGTCCTTGGGACCTTCTCCATCAGCTGAGTGATGGTCAGCGATCCTGACACTACTCATGTGTTGGGTGGTTATTCCCCCTGTATTGGCCATGGCCAAGGCCATGACCTGTGACAATTTCAGGGGCAATAAGGAATAAGCTGCTGGCCCTGAAGCTGGCCAGAGATGGAGACCAGGAGCCCTGTGTCAGACTAGGTACCATGGAGGACCCTGTAACCTACCAGGTTTCTTTCCTACCTTCATGGCTTGCGTGGTGGTGGAGGGACAGTGAAGGTGTGGAGGGAAAGCTCCCTCTTCCTGCTCTGCCCTCCTGGAGACTTGCAAAATTCCCAACTGCCTCATGGCAAATGCCCAAAGCATGCTCCCGCGCCCAGGCGGGGGCAGCTGCTAATGAGAACCTTGGCGCAGTGGCAGCCAGGGCGGGCAGGGGCCTGGGAGCGGGTGCCAGGCTACAGCTCCAGCTGGTTCCTCTCTGGCGCCTTCCAAACCCGTCTCAGCAGGTCCACAACACCTGGGCAGAGAGGTCAACTACCAGGGAAGGCAAATCATACCCTCCAAGTCCTACCCAGCACCTAGGGTTCCCAATGGAATGCCCTCCTGGAGAGCACAGGAGGTTGGGGTACAGAAAAGGCAGGATGCCTCTGTCTCCGGACCCCTGAGGCCTAGGGGGTAAGGTCTGAGACCCAGGCACTCTGTTCTGGTTTTGTTCTCCCTATGTGCCCTCTGCAGCTGGAGCTGCTACCCCACCCGGCTCTGAATCTGTCTCAACCTGCAGGAACACACGGGCGGCGCCAGGCATTACCTCACATCAGGACTGCAGTTGCTGGCTTTGCTTCTGGGCAAGGAGGAGCAGGCCAGAGCCCTTTTTGCTTCCTTTTCCTGCCCATGCGGCTTCTAGAAGCCAGGTGCAGGTTGCCAAAAGGTGACATGAAAGAGGAGGAAACTCAATGACCTCTACCTCTCCCGCATTCCTCCCAGCGGGGGAGGAGTTCACTGCTGCTCCCAAGAACATCATGCACGTGTGTTTTGCGTGTGTGTGTGTGCATGTGTGCACACAGGTGCTGGTGTGGGACAGGGGAGCAGATCTCGGTGGTTTGATTGGGTCTGGACTCTTAGGTTTTTTAAATGTTTGGGGGTCTGGGCTTCATGGACCCTTCCCTCTGTAATCATTGCACTTTAACATTTGCACGGTGTCTTCCCGAGACCACACAGCAATAAACAGTGTGATTGCGTGGACATGGCGGCTCTCTTCTGTTCCACTCTACCTGTCCTCTGTCCAGAACTTCTCTGCTAACTTGGGCCCAACTTCTACCCCAAGAATCTAAATTCCTTTTCCAACACTGGAGAAGAGGGGGTTGGTAAACAGACTGGCTGTGCAGTAAAAATCTGATATTTCTCCACATCTGCCAGGAAGTAGACTCCTGGCTGGCCAATACCGTTTCCATTCAGCTCACCTAGGACTTAGCCTGCCAGCCATGGAGCCATCATGAGGGCCAGCCATGTGGTAAGATTCCGTAAGCAAGTCTCCTTTTCCTGGTACGTTTTGTTCTATTTGACTGTTGTAGCCATGACCAGTAGGCCTAATAATTAAACTTGACCAAGAAAAAAGGTGTGGAGAGAGGGAGAGGTCCTCTAAGGGGTCACCAAGAGTACTCCAGTGTCAGGCAGGCTAAAAACTTGGAGAAGGGCCCTCCAGTGGCTCTCAACTGGGTGCACTTTAAAATTCACCTGGGGCTTTTTAAAATTGCAGTGCCAGTCCCCTCCAGCAGTTGGGTCAGTGTGGGTGGAACAGAGTGGTCTGGAAGCTCTCTGAGTGATTCTAAAGTGTGTCCAGCCTTGAAACCTACCATCTTAAATGGTGGGAGCAAATGTCACTGCCCTTCTAAGTGGGTATGAACTGTGGGGGAAGTGGGAGGTTTCCCTTGATACTGAGAAAGTAAACTAACTGAAAAAAAAAAAAAAAAAGTCTGGTTCATCACTTGGAAGATGGATCCCCAGAGGGACTGAGACCTACTACCTCCCTCCAGAGGCCAGAAACACAAGTTGGTGGCCAAGAGAGGCAGGAAGAGGTTGGAGGAGGAGCCCATGAGTTTTCTCTTCCGGCTTCTCAGGCTACAGGCTAGGAGAAGTGTCACCTGGTCACCTAAGATGCGGTGACTAGCACATGATACACACGTTCTATGTCTGTCACCTTTGTTTTCCCCTAAAGTTCTTTTATTTAAAAAAACAAATAACGCCATGATTCTGCTAGGCCGAGGGTAACTGAAGCAAGGGTGCAGTTAGGCTTGGGCTGAAACTGAAAGGCAGAAGCAGAGCAGTGAATGCATAGGGATCAGAGTCCAGGAAGCCCAAGGAGAAAGAAACTTGGGCAGAGAAGCAGGGGCATCACTTCTGGCTCCTGTCCCCCATACAGCGTCCCCACTGCTCAACCTCTGGAAAGGTCGGACGGAGCTGGGTGTTCATTAGGGGTATTGTCACTTCATGGTCACATCCCACGCCAGCAGGACAGAGAGCTGGAGAGAGCCCTGACAGGCTGAGGTCTCAGTGGACAGCAGGAGCTGCCTGAGCCCACAGTCACACACAGCATCAGTGCAGGCGTGGGCACTGGGGCTCTGTCAGGGTAAGGACTAGGTGGCTGTGCACGAAACCAGGCAACAGCACTTCTCTGGGAAAACCACTCCCTCATTTGCTCTCCCGCAGAGACATCTAGGAGGAAAAGCAAGGTAAGCAACACCTGTTTACTGTCTCCAGCTTGAGGAGCCCCCTCCCCCACACCCCCTGCCATGTTCTAAAAGCCTGAAAGTCTCAGCATGCAGCCTTTACCAAGGAGGGTACAGAAATGATGAGGGGATACCATGTGTGGCTCAGAAAGCCCCTTAGGGAGAAGCATCCCTGAGCCCTCAGGGTAACTGGGTCCTTGAGCTCTGGACACCTTGCTGGGTTGAAGGCACTGTCCCCTTTGGTGCAATGTGTGTCCTGCTTCTGAGAGCCAGGAGAGTCACCTCTACACCCAGTGCAATAAGATCCCTGACTGCGCGCTGCCTGCCTGCCTCAGAGAGAGGGAGGCAAAGGCCATGGAGCAAGCACGGCTGCTGCTCGGTTCTGATCAATGCTGGTTCCTCCCTATCTGCTCACTGGGACGACAGAAGATTCCTGGAGTCTCTGTAGGAGCTGGCTTTGTAGGTCTTCCTCCATCACCTTCCACCAAAAGTAGTTTTCACTCCGAACCTTCGGGGGCTCTTCTTCAATTCCTGGGTTCCGAAAAGCCACCGCCACCAGCACATTCATGCAGATGCCATCCATATGATCTCTGCCCAGATGCTGCAGTCCAAGCAACCCCTTGGTTTCCACTGCCAAATTGTGCAGGGTCAGACACTCCTGTAGCAGCCGCAGGACGGCCACCTTGATGCCTCCCCTCTGTTCCACGGAGGTAAAGCCACAGGCAGTAATGGGCAAGTGAGGCATCCCCCCTGTGCCCACCAACACCCACACTGTCTGGACGCTAGTGAAGGTGGCCACAAGCCGCTGGCACACTAGACTGCAGGGAAGCTCTTGAGGCAGAATAAGAGGGTGCCTGGCTTGCTGGAGGTACTGGGCGGCTAGATCTATCACGTGCAAAACATCATGGGCTCTCAGTGGAGTGGGCAGAGAGACCCGTGGGAACCAGCCAGCTTGCAGGGACTCTGCATCGGCCTCCTTGGAAGTTTTGAGAGTTCCACCTAGGGAAGATTTGTGGGACAGGAAGGTGGAGAGTGTGTGTTAAGAGAAGTGTAGGTCTGGCAGAAGAAATAAGCACCCAGGCACTCCAGCCCTGACCCAGGAGGGAGGCCCTGAGTCCTAATGTTGCAACTGGTCAATGCCAGACTTGTACCAGCCAGAACACGGCTGGCTGCAGAGGGTACAACTCACTAGAGGGTAAACTGAGGGAAAGGTGGCAATGGGCCCCTGCTTATGTGCACCAGGTGGGCTGTACCTGTGGGGCGAGCAAGGAACACAAAGCGGATCCAGGCGGGACCCCGCTCCTCCACCGACAGCAGCGTCACAGGCTCACAGTGCAGCCCAGCCTCTTCTTTCACCTCCCGCTGCATTGCCTCAATGATGGTCTCCCCGGGCTCCATTCTCCCCGCAGGGAGGTACCATGACCCCCGACACTCCCTCTTGGCCTCCTGGATCAGTAGCACCTCATCCTGAGGGGGGAGAGAGAATCTTCACCCCTCACTACGGCCAGTCTAGGAGCTCCAGGAGAACAGCACAACTAGCAGCCTTCCCAGCCTGAGTCCCAGCCCAAGACTCCCTGGTGGACACCTTCAGGATGCTGAGCAACCCCAGGAAACAGGCCTCTGTGAGGCTGGTGGCTGTAGCTGGCTCCTCTCTGCAATAATTCATCCCTCTTTGGGTTCAGAGATTCCCATTGTAGGAAGTGCTGAAATCCCTGGTACTGGGGATGAGGCAAGAGTGAGTGCAGCCATCTGTCATATACAGACTCATGTCTGTATGTGTCACTCTGTATGTGTCACTGTGTAGCTCCTGCTCTCTATGGGTTTACAGATTTGCTTGGGGGTGGGTCCCTACTGTGGGGTCTGAGCTTTGAAACTCATCCCAACCCCATACCACCCAATTAGATCCCTCCCTAATGACCCTGGTCCCTCGTTGTTGTTATTACATCGACTTGTGCAGAGATTAGCGCTAAAAAGAGCTCTCAAGGGGTGGGAGGCCTGAGCTCCCCGTTACTATCCGTGGGGCCACGGGAGGTCTCCGAAGCCCCGGACAGTCATTCCAGAGAGACCGCTGAGCACCGGACACCGTGCTAGACTCCTGGGAAGGGAGGAGGAAGAACACAGTCCTCTCCTCAAGGACCTGAGACCTTGCGGATGGGGGACCTGCCTCTGGGCTTCAGTTTGCTGCTCTGTTTATCCAGACAGTCGCAGGGCTCTATTGCAAGTGTGGGTGCTTTGCAACAACTGGGAAGAGCCACGCACAACGCAGCGGCCACTGCGGCCGTTGGCTCGTCTGTCCCCACCTGGCCTGGCGTGCGCTCCCGAGGCTCGGCGGAGGCCGGCGGGCGGACGCTCACCTGCTCGTTGAGGAACACGGCCAGTACCACGTAGCAGACGTTCTTCCGCAGCCGCACGGGCACCCGCGGGTTGCCGAGCGGCTCCGAGTCATAGCTCTGCACAAGTAGTCCCTGGCCCCCCAGCACGGCCGTCAGAGCCTTCGCCAGGCCCTCCGAGGCCATGGGATCTCCTGGAAGGCGGTGGGCCAGGACCCCCCAGACGCCAGAGCGGGGCGTCCTGGGCGCGGACCTGCGTAGCGTCCCACGCCCTCGCCCCTCCCCTGAGGCCTCGGGCCGGTGCGAACACGGATGCGCCCTGCGAACCCCGGCTGCTGATAGGCTGCACGTCAACGCGGCCTGCCGGGATTGGCCGGCCCGCGGCGGTCGCCGAGGAGGCGGGGCCAGCCCGTTAAGGGGCGGGGCGCCGGGCCTCGGCATTCGAGACCTCCCAGTTTTTTGCAGTCTTAAGTCTACTCTTTCTCTCTCTCTCTCTCTCTCTCTCTCTCTCTCTCGGAACGTCTTCTCTCACCAACTTACTATTTCCTCCAGCAAGCACCCGTCCGCGCGGGTTCCGATGGTGACGTCATCCTGCCTGCAGGGTGCTGAGCGCCGGGAGATCAGTGTCAATGGCGTCACAGCCCGGTGACGTCACCGATGTCTGGGCCACGCCGCTTGAACTCACTGTCCAGCTTTTACCATAAACAAACTGGGACATTGCCCGAGATGATCACTTTCTAAGTAACTTTCTTACTTCGTTAAAATGCACTGACTGGAGAGATGGACACAGACATTTAAAAAGTCAACTGAGGGTTACAGGCTAAGTACTAAATGATTGGTTTGGGCAGAAGATGTATCAAAGGTTTGGAGGAGGTTAGGAGTAGAACTGGAATGGTCAAGATGGGGCAGGGATTGAGATTAGAATTTGAAGCTGAGACACAGCCCGGAATCAATGGCCCAGCAGTCATCGCGTTTCCCACGCAGTTTCAAGGTCTCTGCTGTAGACTGAGCCCTTGGAGGGCAGGGGCCGTGCCCTCCCACCTAGTATACAGGGCCTGGCACATGGGGAACAGGGTGTGGGTTGTTTGGGCCAGCTCCTGCTTCTCTCCCAGCCTGACCTTTCCTCCTCAGAGCTTCCTTTAACCTCCTCTCAGGACAGGAAGGCAGGGCCAGCTGGGAGGAATCTGCGAAGCAGGCCAAGTCTGGGCTCCTCACCCCATCCAGCCTCCCCTTTCCTCTTCCCTGGCTCTGCAGCTTCCTTTGAGGGGACAGTGGCTTGGTGGTTCCCTCAAAGCTCTGGACTCTACATCAGACATACAAGCCACTGCTGGCTGGCTTGCTCTGTGCCCCTGGATAAATTGTAGCCTCAGTTCTCTCATCTGTAGAACAGGTTTCTTTTTCTTTTTTTTTTTTTTTTTTTTTTTTGCTGTACTGGGGTTTGAACTCAGGGCCTACACCTTGAGCCACTCCACCAGCCCTTTTTTGTGATGGGTTTTTTCAAGATAGGGTCTTGTGAACTCTGCCCAGGGATGGCTTCCAACCACAATCCTCCTGATCTCTGCCTCCTGTGTAGCTAGGATTACAGGCATAGGCCACCCTGCTTAGAATAAGTTTCTTAACAACCCTCCTTTTACAGAGTTGTTGGGGGAGCCAAGATATTCAGGAAGGAGCTGTGTGGACTGTCCAGATTTAAGCACCATCACCAGGCAGCCATTAACCCTCCAGGCAGGGCCCTCTTGTCCAAAGCACTTTTTTTTTTTTGGCATTGCTGGGGTTTGAACTCAGGGCTTCATGCTTGCTAGGCAGGCACTCTACCACTTGAGCCACTCTGCCAGCCCTGTTTTGTATTAGGTCTTTTTGAGATAGGGTCTCATGAATTATTTGCCCGGACTAGCTTTGAACTTCGAACCTCCTGATCTCTGCCTCCTGGGTAGCTAGGATTACAGGCATAAGCCACCTACACTTGGTGCCACAGCACTTTTTGCTACCACAGGAAGACTCATCCTTATGAAAGGTGCCCATAGGGCTGCAGTGGAACTGGACTTTGCTCTCAGAAATCCCAGTCACACTGGGCTGGCCTCCTTGGGCCTTTCTTACCTGCTGATTCTGACTGCAAACTCCCTAGAGACAGGGCCTATTTAAGGTCTCAGGGCACACCTAGTGAGCCATGGTGTCTTGAGGTAGTTGCTGAGCATTGCTGGCCTCAGTTCCATCTAAACCTCCCTCCCCCTCTCCCCACCACACAAAACTGAGCTCACAAGGTGAAAAGCAAGACCCCTGGGCTGCAGAGCTTAACCTATTTGCTCTGTGTGTGTGTGTGTGTGTGTGTGTGTTTCTACCCCTCAGTTTTTCCATCTGTGAAGTGGGAGCAGCATTGGTCACAGATTCCTTTCTGCCTCCAAGGGATGATTTGAGAGAGTGAGATCATGTCTAGGCAGGGCTCTGAGAGCTTCACAGGCGTCTTAAGATAAACACCAGACAACCTAACTGCCTAGAAGAGCAAAGGCTGCCACAAACCGCAGCTCCTCTCCCTCATCATCACAGGGGAAAAGTGCTCTTCTCTTGTCAAGCGAGCCTAATCAACCCGTCATGAGGCACACTTGAGGCAATAGGACATGAAAAGCCCCTTGTAAACTGTGAAAGGCATGCACAGAAAGCCTTCCAGGGATGTACCTAGCCCTTCCCAGAATGCTGAGGGAAACAAGAAGAGGTTGGGTTTCTCAAGGCTTTGGGAAGAAGAGCAGTGGTCAGACAGAGACTAGTGAGGCCCCAAGACAGAAGTGGGGAAGTGAGAGAGGGGCGGAGGCTGAGACAGAAACCTCCAAGTGTGTCCTCATTCCCAAAGAGGGAAGAACACTTCTGGAGTGGGTGCCACACTAGGCAGTGCACAGGAGTAACCTGACTGGTCCACCCAGCACCCATCGTACAAAGCCTGAGCCATTTTGGAGCATGTTCCTGAACACGTGTACAGGAACATGTGAGTGGGAAAGCCTGGGGTAGGCAGCCTCAGGTCATGGGAACAGGATGGGAAAGCAGGATGGGAAAGGGGTGTCTGTGATGCTAGAGTCATCTACACAGCAGCAAACCCTGTCTCTTGGCAAAGTAGGGAGGGTGAGAAGGGCAGTGGCCCAAGCTACAGTGGGAGGGCAGGGTTTGGCTGCAGGCTGGGCTCTGCTACTAGCTCCCCAAGTGACCTTGGAGGAATCACATCTACTATCTAGGCCATCTGTCAAACACAGGCATTGTTGGGTCTTGGAATTAGTGGGGAAAATGGTGAAATCCCAATGAAGTTTGTTGCTTTGCTGACAGAATTCTATCAAGGTTACTGTCTTAGCTTTTATGCAACATGTTCCCATTAGGGGAAGCTGGGTGAAGGATAATTGGGAGCATTCTGTGTTGTATTTGTGACTCGACTATAAATCTAAAATTATTCAAAATAAAAAGTCTGGGAAGTTTATAAGAAAAAGGGAAAAGTAGGCATTGGATATGCCTACCCAAGCTCACTTCCAGCTTTTGAGCTTATGTGGCTATGGTGTCTGGGCCAGAGACAGGAACTGGAGCAGAAGGTGGACCATGAGCAAGTGACCCCAGCAGAAGCAGAGGCCCATGGGACACCATGCCAAGTGCCCCAGGCTGAGTCTTGGGGTTAGTCCCCACCTGGACTGTTTACATTCCTGGTCCAGCCTAGAACAAATGGAAATTAGTTCACCTGCTGTTTACGAAGGGCCAAACCAAAGATGCCTGCAAGGGAGCTTTGACCCACCATGGGAGGTGGGTGTGGGGTAGAAGAGGCAAGGTCTTTTGGGAAAGAGAAAAGCTACCCCAATGAACAAAATTCAGAGCCACATCTTCACCAGAAAGCATCCTATATTTAGAGTTCTGGGGTAATGTCAGGACATGGCTATTGAAGGTGAAGTGTTGGTAGGAATGTGTCATTCAGAGCTACTTGGACCATGATCAGCTATAAAGTGCATATATTCAAAGGACAGAGAATAGGGCAAGGCTATCTTTAAATTCAATGAAGAGCTAAGATTATAATATAAGTGAGGTGGCTTGAGTCAGAAAACTTGGTTCAAATCCCAGTTCTGCCATTAAAATTGCTGCATGACATTGGGTGACGTATTCAACCCCAATCTGCCTGTTTTCTTTTGTAAAATGGAAACGTATCTACCTCAAAATAGTGATAAGGATTAAGTGAAATCAAAGAGGTTAAATAAGCTAAATGAAAAGAATAACATGGTCAAATACAGATCTCTAATTTTTTTAATACTAAGAAAAAGTGGAATTAATGAAATTCTTCAATGAAGAAACATCTTTTTTTTTTTTTTAATGAGGGATGGTGCCAGGCACTAGTGGCTCATGCTTGTAATCCTAGCTTCTTAGGAGGCTAAGAGCAGGATGATTTTGGTTCAAAAGCAGCCTGGGCAGATAGCTGGAGAGACCCTATCTCGAAAATAGCAATACAAAAAAGGGCTGGAAGAGTGGCTCAAGAGGTAGAGCACTTGCCTAGCCAGTGTGAGGCTCTGATTCCAAACCCCAGTACCACGCGCGCGCACACACACACACACACAAAGGATGGTTATGTAAATCAAGGCACAGGCACTTAATGGAACATAAGGTTAGACAGAAGCATAAAAAATGAATACAATAGAAATAAAAGGAAAACACACACCAATTCAACAGATCCCTGAGAAAACACTGAGTGGTTGAGTTAGGGGTGAGTAAAGATGAGCAGGTACCTTTCTTATTTTCTTACTGTTCTGAACAGATGTTAATTTATAATAAAAAAGTTTATTTAATTAAAAAAAATTCCCCAAACCACAGCAGGAATAGTCAGGTATGACAAGAGCTGGCACTTTTGTGGGGCTGAGATACACATAGAAAGGAGTAGAGGGCAGAGCCACACTGGAAGGGCCATGAGGATGGGGTAAGAAGAACAAGGGGCAGCTGTCAGGCAAGCTCAGTCCTGGGGACCTGGCCACCAAGGGCAGTCAGCTGGGCAAAGGCTCTCTGGGACGTCCCTCTGGGTCAGAGCAGATGGGAGAGATAGGGTACCCTGGAGTTTTCTGGGAGTAGTGGGGTTCCAAAGTCTCCACAGGCCAATGCCACACAGGGAGGCCACCTCAGTATGTGTCATAGAACTCTGCCTTGCCTGCTGTCACAGTCAGGAACATCTTTAGGAGTCAGCCCCTGGACGGCTCCAGGGACGCAGGCCTCCGAAGAGCAGACAGTGGTATATGAGGTCCCTGTGATCTGGTCCCCAGTGTCTGCCCACCCTCTCCATTTGCCTCTACTCCAGAACAGATTTCTGTGTCTGCCCTCCCTCCACAGGCCATGTGGCCGGCAGGAGTAGGGCCAACCACATTGGCAGCAGTCACAAAACAACAGATTTTAATGGAGAACATGAAGGAGACAGGCGGGAGCAGAAGCACAGTGGCATTGCTCATGTCCTTCCCTTCAGCCAAGCCTGGGCCATCCCTGATACCATCTACTCCAAACACTTCACAGCTCTTCTGTGAGGGCAGAATTTTGGTAGCCCCCACTTCAGCAGGCCTGCAGTGCCAACAGCTGCCTGGGAACCCAGTAAGGACGCAGGTGGCATAGGCAGAGCTCAGGGCACGGGTGGGACAGTAGGGGATGAGGCAGTGGAAGGAAGTATTGCTTAAGCCAGAATGATTCCCAAAGGTCCCCAAGGAAGGGCTGTTTGTCTCCTGGGTTGCAGCACAGGAGCTGGAGGGAGTCCATCACCCCTAATATGGGCCTCGTACTACAGAGAGAGGTGATTGGGGAAAGCAGGTGCCAGCCTGTGAAGAGCAGGTGTGAGCTTCAGTAGCACTGTGGTTGTTGGCTTTAGAGCCAAGGCAAGGTTGAGGAACAGGATGATCTGTTTGTACCCAGAGAGGTGTTCATGGAATTGACTAAAGCCCCCAGGTTCCACGTTGCCATTCCCTACAGAAGCTATGCCTGGGCTGAGCACATGGTCTACCCACTGCCCCTCCCCCAGACACTGAGGGTCCCCTATTTAGTCTCCTGTAATGTTCCCACAGCCACCTTTACTGCTTGGAACACAGCACAGTCCATCTAGGAAAAAGAGAAAGGACAAAAATTTTTCAATCATATTTTGCCCCCATCCTCTGTAAGGACACCTTTCTTCTGCACAGGCAGATTGAAAACCCACTTGGCTCAGAGCTGGTCTATTTATAGCAGCTGTGCCCTGGGAGCACTTACCCAGCACCCAGCCTGCTGGCCAGTGTCATACTCACCTGAGCATAAAGCAGGCGATGGTCAGAGGGCAGGCTGTGTCCCTGGTGGCAGAGCTGAGCAGAAAGGGCAGAGGTCTCAGGGGACAGGAAGTGCTGGGTGACACTGACAGTGCTCACCAAACCCTGAACCTGTACCAGAGAAGACATGAATGGGAGGGTCAGTGGAGGATTAAGGTGTCAAATCCTCTTCCTGTCTCTCTGGTCCCCGATGTCTTTATTCTTCAATGACCCCCACTTAACTCTGAGAGAAGACAATGATATAGCATGATGCATCCCAAATGTGTGACCAAAGCCATACCAAAGGGGACGCAAAGCCCCTCTATCAGCACAATGAGTTGGCCAGGCCTAGATGATTGGATCTCTGGGCCAAATCTCACTTAATCTTGAGGACTTGAAGACCTCTCAACTTCTCCATCTCCTCTTCCCTACAGCGGCCCTGACTTCCTTCCCTGCTGCCAGGATTGGAGAGAATGCCACCTCTGATACCCTAATCTCCCCAGAGCTCCACCCACTGGGGGAAGCACCTGATGGGGTGCCCCTGCAGGCACCAGCACAGCCTCTCCAGGGGCCTGCAGCAGGGTCCAGCAGTTCACACCCCACTCCTCCCGCAGGCGCCTCCGCAGCCCTGCATCCAGGTAGCAGCTGCCTGGGGCACCAGGCTCCAAGGTCCCTGCTCCAGCCGGACACACCTCAAAGAAGAAAAGAGGAGATGAGAGGGGGTGGAGGGAAGGGCAGAGTGCCAGGAAGATAGAGGAGTGAGCCTCACAGAGGCTCGGGCACAGGAGGAAGCTGAAGTGGCCAGGTCTTGAAGGGCAGGCAGGGGAGGGCAGGACGTAGGAGAGAAAGGGGCTGTTGGTGAGGGGCTGGGGTGGCTCAGGCTGACAGGACAAACATTCAGCTGGAAGGCGCTTACAGGAAAGATTAAGGGCATCCAAGCTGGGGGTCTTAATGTCTGCTTTCCCTGGGGCTGGATGCCTTTAATAGCCTCCATGGCCTGGGCCTGACCCCTGCACCTTCTCTCTCTCATACTCGGAAGATGTCTGGCAAATCCCTATTCATGAACTGTCTATCACAGGAGTTCTTAACCTGGAGTCTTTGGGAACAGCCTGCATTGTAAGCTAAATTGTGGGTGAGCAGCCAGCTTGTGTATCCCTGGGGAGACAATCCAAAACACTGTCAGATTCTTCTAAGATCCTGGGTCCAGGAAAGACAAGGCCACACAGAAGTTCTAATTTCCAGTGGGTGGACAAGGCTGGCCTGTCCAGGCGAAGCCTCTGAAACAGGCATATCTATCAGGGCTGTCACCAGCCCAGGCAGGGAGCTCCTTCAGCAGGCAGGGACTCGTGGAAGCCAGATAGGAGGTGCCCAGGGAACACCTGCAGGGGTGAGTGCCAGAATCATGCTCCAGCTGGCCACCAGCTACATCCACCCCTTCAGCTAGAACTTCAGCCATTGTCCCTGGGATCAGAGCTACAAGACTGGGCTAAGGGTGTACGGGAAGGCTGGTGAACCAGACTGAACCTTAGGGGAGTTCCAGCCAGGTACCAAGGTTCCTTTGCCTCAGTGATTCAAGTCTGTCCTGGGGCTAGAGCAGTGTTTCCCAAGCCACCCAGTAAGAAAGTACCCCTCAGACCTCCCCATGAGTCATTGTGTCAAGTCCCATGGGACTGCCCACGGCCAGCCACACCCAGACTGTTTATGACAGTGTGCCTGTCTGCTCCCCTCTGTGTGTCCCAGCATCTGTAGATGCGTGTGCCTGTGAGAAGGGGTGGTGGAGGTCACCATGTTGGCACCTGCACGTCTGTACGTGTGCCTTAGCAGGGGTGACACTTGGAAGTCTTTCCTCTGGAACAATTGGGGCTCAGCTGGACTTTGGAACTAATGGACCCACCCTAAGATTTTATTTATTTATCCATTTTTTTTGTTTGACACAGGCTATGAAGCCCAGGCTGGCCTGGAACTCTTTTTGTTTTGTTTTGTTTTGTTTTGTTTCATACTAGGACTTGAACTTGAGCCACTTCACCAGCCCTATTTTTATGAAGGGTTTTTTGAGATAGGGTCTCACAAATTATTTGCCAGGGCTAGCTTCAAACCATGATTCTACTGATCTCTGTCTCCTGAGTAGGTAGGATTACAGGCGTGAGCTACCGGCGCCCGGCTGGCCTCCAATACTTGATCCTCCTGCCTCAGCCTTCTGAGTGCTGGGATTAATTGCTGGGATTACAGGCATGCATTACTGCATCCACCCCACATTAACCTTAACTTTAGCCTCTGGAGCTTCCTGCCTTCACCCACTTCCCATCCTACCCTTTCCTGGCAGGTCTCTCCCTTCACCTGCCTACCCAAGCCCTCTTCATGGCTAGCACCTCTGGAAAAGTCTTTCCTCATAGCAGGGAGCTATGGAAAAGGGAGTAGCAGGGCTTCCTTTGGCTTTTTGCCAGCTTCTCTCCCCAGAGCCCAGGGAGTGGAGGCTGCCCCCACTGAGCTTCAGTTTTCTTGTCTGCAAAATGAGAAAAAAGCTCTCCCTTCCTGGGCAGAAGTGGTACCCATTAACTGAGATAATGTACCCAAGGCCCTTAGTCCAAAGCCTAGCTCACAAAACTATTGCCTCATTTCAGTAGGTGCCAACTCTCCCCGCACCCCTCTCCTCTGAGCCCCATCACAGAACTGAGGTCCTTATCTGCCTTCTCTGGCACCTTTGGCATGAGTTGGGTTTGTCCAGCTCACCTGCAGGAATGGGCTAGGGAGTGAGTACACGGGGAGCACACACGCAGATGGGATGAATTTCTGGGGTGGGGCAGGGATAAGGGGTGGACTCCAAACTCCCTCCTCACCATCTGGAGAAAGCGACGGATGCGCTGGGCGTCCTGTGCCCGGAACACGTGCCACACAGTGCTGACCTGACTGCCTGGAGACCAGAGTCCTTCCCCATCCAGGCCTGAGAGGAAGTCTGTGAAAAAAAAGTTCAGGTGGGCCTGGGGTGTTCAGAGGCAGACACCTACATCGATTGTTCATCTCCTGTCTTCAGATGAGGACCCACCTTTCTGCACCCGGTGCCAGGCAGGCAGTGGTGCCTCTGCGTGTACCAGGATGCTGACCAGGTCAGCCACCTCCACACATAGGTTCTTGGTCCCCAGGTGTCCACGGTGTGGGCTCACACCTGCATGGAGGTGGAAAAATGATGGTTGGGAATGGAATAAAAGAAGCACTTCAGGCCCTGGGACCTTGGCACTGATGCCCACGTGCCCCAAGATGACAGATACACAGTGTGGGTAGGGAATGGGCAGGAGTGGAGGGGCACTCACCATAAGCTGCCCAGAGCTGGGGCTCCAGCGGACATAGGGAGAGGCCCGGTGGGAGGTAGGAAGCCAGGTTGAGTTTCCCATGGTGGGCACAGTACTCTGGGAGTGGCAAGCTGGAGGCCAGGTTCTCTACCCTGTGGGCAGGAATGGAGGCAGGTCAGGCCCAGCAGGTCCAACCAAGCACCAAAGACTCCAGCTAGGGTAACCCCCAGAGAACAATGAAATGGGGGTGAGGAGTGAAGGAGGAGAGGAAGAATGACAAAGTAGAAGACAGTGGCCAGAACTTGGGGCTGGCCTTTTGATACTGTACGTACCTACTGGTGTCCTTGTCTCCCAGAGTTCGGTGCAGCAGGACAGAGCCCTCCTCTGACTTTGGGCGAGCTAGGGGAAAGAGACAGATACCATTGGCCCAGGGAGGAGTGTCATTGGCTGAGCAGACCCTGCCCCAGGGACAGCAGTACATGACTTTACTTTCTACCCCAGGCCCTACTTCCAGCAGCCCCCAAGGCCACAGTGGGGCCTTGCCTCCCAGCTCCCTCTACATCAGGGATACTTACTCTCTGGCCGGGAGAATCCTTCCCAGAATGCTGTGCTGTCCAGGCTTGTAGGCTGGGGAGGCCCAAGGGCACTCAGCACCTGCACCTGGCCTCCAAGTGTCCCAAGAGCATCCATTCCCCACAGGCTGCCCTGCAATGTCCTCTGAATCCCTGACACCAGCACGGGCTGTGGTAAGGAAAGGAGGACAACGGGAGAATGGAGGATGCCCACCACAGCTAGGCTGGGGCATGTTAAAGCAGCTCCAGGACGGCTTGGGGAACAGACCCTGCTTCCCCCTTCTGAGCCACTAGGACAGCATGGGGCTAGGGATCAAGACCCTATGAAGCAAGTGAGGCCAGGAATGCCGGGAGGGGCAGAGAAGGCAGGCTCACCTGGCCCAGCCGCCAGTGCTCCTGGAAGAGATGGAAGCCATGCTGAGGCCTGGGCTCCTGCAGCCACAGCAAGGCCCCAGGAGAAGGCAGCCGGGGCCGCACTGGCGACAGGGGCAGGCTCAGGCCCTTACGAAGACCTGGCCCTGCTCGAAGACCTGGCCCCAGGGCTTTCTCTTGGATCTTGCGTTCTACCACCTGTGCAATGATGCTGTCCAGGATGTTTGTGATGCGGTCATCCTATGAGGAGGGGCAGATAGAGGGCCGGGAGGGCTCAGGACCCTCCAGGTCTCACAGGGAGGGCAGCCCAACTTCTGGTACCCAGGGCTCCCATCCCTCCCTCTGTGCCCTTGCTTACACTGGGCAGGGCTGGAGTGACAGGGGCAAAGGCCATGTGGATCCTCTCATGCCCCAGGCAGAGTTTGACAGCAGTAGAAGCCAGCAGTTCACAAAGAGAAGGACAAGGCAGGGGGGCTCGGCCCGCACGATTCTCTGCTGGGGTCTCAGTGGAGTCTGGAGTTTCTGTTGGGGAGGAAAATGCTGAAGGGTTTCTGCTTGACCCCGCATCTTTCCCTTGAAAGGCAGCCCCATCTCTTGGCTGAGTCTGCTCTCTCCTCCCTGACACCCCATCTCTATGCTGCTCTGGGTCTTTCCTCCCACCACCATCTTCCTAAGGCAGCTCCTGAGCCTCTGTAGAGGAGACTTCAGAAGGGAAGTCTGACTGAAGGCCAGGTTAGGAGGCCTGTGTTCAGGTGCTCGACGGAGATTATCAGCAGGAACTGGGTGCACTGTTTGCCAAAGCAATGCCAAATCCCTCCTGGAGACTTCAGCCTTCTGACCTGCCTCACTCAGTCCTAGGGGTGTAGTGAGCTCTCACCCTCTTTGATGTCCTTGGTCCTGTTGGAATCTCCATTACAGGAAGGTTGTGAAGTCGGGGAAGTTTTCTCAGTCGGCTCCTTCTGTTAAACCCATCCACCACCCCCCAATACAAACAGAGATTTAAAAAAATGGCAGGCACAATTCAACTCAACAACTCAAAGTATAAGAATTAATGATGGACACTTGTAAGTCCCATTATTGTGTTTCCAGGAGCAAAATGCTATAGCACATAGTTGCTCGTAGACTTCTTCATATGATGGGTTCTATTTTTTGCAGTACTGGGGCTTGAACTCAGGACCTACACCATGAGCCACTCCATCAGCCCTTTTTTGTGATGGGTTTTTTTCAAGACAAGGTCTCATGAACTATTTGCCTGGGCTGGCTTCGAACTGCGATCCTCCTGACGTCTGCCTCTTGAGTAGCTAGGATTATAGGTGTGAGCCACTGGCGCCCGGCTGATGGGTTCTAAAGTATACTAAATGAGTATGAATAAATAGCTGACTGAAAAGAAGTATGTAAAACTGTTAATCGCAGCGTGAGAGCCCATTATTGTTTTCTTCCTCATTCTTTTCTGCATTTCCTGAATTTTCCACAGTGGGTATATGGTACAGTGTCTGGTACAGAGAATGTATTTAATGAACTATTTCTTGAATGGATAACTTTTATCATAAAAATATGAATTTTATAAGAACTTTGCACAATGCATGTTGAGCACCTGCTATGTGTGAGATGCTAGAATACTGGGAAGATGGGTTGATACTGCTCCAGAAGGAGCCTGTGGCTGGGGTCAAGGCTATACCCATATGCAATGATGTGGCAAGTGAGCTAGAAGATGTGCAAAATAGTGCAGGACTCCAGGCTGGCAGTGAGGGAGGACTTGTGGTGGGGGTTGAAGGGAAGGGGCCAGACACTAGAGCTCAGTGCAAAGATGCTGATCCTCAGGGAATGGGTACCAAGCCTGATTTCACTGTCTTCATATCCCTCTTCATCCCCGTCAAAAGAGAAGAGACTATCCCTGCAAAGGCCAGTCATTTGCAGGCACACTGCTCAATTCTGGGGCCCACCAACTAGTCCTTACTGGGCCATGCCCTCGTTCTTACCTGCTGGCCTCCATCTCCAGGGGCCCACACCCAGGCATCAGCTTGGCAGAGGCAGTGCCCTCGGATGTCAAACTTGACCCAGACCTGATGCATGGCGGTGCTCAGTTCTGCCAGCACTGGGGGTGCAGAGGAGAGATGGAGTTTGGTAGTGAATGCACATGTGCAGCTTGGCCTTGCAAACAGGAGGGCATGTCACCGGGGTCAGGGACAACCAGACAGGAAGATTGTCTCTGTGAGGATCCACCCACTGCATGCCCCACCCCTCCACGATGGCTCACCCTGGCTGGAGACAAACTGGGTTAACATCAGGGAACAGGCAACATGCCCAGCCTCCTGGGCACACTCCCGTGTAGACTGCTCCTGAGAGCCTGTGGGATAGGAAGGGAGAAGCTGCAGCTCCAGAAAGCAAGGTAACTTTAGGTTAAGGTCAGGGAAGAAGGCCAAATACATGATATTTTAACCAGGAGGGGCTCAATAATCCACAAAACCTGTGCCTTCTGGGAAACAAATACATAAAATTCGTTGCTTATGAAATACAGAGGCTTGCATACACCAAGATGCTTTGTAAGATACCAAGGTGGTTATACAGCAAAGAATGATCCAGAATGCATCTGATTCTGGGACTCTTTTCAGCCATGTCTATTGGAACACTGAGAAACTTCAAGACCTGAGATGGTCAAGTTGAGCCAAGGGAAAGAAAGCTGAGAATCGTGAAAAGAACGGACCAAATCAGAAGACCTAAGTCGAAATGTTGACCACAATATTTACTTGCTTTGTGACCTTGAATGAGTCATTTAACCTTAGTTTTTCTTATCTGGAAAAATGGAGGCAATAATACCCACCTCACAGTGTTACAGCAGATTTTTAAAGGTGCAAACTGAGCCAAGTAGGAGGCTTAGAGTAGGCACTCGACTTCTTTTAAGGGTGGGCAAGGACACAGGCATGACCCTTTGATCTGTGGACAGGGAAAGGTCTACTCTAAGGGGCAATGAGCGGTGTGGTGGCTGAGGCTGGGGGCTGGGTGGGAGTGAGGAAGCTCTCTGAGGAGAAGCAGCCAAGAAATGGCTGCATACCTTAGAGCAGTCCTACTGAAGCCTTCCTTCCCACCCTGCCTCCCTTGGCCCTTTGGCCTGTTTCCCACCTGCTTTCTCTCTGGCTCTCCCCACACCAGTCATGCGACCACAGGCCACACACAGCCGGTGGCTGCAACGGGGGCATCTCCAGTGCGTGTTGAAGAGTCCATGGTGGCAACGGCTGCAGTAGTGTGGAATGCCTGGGCTGTCCTCTGTGACAGCTGGCCCCTGGCCTGCTGACCACAGAATAGAACAGAGTCAGAAGGCTGAAGGCCATGGCCTCTTTTGAGTGCCTCATGTGGGAAGCCTCCAAGGGAAGAGGGGGAGAAGTAGGGAGCAGTTCCACCGATGCCATCCCAGGAAGGGAGCTGACCCTTTGGCCATTCACCTATTTACTCAATAGCCCCCCACCCAGTCCCGCAGAAGCCACCTGCTCCAGTAAGCCCTCCCAGGATAACAGTAGCCTCAACTTCCCATTCTTGCTCCACCCTCAGCCTTGCCCCAGGGATTTCCCCAATGGGCCTAGCATTACAAATCCATACTACTTCCAGCACATTCTTGCATCCACCTCCCCCCTCCCATGCCCTACTTGCTACCAGAAATGGAAAGGCATGGCAACTGCTCAGGTGGCCTTTCCTCCAGGGAACTTTGTATACTAAAAGAGAAAACCTTAAGAAGTTACTCCTGACCTTACCCAAAAGAGTAGATTTTTTTTTTTTTTCCTTAAGAACAAAGGTTTGGACCAAGCTGCTGGTAGGTGGAAAAAACACCACATTCAACAAACACCTGGTCATGTCCCAGGTCAGATACAGGGGACTCAGAGCTGCTCAGACCTGGACCCTGCCCTCCCAGTGCTCACACTCCACATACATGAATACGGCAACCGAGTGTGAAAATCTTGGGGAAGGAGAGTAGGCATAGTAAGGGAGCTGCACAAGAGGCCTCAAAGGATGAGTAAGTCCTCATCCACCAGGTAGGAAGGGAGGAGCAGGGCATTCCAGACTGAAGGAACAGCCGGTGCCAAGGCCCCAGGGGATGGACAAGCTAGGGTGATCCGGGAAGGGCAGGATGGGTGGCGTGTGTGCCGGGAATTCAGCTGGGCGTGGCAGGAGCTCCTAAGAGCAGACCGAAGACTGAAGAAATGTAGGAGCTGGCCTCTCTGAGACAAGAGCGAGCCACCAGTGACCTCCACCCAGAGAGTTACAGGGCTGTGCATTTACAAAGACCTTGCTGGTGGTGGAAAGGGCTGTGAAGGGGAAGCCTAGGGTTGAGGACCCACTAAGTACCAACTCCAAACCTCACTAGCTCCTAGGTCCGAGTCCTACCACCACAGAAGCTGTCTCTGATCTTAACTCCTCTAGAGCTTCCTCCACTCCCAGGCTCTTTCAGACACTTGTACTGGGTCCTAAACCTTTCAGAGAACTGGGCTGGACTGTTTTACACTTCCCACGCAGACCAGACACCTCAGCATTGACTAAGAGCCCAAGTTAGGAATAGGAACGGAGGGTGGAGGGCTTTGGAAGTGGGGTAGGCCTGGGAACCCACAGCATGGGTGGGGTACAGGGAGGGACACCCAGGCATCATGCAGGACCACAATGGCTCACCTTCGCGCTGTGCCCAGGCCAGGGCCTCCCGCTCCTTCCGCAATAGACGGCACAGTCGGTCTCCCAAACCACTCAGCAGGTGTTTGGCCAAGCCCTTGCTGATCCTGGCCTGGTCCTTCAGGCCAGAGCCTCCTCCTTCCTTGGAACTTGCTGGGGAGTCCTCTTCAGGCAGCTGCTCTTCTCCCCGGGGCAATCTGGAGATAGGGCAGAGGGATGTGAGAAGGGAGCCCCTGGGTGGGGTGCCGGCTAGGGCAGCCAGGGGCAATGCTCACCTCTGTACCTCCTGGGAGTGACCAGCCAGCCCTCCCACCTCTCCAGCTGCCTGGGCACAACTTTGACATTGAGTGATGCCTGCCGAGAGAGATGGGCAAGGTGTGTCCTGAGGCACAGGGTTCTGGAGGCTGGTCCTGCCATCTTGGGGTCCTGAGGGGACAATGCAGTTGCTTAGGAGTCTGCATTTCTGGTCTACACACATCCAGCCCCTTCCTCCCCCAGTCCCAGGCCTGTGAGGCCTAATTCAGAACCCAAGAGAGTGCACCAGACAACTAGAAAGTTCAAGCACAAGACTGAGCAGTGGCCCTGGCAGGGATGGATGCTGAGGGAAGAGGTTGTCTGGAGTGTTGAGCCCAAGGCTTTCAGCAGCTGGGGTGATGGGCAAGTGTAGAATTCAGTCAGTGTAGACTTTGGATAGCTCCACTGAAGGTTTAGTGGTTCTGCTGGCTGCTTTACAATGTGAGAAGACAATCCCAATGTGAACGGACAGACAGAGGTGCCAGGAAGTGAGAAGGCCAGAGAGTTTCAACACAGGGCACAGATGCAGTAACATAAGAAGGCGAAGAGAACACCTTCCCAGTCCCCACAAGGGTCTCCCTGTAGGCACATGGGCATTTGAATCAAGCCATGAAAACAGTCCTGATCCAGGCTCAGCAGTCAAGAGGCTGAGAATGAGGTGATCCTGGCTAGCCAAGACTGACACCAGCAGTGACGGAGCCCTCTGTGAGGGACACAGTATGGCAGAGGAGTCCAGGATGTGCCCAAGTCCTAATGCTGGAGAGTCCAAACAGAGCCTCTACAATCTGACTGGCTAAGAGAGGCAGGATAGGTAGTGTCTGAATTATTTGTGCCACAAATAATCCTAGCAGTGAACATTTACTGGTTGTTTATAACTGCCACAAATTCTTCAGTGCCTGTGATGAGTTCTTATGGCATTTAATCCTTGCAGTAGTCTTCATGATGGAGGCACCATTTTAATCTCCATTTCATAAGTGAAGAAACTGAGGCTCAGAAAGGTGAAGGAATTCACTAAAGGCCACACAGCTACGGATCAGCAAAATCAAGAAGCAGACATTCCAGCACCAGAGACCATGCTCTGAACCATGTCACTGCACTATCACCAACACACCATGGCTTAGCAGGAGACGGGGAGATGGAAGCCACTGACAGGAAGGCTCTTGCCAATGGATGCTGCTCCACAGAGCCAGTGTAATCCAGGTAGGAAATGGACAACTGGTGTGATCTACTTAAAAAGGACCTATGCCCCTGCCCCCGAAAAGCCCAAGCCCTGCAACCAGTCCCCTCGCAGCCCCCTTACCTCTCTCTTCCTCCTGTCCTTCTGTCTGTGCCTCGCTCCCTATGGACGTGTCCAGCACCTCCTGCCAAGCCCTGGCCCTCTTCCCTGAAGTGCCTGGGAAAGGGTGGGGTGGCCGCTTGGGGGCTGGGCCACCCTCTGCTCCCTGAACCTCAGGGCTGCCTGCCCTCTTGAAGGCCCGGAGCCGGGCAGCTGGACTCTCCTCATCCTCAGGGCAGCTGCCCGGGTACCCAAACTGCTCTGAGTGTCGTGTGAGCCATGTCTTCTTCAGCTTGGTGTGGTGGCTTGTGGGACAGGCCCTGGGACCAGTGGCCTTGCTCACTTCTTCACTGGGTTCCCCTGGCCCACTGGTGTCCCCTTCTAGGCCCTCCTGGCACTTCCCACAAGGGCCAAGATCCCCCTTTCTAGCAGGTGGGTGGGATGAGCAGCAGGGGATAGGAGGCCCAGGAGAAGGACACCTTGGTGTGGCTGGTGGCCCCAGCTGGTACCCGAGGCTGCCACTGCCTGGCACAGCCCAGACATTGCCAAGAGAATGAACCAGACCTGGGGGACAAGTGGGCCAGGGAGCCCGGGGAACAGTGTTTGGGTGCCCCAGGAAAAGTGGGCAAAGATTCTGCTGCCTGCCAGCGCCTGTCTCCCCATTCCTCTGGTGGAGTGAAGGGGCTCTCTGGAGATGCCCATTGGGGGCTAAGCCCAACAACCCAGGCTCCGACGCTGCCAAGGGCTCCTTTGCCAGCCTGAGAGTGCTTGAATCCTTGTGGCAGAGATCCTGAGGGAGGAGAGAGGGATAAGATTGTGCAGCCTTTGGTTTCCAGTGCTTACAAGGACAGACAGGACTGATTCCAACAGGTGTCATAAATAAAATACAGCTATGGGAAGACACTGAAGAGCTCAGAGACTGGGTACTAAATGGCACCTCCCTGAATGGCTCCTCACATCCTCTCCTAGGGTTTCTCAGACTTTCCCACAATCTAGCAGCCAAAGGCCATCTAGAACCTATGTGGATTACTTGGTGTTCCAACCCATACTGGTTTTGTTGTTTTTATTTGTTATGTTTTCAGCACTGGGGTTTGAACTCAGGGCCTCACACATGCTAGATAGGCATTCTTACCACTTGAATCACTCTGCCAGCCCTTTGTTTTTGCTTTTGACACAGAGTCTCACTGTGTAGCCCAGACTGGCTTGAACTTTACTTTGTAGTCCAGGCTGGCTTTAAACTAATAATCCTCCTGTCTCAGCCGCTCAAGTGTGAGTGCTCGGATTACAGGTGTGAGCCACCATGCCTGGCTTCCAATTATTTTTAAACTATTCAAAAATCTCAACCTGGGCATTCAGAAAGTAGCCTGTAAGGGAAGAGTCCTAGACATAGACCATGAGATCACCTGCACATCCCACTCTCAGACAGAGGACTTGCAGGCCCAACCATCCTCCGCCCCAAGACAAGGCCATCCATTCCAAAGGCAGAGTTTCCAAAGCCTTGTCCTGCTTGGACAGCAGGTAATTTAACAGCTGCAGAGGCCCAAGAGCAGGATGCAACGGAGGGCCAGTGAAGATGGTGCTGCCAGAAGGGCAAAGTACTAGGGTTGACTTCAGGGCCTGGGATAGCTCTGAGCTGCCAGGTTCCTCTACTTGGGGGGTGCCTTATCTTTTCATCAGAAAGTGGGCAGAGTGGTGCTGCCCTGGTAGGGCTCCTCAGGGACCACTGAGCTAGCTTGTGTGGCCCGAGTCCCAGGTATCCTCTCTGCTCCTGTACTCACCTTGCCGCCTAAGCTGAAGGCAGGGGACACTTTGGGCTGGCCCCCGGAGTATACCCAGGGGTGGGGGGCCAAAGGCCAATCACACGGTCGCTCTGGGGGCAGGCCAGACACCAGATAGGGTGGCAAGTAGGTGGGCACCCAGAAGGGAGCTCGCTCCAGGATTTTGGTCTCCAGCAGGAAAGGGCAGTGCAAGGGCCGAAAGGTCACAGGGTCACTCTTGGGATGGCCACCACCATGCTCAGGAATCAGGGGGCCATAGCGAGGTGGGCACGCTGGCCCGCAGAAGGCCAGTGGATGGGGCAGCATCGCCTCCTTCCAGCGCAGTCCTTCCTTGCTGCCCAGCCAGCTGACCTTCCTCTCCCCATTCCGGGAGCCCTCGCCCTCCACCAGTGAGAGCGTGTCTTTCGGGCCCTGGGGAAAGCCAGGGGGAAGCCAGGAGTCTGGGGAGCTCAGGACGCCCCTCCAGAAGGGAGCAGGCTCTCCCAGGCACAATGCCCCATGGCGCAGGCCATCTTGAGGTGGGGTACCCAGCTCTTGTCCCACGATGCCGTTCTCAGGGGCTGTCTTCTCCCAGGTGGGGGTGTCCTTCAGGAAGCTGGGCATACTCTCCATCACTCTCCTGCCCTCATGGGGATCTCCCACGGGGGTCCCTGGAGCATAACAACCAAAGCATGAGCTCCTTAGGCACATGCAAGTACCTTACCACTGGCACAGAGTGGGCACTGCCCTGGCAGCACTTAAGTAGTTCAAACCAGTAAAGCAAGTGCCAGTCTACAGCAGGGCATCATGGAGCCTACCATAGGTGGCCTGAAGGATCCTGCCTGGGCAGGATGCTCCAGAATTAGAATTTGTGGGGCCAAATTCAGAATAGGGAGTCATTTCTAGGGTGACACATTCTGACCTCACTGAACCAGGAACCTGGTCAAACTACGGAGAAAGACAGAGCAAGAGTCTAAAATTGCTCTGGAAGGCACTGAACCAGGAGGTTGGATCCTGGCCTTGTCTTAGTCCTGTTGTGGCTTTGGGCAAGTCATGGCACTCTCTGGGCCTCAATGTACCATTGTGTAAAATGGGCTCGAGTCTCAGAGGACTCTTCAAAACTGCATTTTGTGGTTTTGGGGGTGCTTTTTAAAGCTCACCCTCAACCTGCCCCCAACCCAAGCCCCACCAACGCCAGCCAGGTCTGCAAGACTGGAATGTCCAGGCCAGGCAGGCTGAAGTCACTGGGGAGGGCAGGTGGCCAGAGCTGCCAGCTGATGTCTCTCCCTACACCTGGGCAGCCCTGACCCTGCCTCTTTCCCTGGCTCTAGTTTCTTGGCTTCTAGGGCAGAGTCCCAGGACAACAGTTGGGGAGGGGGGGTTGAATCCAGGTGGCCCCCAAGGAAAACAGTGGGCCAGCACAGAAGGGATTAAGAGACTTCAGCTGGGGTGGTCAAGCTGCCCTAGCCTAGCCGGCAGTGCCACCGCGCCGCTGCTCACTGCAGCCTGGAGGGGGGAGGGAAGGAGGCGGGGAAAGCGGGCCGGGCCCCAGAGAGACGCAAGCGAGGGAAAATTGAACGTGCGTGTAAGGGACCAGGATGACAGGTGGCACCGGAGCCGCAGCACTCTCTCCGAGCGGTCCGCTCGCCGCGGAGAAGACCCAGGAGGAAGGCGCAGAAGCCTTGGCAAGGGGTGCCAGGGCGCCCGTGGGAGCCGCACGGTCCAGGACTAGTCGCGCATCCTAACTTTTCGATGTTAAGTTGTGAGGCCCAGCCCAGAGGGGCACCGAGAACTCGCTCCCAGCGGGCTCCGGGGAATCGGCTCAGAAATCCCTCCCTACAAGTGTCCCCAGGGGCTCCCTCCTGGCGCTCCCTCTCGGTACTTACCTGGGCTTCACAGGCTGGGCGCAGCGCGGGCGGCGGCGGCGGTCTTGCTGGCCGACGCCGGGCACCCGCTCCCCATGGGCCGGCTCCGGGGCCTCCCGGCCGGCGAGCGAGGACGCGTTCTCCCGCTCTCTCCTCAGCGCACTCGCGCTGTCTTTCCCCCCGGGTGTCGGGGGCGCTCTAGGGCCGCAGGTTGGAGGGGTCGGACTCCGGGATTTGCAGGATGCGGCACACGGCACGGATCGGCCGCACCAGCTTCTGGGCTGAGGCTGTGGGTTGCGCCATGGGACGCCGAGACTCCGTGCTGCGCCTTGGGGTGGGCCGGACCGGGGCTAGGGAGCGGGTGCCCCCCGAGGGAGAGAGGGAGCCGGGCCGGGGGGAACTCGCGCCCCGGGTCGGAGATGCCGAGTTGGGGGAAAGGCCGAGGGGCCGGGGGAGGGGGTCGTGCCTAGAAGGTGGGGGACGATCCGGTGACCCAGGAGAGAAGCACAAGCGAGGGCGCAGCACCGCGCAACGCGGCTAATGGAAGGAGAGCGCGGCGGAGAGCGCAGCAGGACCTCCGATCGCCATCGCCAGACGCGCAACTGAGAGTGGGGAAGCTGCTCCGCCGGTTTCCTCCTCCAGCACCCTGCGGGAAACAGGAGCCCGTGATTCGGCGGCCCCGCCTGGGCCTGCCCCCTCCTGAGCCCTGGGGGCTTCCGCCAACGCCCCGGCGATGCCACCGGCTGCGCACGGGGAGAATGAGCCCTTTGTTCCCCCCTCCCCCCGCGGCACCCGGGCGCCTGCCGAGAGAGGCTCCCCCGGGGCAGCGTGCCAGCTTCCCAGCCGCCCCACCCTCCCGTGGGCCCGGCCCGGAGCCTGGCAGTCGGGCAGCACCCCCACTATAGGTGCCAAGCCCGGGAACTGGAGCAAAGGGCGGGAGGGGCCGGACCAGGCCACCGTGGGGCGGGGTGCCCCCCGGGGTGCTAGGGCGGGGCGGCTGGGAGGGGGCAGTGCCAGAGCTGGCAGGGGCAGTCGGGTTCTCACGGGTCAGTGATGGGCGCTTCGACCTACTCCAGCCGGTCCTGTGCCTGCTGGACCACTCTCTCCTGGTCCTCTCCAGCTATGGCACATGAGCATGCTCCACTGGCTGGTGTCTGCCCTGCCTCACCCTCATCCTCACCCTCATCCTCACCTGACCAAGCAGCTCTTTATGGTCTCCCACCCAAGCCCTCCTCCCAGCCCCATCCTAGGGCCCAGCAGCACAAAGTGATGTGCTTAGGTGTCTAGACAAGTCTGTCCCTGGTCTAAGGGCCTTGATTTTACCAAGTGTACTGAGGAATTGATGGAACCAGGGGAGATCCACTACATACTTCCAGATGGGGTTTTTGAGGGTCTGCCGCATCCCCAGTGTTCCTAGTACTCCCAGGACTATCCTGGAAAGGAACCATGAGAGCAGCTCCTGGGATGGAGCAGCAGGCAGGAGAGGAAATGGGCAAACAGGGTACCCTCCACCCGAGGAAGCATCTTGGCTCCTCTGCGGGGGTGGTTCCAGAGCACAGACACAAACAGACAGATTCAAACACACACAGACAGATTCAGACACACACAGAAACCCACACGCCCAACGGGCGCTTCCCTTCCCCTCAGGCACCCACCTCCTGCCCCCTGACTTCCCTGCTTTCCTGCATCTAGCCTGAAATAGAAGCTACCCAACCTCCATTTGGTCCCCCCATCCTGTAGAAAGGATGAGTTCTGGAGGCCTCCTGGCCTGGTCCCAAGTCACACCACCATCCCTGGAAAGGGGAGCCATGGAGAGCCCAGAGCCTTTTACCAGTTACAGAGAAGAGGAGGGGTCCTGGGGAAAGGGGGTCTCTGGGCAGGACTCAGGCTATGTTAGCATAGATCTCACTAGCCCTTTGCCTCCCCCGGAGGGCAGTTCCCTGGTGGGTTAGGGTGGTAGGGGTTGTTTACATGGCTGAGTTATTCATATTAGCTTCCTTCCCTAGCTCCCCTGGGGGTGGCCAGACCTGAGTGTGCCAGGGAAGATGATTGTAGAAGGGCTATGAGGGACTGGAGTCCCAAGACCCCAGCCTGATTCTAGGGTGAGATGGTGGTCTGGGGTGTGCCTGTGATCCTCATCCATGTTCTTTGGCCTGCCCCAGCAGCCAAGGCTTGTGGGAGAGTCTAGTCCGGGAGAGAGCCCTGTGGCTTGAGGCCTGGAAGAGGCCAGAGTGGTAGCCTGGGATGTCCAGAGTCCCAAGGGCCTGTGGCTATCCTCCCCAAAGGCAATGAGGATTGTCCCAAGGGAGTGGAACAGATACCCACCCCCCACTTCCCCCAATTGCAATGTCTGCCTGTCAGATCACAGTGACTGGTCTAGACCAGGACTCTCAGAACAGGCTCCTAGACTGTCCAGGGGCTGATTGGGGTGGGCGTGGGGACAGCACCCCTTTTCTACCCCCACCCGGTTCCTCATCCTGCCTCAGATGCCATGCCACAGGCCAGAGTCCTTGTAACCCGACTGTTCTGTGCCTGAGGATGGAGCAGAGCTGGGGAGACATACAAAAGGCGCAAACAGAAGGAAAACCACCCAGCGCAAGGACACAAAGCCAGACCATGGACCATGGCAAGCTGACCGGCACCCTCAGACACGCGTGGGCCTGGCCCCAGCCCGCACCGACCCCTTGCGCACAGACACACGCGCTGACACACACACTTCTGCTGACAGGCACAGCCTTGCTCATAGCCAGCTGCCCTCTCTCCACCCCAGAGCCCCTTACCTGGGCAAAGCACAGTGCTCCTCAGGCGGAGCAGCCCCCTGCCCAGGGGTGGGCAGCAGGCGGGGCGGGGAAGGAGCCCTGGAGAGTCAGGCCAAGCTGCCACTAATCCGGGCGGGGAGAGGGGGGGCACCCACGTCAGAGCGGGGACTGCCGGGTGGAGGGCATCTGAGGACATCCCTCCCACACACGCGGCCGTCTGGGCACCTAGCCCTGCTTCCCCAGCCCCTCCATCCTTCAGACAGCTGAGGCTGGCTTCCCCCCACCCCACCCCCACCCCTGCTGGTGATGCCTGGGGTGGGGGGGCTCGTGGGAGGGGGAATACCTCCAGGACCTGGGGGAGGGGACAGGGAAGGGAAGTGTGGAGATGCTTCTGGAGCCAGGAGGAAGCTTGGTGGCAGATGCTACCCCTCCCCTCTCGCCCACCCACCCACATCCTTGACCTAATTCCTCTTCTGGAGCCTTCCTTCTTCCCCCAACATCCCCTCCCCACAATCTAACCTCCATTCTGCCCTAGGCTCAGGAACTTTGTGCCCAACACCACCACCTCCTCTGGCTTCAGGATCTCCCAGAAGCAGGCACCATCCTCCTGCCCTAGGGCTTGGCCCCCTTCCCAGCTACTGGCCCCTCAGTTCCTTGGTTGGGTGGGGGATGGGAACAGAAGCCTGAGCTCTCAACCCCCTCCAGTGGAGACAGTGCCCACCAGGACCTCCCACTCAGCCTGGGCTGGATCTAGAGGCTTAGTATGCTGCTGGGAGTGGCAGCTAAAAATACAGCCCTGGGCTCCTGTGTGTCGTGACATAGAAGCCAAAAGAGGGAAGAGCTTCAGGACACTAGAGGGTTACAGGCCAGAGGGACAGTGATGGGACCAAAGAGGCAGAGAGGTAGAGGAGTTACCTGGAAGGATCTAGGGATAATGGGAGGGTGAAGGGAGGGAGGGATGGTGAGGAGGACCAGCTGCTCTAGAATATGGGAGGAAATGGAGAAAACCTTGGAAGCCAGCCAGGCAGGGAGGTGAAGCTGAAGAGTATGGTTCTAAGAGGCTAGCCTTGGTGGCTTCAGGTCCCTTCCCAGCCTTGATCCCACCTGGGGAGCCTCGGCACACTGATAGCAAGTAGAATGCTGGGCAGGTGGGAGCCCAGGCTGGCTTTCCTATAGATGTCAGGCCAGAGGGGCTGAAGGGTAGGCCCAAGACCCCATTTGGAGGGCAGCAGAGCCTAGGTAGTTCTCAGAGAGGTAGGGCTGTTCTGAGGAAAGCCCAGCCAACATCCAGTGCCCCAAGCCTCAGGATCATGTGTTCAGCCAGATATGCCCTAGAACTTGGATTTCTCCTTGCTCTTCCCCTGTGGCCCCATTACAACTTGGATGTCTTGGAACCTATACAATTGCAGTCATCCATCCACCAGTGCTTGTCGTGGAGACACTGGCAGTTTCAGAGTACAAAGACCAAAGTAAAAGGCCATCCCTGCCCTGGAGGGGCTTATAGTCATTTAGCTGTATTTGTTATTTTAGCAGCGAATCCTCCTTCAGGCCTCTTAGGTGTCAGGCCCTGTGCTGGGGTTGGAGGTAACAACTGGGGACTTGGACATGTTAACAAATGATTACTTGACTCTTCTAATCCTGTCCTGGGAAAGTCAGGGAGGGCTTCACATAGGAGGTGATGCTTGAGTTCAGAAGTCAGACAATAAATAGGACTTTACTACTGAAACATGCACTTATAAAAACATTTCAGTTTGGTTAAACCACTTGTTCCAGGCTGGGATACAACAGTAAGATAAGTCTGGTCTTTATGAAGTCACAAGACAGTGGTGAAGAAAACATGATATGCTTGAAGTGAAAACAGAAGTCACTTCAAGAACAGAGATGGCAAAGCCAGATGGGGTGGTACAGACCTGTAATCGGGAGGTTAAGGAAGGAAAATCGCAAGTTTGAGGCCAGCCTGGGCTACACAGAAAGACCCTTTCTGGAGAAAAAAAAACAAAGAACAAACAAAAAAAGAGAGCTGGCAAAAACTCCAGATGAGCAAGCAATGCAAGGCAGGGGCGTGTCCATGGAGGGCCTCCCAGGAGGTGAGGTCTCAGTGGAGTTCTAAGCACAAATGGAAGGGGACAGAGTGGTGGTGGGGTGGGCATGCCAGGGAGAACAAGCAGAGACTGTGGCTGTGCAGAGACTGGGGCCACTGGAGAGGACAATGCTCTACCAACTCTACCAAGGGGCCCAAGTGACCTTGCCCACACCAAGCCCCCATCCCAGGAATGAGGGCAAGTGGAGCCTCAGCACTGTGAGATATCCACTTCAGCCCACAACTGCCGGCCTCACCTAATGCTCTCTTCTTTGAACTCATTTCCTTTTCCCCTTCATCACGTGCTCCTTCAATTCAGGTCTGAAGTCCCTGCTCTTCCACATCTACTAAGGCTACTCCCAGGCAGACTTGCAGCAGGAGGCAGGGTCCCCAGCTGGCGGGCAGCACTCTGAGCCTCAGCATTTCATTTGTAAAATAGCATAGTCCCTACCTGGGAGGGCATTTGGGAAGATTCAAGGAAACACTATGAAATGCTCAACACAAGGTCAGGCATATAGTAAAAATGTCCCGTATATGTCACTGTCCTTCTCCTTGCCTCCGAGGCAAGAAACAGCTCTTTACTTAGCTACTGCAGTGATTAAGGGCATCAACTCTGGAGCCAGTCTGCCTGGGTCCAAAAGCCCAATTCTGTCACTTACTATGGGTAAATTATTTGCCTCTCCGTGCCTGTTTTTCTATTTGTGAAATGGAGATTGTAACAGTACCTACTTCCTCAGATGGCTGTGAAGATAAAACTCATATATGTCAGGGGCTCAGAGCAGCATCTGCTGTGTGGCAGCCACACTCCAGGTGCCAGACACTACTGGTCTTTGCACCCAGGAGTATCTAGCAATGCATCTGGTACCTGGTACTCTCTCAATACAGACTTTTGGAATGAATTAATGAGGAAGTAAAATACCGTGATACAAGGGAACACCATTTCAGGAGCCATCAAGTACCAATATGTGAGGAAATAATTACCCCCAGCAGATTAAGTGCCTTTCCCCAAATAAAGCCCAGATAATCCTTACATCAAGAGTTAATCCTCATTCTCAGGCCACTCAATTCAGCAGCCCACTTCCCTCCCTCTCAGCACCTTCACCCACCTTTGGGGAAAGAAAGAGCAGGCGAGGGGGTGGGAGAGGAGTGTAGCCCTGGGGCATAGTGTGACACAAGCATCCAGGGACAGCTGCCCAGGGATCAGAGGGGATGCAGCAGAGGCAGTCCAGGCAAAGAGCTTGGGTCTTGGGAGCAGAGGAGGCTCTGTGGATGGGCAAGGCACAGATCAGTGACCACAAGCAGCAGGGAGGGCCACCAGAGATCTCTTCAGAGGTCCGTATGGTCCTTGCAGTCTGCCAGGCAGCAGTCAAGCCCTGGTAGGGCGAGGCTCTGGCCAGTCTCCGAGCCCCGCCTGCTTTGACCTGGAAGCTGGGGGCAGCCCAGCTCCCAGCAGCTGCTGCCCTCTTGTGGTCACTCCTCAGAGTGCAAGCTCACCCCTGACAGTACCAGAGTGTTTACACCACTTGGTGCTCTCTCCAGCTTTCCCTGACACCAGCCTCCAGGTTCACAGAGGGCATACATACTCCCCTCCCCAGGTCCACTCTATGCACAGCTGTCACATCCCCTTTCCACATCTTTGCTCTCACTGGCTTGTCTCTAATTGCCCCATTCTGCCAGGGCTCCTGCTAACTGCTGTCTTCTGACTCTTCAGCATGCGCCCCCCCCCTACTATCCATCGCATCCTCGGGGCTCCTCAAGAGCTCATCCATGACAGCACTTGTTAGTGGCCATCTCTTCCTGAGCACTGGACTACTCTAGAAGTCTGTGTCCTCTCATCCAAGCTGTGGCCAGGCATGGCCTACAGTGGGCCTACAGTTCATTCACAGTGTGCAACGTATGGAGTGGGGAAACAAACCAGGAGAAGTGGAACACCTTTATATATTTATTTATCAAAACATTCACAAGCCTGACGACATTCACCAATATAAGACACAGCCAGAACACACACACCAGGCCTTGGAAAAGGCTATCAAGTACTTAAAAGGAGGGAATGATCACAGCTAAGTGGACTTTGGTTTCATCTGCAGGAGTTCAGGACCTCTGGTCCTACACCTGGGAGGGCAAAGGGCTGAGGAAGGCAATAGGGCCCTGGAACTAGTCTGCTCTGGTGCATTGTGGGTGCATCCCTGCATAGGCCCCACAGCATCTGCCCTGGTCCTCAAGCAATTACAGGAGCCAGGAGGGGTGGAATCCAGACCAATGATGCAGGCAGGCCAGATGTGTAGCCAAAGTCCCCTGGAGACAGTCCGTGGTGCCCTGCAGGCATGAGGTAAGGCAGCCTACTCTGCAGACCCTAGCTGTCCATGTCTGAAGGCACCATCTTTTTCCGAGTCCGAACCTTCAGGGAGCGAGAGGTGGCCTGGGGAGAGAGGTAGGATCAGCATGAGTGGTGCACTCAGGGGCATGGGCACAGCCTGCCTCCCTCACACTGTCCTTGCCACTGACCTCTCGCACTGGTGGCTTCCTCTTGACCACCCGTAGGCTCTGGCTGCGACTCAGAGGCTTCTCTCGGGGCCGGGCAGGTGGCTGGGGGGTTGCCTCAGTATCTGACCAACATCCATCCTCTGTGTCACTGTCCTGCAGGCCTCCTGCCCGGTATCCTGTGGAGGAGAAACCAAGGGAGGCAAAAGTGGACATTACATAAAGCCAAGCCAGGCCTTCCTCCAGCCCTGGGGGAGGCTGAGCCTCTCAGGATGGCTCTGGGTCCCTCTGCCACTCACCAATGGGCGGCCTCCTGCGTGGTACTTGGTCCTCCAGGTAGAGAGGATCTTGGTAGTTGGGAGCAGGGGTGTCAGGGATGGAGCGCAGGTCCTGCATGGAGAAGCTCCGCAGTCTGCCAGCCAGTGCACCCTGACTCTGTGAGGGAGAGGAAGGCTGCATCACATGGTGGAGGACCCTGAGGGAAGTGGCTTCAGCAGGAAGCAGGCCAGGGAAGCCCAAGACCAGCCTGCAACTAATCACTGGGCACAAGACTTAGAACTAAAAGCCACTCAATCACCTTCTGCCCAGCACCCTATCCCTAACCACCAACTCTCGGCTCCCTGAAAAGCTGGACAGGCCCCAAACACATGGGAGGTGGGGCAGGGCTGCTGAGGGCTGGGGCCCAGAGCACCTTGGTGGCAGCCTGCACAGCAGCTGAGGCGGCAATGTTGAGACCCCGCTTCCCAAAGCTGAGCACCGTCTCGTAGCTTCGCTCTTTGGCCTGCACAATGTATGTGTCGATCTCCTGTGGACACAGGAGAGGAGAGCTCAGGCCCATATCCAGAGCCAGAACTCCCTCTCTGCAGACCCTGCAAAGACACAGGTTTTCATACCTCCTGCCTTACTCCCACCTAGTGCCAAGCAGCCACAGATACAAGCTCAGAACACGCATTAAAAGCAGGGCTTCCCACCCACTCCTCAATGATAAATGGCCATATTCCACTCCTCCATCACCAAACCAGCTTCCAGCTGGCACTTCACACAGCTACCAGGTCATTCCCATGAACTCCTGTCTAATCATCCCAGCAGACAAGGAAGGTCAGGCCCTGGAAAGGTCCCATAGCTAAACAGCAGCAGGCCTGGAATTAGAGCCCAAGTATCCTGACCTGCAGTGAGGGCTCCCTCCCTCCCACCCACCTCTACACCTCCATTTCCACCTGTCTCTGGGGTTACCTTCTCATGTCGGGACAGGGATGGGTGGACAAACTTCCGGTAAAGCAGGCTGGCCCCCTTGGTATAGGGTGAGAGCAGCCACAGCACAAAGGCCATCTTGATCTCATAGTAAAAAGGGAACCTGTCAGAGCATAAGGGGGCAAGGTGAGTCAGGAGCCAAGTGGAGGGGGCCACCCCTACCCCACAGCCCACCAACCCCTGTGCCCAGACCAGGAGATAAAGACATCTGTGAAAGTCTCTGCTGCCATGAAGATTGCAAAAATGATCCAGTACATCATCCACCGGACCTGTGGGGCAGAGAGCATAGAGGTCAGCTAGGGAGGCTGCAATGCCAACACCCAGCTCCAGTGGGCCCAGCCCAGAGATTCCAGAGAACCTGTCTTGCTGCATTCCCCCATGCCTGGCTAGACAGGAGCCTCCAAGAAACTGCCGTTTGTTCCTGTGCCCACCCTGGCATGCTTCGCCCACAGGATCCTCCATAGGTGCACCAATGGCCTGTCCTCCATCCACACTCCCGTGAACAGGGCCTGTTCTCGCCTTCATCACTCCACTCAGGATATGCCACACTATCAAGCCCCTAGAGGAGGGAAGGTCTTCCGCACCTCACCAAGTCCTACCACACCACCTCCCAGGCCCCTCAAGGCTGTCACAGCTTCCCCCATCAGCCAAGCCCTCCTGCCCTCCCCCTTGCACTCACATATTCACGAATGTTCTTGGTTTTCACAGCCTTGTACGAAGCATAAGCTGGATACAGCATCCCAAACACCAACCTAAAAGAACAGCCATGGAGGAGGTGAGGAACAACTGTACTCTGCTCTCTCCTGCCAAGTGGCCACCTCCCCCACTGGGGTGCGAGGTGGCAGTGCCTGCCCTGTTTTTCCCGCTTGGCTTGCACAACCTGAGGTGCCTGAGTCAGTGCCCTGGAGGCCACCTCCCCACCCTGTTGTTTACAAACATCCCAAGCCTGCAGAGGCCTGCACCAGTGGTCCATGGGTACATGATGGAGGGAGGGAGAACACAGCCACTGATAAGGTAAGTGAGAGCACCAGACTGACCCCTCCCGCTCATGCAATCAAGCACCAGGGCCACCTGGCATTGAAGGTGCTGGAATACTCAAAGGAGAGGGGTAGGACTGAATGAGGAGGCTGAGCCCAGGGTGGTGAGTCATGTGACTGCTCAGATGGGAAACAAGACACCTGGGTTCTCCACCCACAATGTACCTATCACCTGTGTTTGCCTCGGCAGTGGGCTGCCTGTGGCACTTGGCCTGGCACATCTGTCTGCAGAACATGCGTGTGCATGTGGGAAGGGTCGCCATCAGTCAAGGAAAGGAACTGGGGAGAAGGAGCAAGCACATGGTGCCCGGGCGGGCCCCCGGGGCCGTTAACCCTTGCATGACTGTTGGGGGAGGTGTGACGAAGCTCAGAAAGTTCCCTTCCCCAACAGCCGTTCCCAGCTTCTATCCTGAGGGCAGAATGGCACCCGGGGGTAGACAGAGTCTTAAAGTGGCCATACTCACACCACCAGGCGACAGATCATCCAGGACACCATCGTAATAGCCTTGGGGACGAGGGGAGAACCCCAAGAAGACGCCTGGAGGGACGTTCACGCAGGGGCCCAGTGAGGGAGCCTTAGCGGAGGTCCCCTGTCCCTTGGCAAAGGCGGAGCCCGCCGCCCCAACTCCGACCCCGCAGGTCGGGGAGCCTGGAGTCCCCCCAGGAGGTCCCCGGGGAACGGCGGACTGGGGGAGGCCGCCTGGCAGGGAGGAAACCGACTTGGGAGCGGTGCGGGCAAGCGGCGGGCGGGCGCGCTCCTCCGGCCCGCGCGGCCGGGCAGTTGGGGCTCGGACCCGCACTTCCCGCCGCGGAGAACCAGGCGTTCGGCCGTCGCCGGCTGCCGCTGCGGTCCCTGGCTGGGGTGGAAGGTCTCGGCCTTCACTCTTGCGGGTCGGAGCTGTCCAACTGTGATGGGCCACCGGCACCGGGCTCCGGGGCGGAGTTTGTAACTCACTTGAAAGTTGCACGGAACCAGATCCTGCCCAACCCCAGAGCTCCGGCGCGTGGCGCAGGCGCAGTGCGGCCCCGGAGGGGCGGGGCGAGGTCAGGGAGGCGAAAGGCCGGCCCCTTAAAGGGGCGATGTGCCTCGGGAGTCGCGGGTGGGGCCATAGGTTGAATAGCCTTCCAGGTCGGAAAGATTAGGAGGTGGAAAGCCTGTACAGAAAAGGGGACAGAGAGGCGAAGAAAATCCTGATTCCAGAGTTCTCGCAGCTGTCCATTGGTATCTCCCAATGTCCTTTCCTGTCGCCTCATTCCTTTCTCTCCACCGCCCCCCCCCGTCTGTAAAATGGTGCGGGGCATGAAATGTGTGGTGTCCACCCCTGAGGTCCAGGCATAAACTGGAAGCAGGCTTGGCTGGCCGGAAGCAAGTCCCAGTCTTACACCACTGGGTCGTAGAGCACAGAGGTCAGTAAAGCACCTCAAATAGGTCCTTTGACCAAGAGAAAAAAGAGGAAGGAGTGGGGCAGGGAACCTGAAGGAGTCAAACCCCCCCACCCCCCGCGCCCCAGTAGGCTTCAGGGATCCACTTCTCTCTGGTGCATCTTTCCAGGACCTACGTACCTGAGCAGCCTGACCTGACTACTGAGAGATTCTGGGTGGAGCTCCCAGCTTCACTAGAAATTCCACCTGTTCCTCTGAGTATTCCTGGGAAATTCATAGTATCAATGAGTGCCATTTTCTACTGTGTTTTTGTGCTCAGGCTCTTACCTTTTGCAAATAGGCTTTTTAGCATTTAAGAAATATGTTCAGTGAAGGAACAAGTCCAGTGTCACCTGGTAGAATTTATTGCTGGCTGATGGCTAAAAATGTGTGGCATGGGCAGTGTTGTGAGGAAACGACAGCTGGCAGCTACAGATGGTTCTGGGAGGAAGACATGGAACTGAAGAGGTTCCCCTGGAAGAAGAGGAGAGGCTCTGAAAAGAAGGCACGCTTCGGCCTCTAGAGCTACACCCATGCAGTTGCATTCTTCGTGACAGCGGTTCTTTGTGACAGCTGCTTCCTGCCTCAGTTGCTGTCTTTGGAAATGGGAAGAACAGTGTCCCCCTGTGCTGTGCTGAGGTGCAGGTGAGAGCAGAGCTGCCCTGGGGCCACGGGGCAGAAGCACAAGTAGTTACTGCTTTTTATTAGAGCCCCAGTTAACACCCACCACTATGAGAAAGATGGAATAGTTAATGATGGGAGCCAGGGAAAGGAGGCTTCTTGGGGATAAACAAACACATGCTAATTATATGGTCTTAATTATTATCATCAATTTTATTGGTATTGCTGGGTGTGGGAGCCAGCAGTGAAACTGGCCCACAGGAGAAACTCCCCAGAGGCCCCATGTCTCCCTCGCCTCTCCTGGCCACACATCCCCAGCTCCACTCTGTTTTGGAGGAGCAAGAAATACTGAGGATCCCATTGAGAAAGTCTCGGCTACCATTCATCTGGAAATACAGCCATTGTTCTGTGTCATGGGTATCCTTGAGGGAGGAAGGATGTGACTGACTGAATGAGACCAGCTGAGGAAGTAGGGAAGAAGGAAGAGACACCAATACTTGGGCAACACATGTGAGCCTGAGTCCTTTGGTATGTTCAACCCACTGGCTGCCTTCTGGAACCCTGTGCCTCACAGCAGCCTCAGAAGCCTCTCCTTGGGTCAGGTATCGTGGAGGACATCTGTAATCCTGGCACGAGGAAGGCTGAGGATCTCAAGTTTGAGGCCAGCCTGGGCTACATAGTGAGAAACAGTCTCAAAATATTACATATCTATCTAGATCTACATCAATAGAGATAGGATACAGATAGATAAATATTACCTTCCTCTGTCCCCATTCACTCGGAAGAGCTCTCCTACATCCACTCTAAGCAGGCCCAGCTGGGACAATCTCACATGGAGGCGCCTGAGAAATCTGAAGATCAGGAAGGCAGGGCTCCCCTGGAGGGCTGTGAGGCTGGCAGCAGAGAAATGTCACTCTCCTTGACTTTGGCAGAGTGAGTGCATTCTGGCTCTTGTGACCTTTGGTCCTGAACTGTTGACACAGTCACCCAGTTACACTGGGTTGCTAAGCAGCTCTCTGGACACATGGATGAACCCCAGGGCAGGTGACCAAGCAGCCATGGAACAGAAAGCTGGGCATCTGGGCCAAGGGAGAGACTGTCTCCCACCCTTGGAAGAGCTCCACTCTGGAGGGAGTGGATGTTTACCTTTTCGCTGGGCAACAGAATGCTAAGACATAAGGGAAACTGGCAACCCGCTTGCCCTGGCAACCTGCTGGGTTGCAGTATAAGGGCTCATTTTCCATTTGAAAAAGCAATACAGGCATTCCCAGGGTGGGAAGGTTCGAGGGTACCTGCTTAGCACAGAACACAGGAGAGTGCTTTGTCACCCATTGTGAGGTGTGACCAGGAGTGGGGTGGCTGGGCATCTGAGGCCTCAGGTGAGGTGCAGGGGCTTGGAGATTGCAGATGCACGAGAACCTTGTCCTCAGAGCAGCTGTCCCTAAAGATCACCCTTCTTTCCCAAACATACCCTTCTCTGAGCCACCTCTGTATCTCAAACATTCCTGCAGACTAACACAGATCATAATTATGTCTTCAAAGGGCCTTACATGCATTAATGTATATATTTAATGCATTTAAGTCTCCTGAGAGATGAGTCTGTCGGGTAGGAGTCATGATTATACCCACCTTATGGATGAGGAGACTGAGACACCATAGGCAATGTAACATGGCTGAATTCTCTCAGTTACTAAACTGGCCCAATCAGGATGCCAAACAATAGGTTTTTTATCTACTTTGCAGAAGAAGTTGAGGCTCAGGGAACAGCTGACTTGCTTGAAGTCTCATGCCAAGCAAAGGGACCGAACCCACATTCACGTGTGCACGGTCCAGAATGCAAAGCCCAGAATGTGTTCTGCTACACACACCACATGGGTTCCCCTGCTCTCTGTGAGCTCTCAGACCTTGTCTCCATCCCCTACCCCATCCCCCATGCCCACAAGTGCTCCCTGAAGGACAGATCAGAGGAGGGCTGACATGTGACACACAGGTGACGTATGTGTACACAGGGGAGCTGAAAGGGGCTTTGGAGAACAAGTAAGGATCAAGAAAAGGGAAAGGGCCTATTCAGGATCACAATTTGTCATTTGTCCCACTTCTATCTCCTGTCCCTTACCCCATCACTGACCACATGAGGTGGCAAAAGGCTTCTCCATGGATGGGGAAGGGTGACAAGGAGAAGAAAGGTCCCACAGTTCAACACCCACACTTTGCCACACAGTGCTGTGTGCTCTCCCTGACACTCTCACCCTTCCTGATGACCTTTGGCATTATTTCTGGCCTAGTCTCCCATCTAATGCCTCTCTTCTCCCCTTTTGTCCTGAGCTCTCTACTCTATTCTCAGGCATGGGGGAGGAAACCCTGACTGTCTGCAGGGTCTTGGGTGCATCAGGCAGCACCAGGTCTCCAGGACCTTGATGTCAGGGGCAGAAGGCCATGGGCTTATTGCCAGAAAAAGTAGGGAGCCAAGGCAAGTTTTGGGTCAAAGATGACATGATGGAAAGGATGTTTCAGGAAGGTTGGACCAGAAGAATGTGAGAAGCGGGTTGGCAGGGAGGTGTGTGAAGAACCTGAGATAATACCAACAAGGGTGGATTTGGACAAGGGTTGTAAGGAAAAGAAAAAAAAAAACAAAAACAGTTTTCATTTGGAAAACCTCTGGAACCAGAGACTTGGTGGCTGATTAAATATGGAGAGAAGAAGGACCGAGATGTTGGCTAGACCCACACCAGTGGCTCACACCTGTCATTCTAGCTTCGTGGGAGGCTGAGATCAGGAGAATGGCAGTTCAAGGCCAGCAAAAATACCCCATATAGAAAGGGCTGGTGGACTGGCTCAAGTGGTAGAGCACTTGCCTAGCAAGCATGAGGCCCTGAGTTCAAACCCCAATACCACCACCACCAAAAAAAAAAAATGTTGACCAGGACTCAGCATGTCTCCCCTAGGTAAATTGTAGCAGCAGTGATGGACACTTGCCCAGCAGAGGAGCCTGGAGAGAGAATGGGCTTGGTGAGAGTGTCTTTGCCATGTCAGAGTCAGCCTGATCAAGTGACAGATTGGTCTCAGTGGGTCCAAAGTCTGTAATCTCCAGGAAGGAACATTGGGCTGTGAGTCAACCCCAGGTGGAGACTTGTCACGCTAGTCCAGCTCTAAGTGTCATCATCATAAACTTCTGACCCCAGCACAAGTTGACCTTTTGGGATGCCCACTCCTCTAAGAGAAGGGAGCAGAAGGAAGAGGGTCTGGAAGCTGGTGTGGCCTCCATGTGCAGCAAGGACAGATGGCACAGCCATGGCTTTGTCCTTATCAAACACCTTGATGACACCAGGCAGCTGACAATGGAGTGGGACTTTTTATTTGAAGCAGGTGAATCTAGCATTGCCCCCAACTGTCCCCAGGCATTTTGCCACAAGGAATCCTCTCAATCTGGCACTCCCTGGCCTTCGCCATTTAGCCTCTCTGAGTTGCTGTTCCCAGTGACTGACGGCAGAGGGCAGCAGAAGCCCGGCTCCCAGTCAGGGACCTCTGCGGGTACCTGACTGAGCTCAGCCTCCACTAAAATGCAGTGCTCCTGGGGGTGTCTCTGTGGAGTGGAGGGGCACTAGCTCCCCATGTGCTCAAAACCAGGCATCCACACAGGTGGCTTGGGTGCTTGCAGGATCCCTGGCAGGGCCAGCTCTTGTACCTGCCCAAGGAGTAAGTCCAGCTCGGGGTCCACATCTCAAAGATGGAGTGAACCAGGGGATGGCCCAAGCCTGAGGAAGCAACAGCTACAGACAGAAAGGAAGAGAGAAAGGCTTTCATCTGGGTACTCTCTTGTCCCAGTGAGAGTCAGGGTGACAGAAGGAAACTCCAGTGAAAAGACACTAGAAAGAGTACACTAGAAAGAGCCCAGGGGCTGCTGTGGCTGCTGCTACTGTTATTGCTTCAGGGGGAGGAGGCTACACCCATGCTCACAGGCTCATCACCGTTTCTGTCCTTCTCAGCTACTGGGAGGCCCGCCTGAGGTGAGCAGAGGAGGAAGGGAACTGTGGACCCCTCCAAGAAGAACAGCAAGGGAATGATAGAGGGCAGCCCCTTTGGGCAGCGCCAAGTCTGCAGGTGTGCACACACGTTCTGGACATATTTATAGGGAAATGGGAGTGCGGACAGGTATGTGTGATCATGAAACTGAGTGTGTCCACTGTCCTACTGTGCATGCAGAGGGGGCAAAGCATGGGTGGGCCCACCTGCAAGTGTGACTGCTGAGTCTGTGTAACTGTGGAGATGAACTACACCTGCAGTGCCCATAAGAAAGGCCAGAAGGTGGGGCTAAGCAGAGTACAGGAGGGTGTGACCTGTCCCCTCCCTTCACCCACCACTCATATGCAGGAGTGAGGGAGCAGAGCTGAGGAGACCTGTGGATGGGGAGGTGACAGGTATACACATACAGAAGAGTCTGGGCACTGGGTGCCTGTGTATATACAGGTTGACCACATATGACTTCACAGGGGCACACGTGCTGTACATAGAGGCCTTCCAACCTCTAGTGCCACTCTGAGGAACCCTGAGGCCTCGGCACCCATCTTAGGCACTGAGATCCACCACTATGTGTCTGTATACAAGTGTTTGTCCCTTGAAGCTGGGGGCCAGAAGCAGCTGGGCGTCCCCAGCAAGCATGTAGCAAAAGGCCCGAGGGGCCTGCACTGCCAGCTCCTGGAACCGTACAAACTTCTGTCGACCCTCGTCCCACTGGTAGATCTGAGTGAAGGAGAAGTCGCTGCCCAGCGCCAGGTAGCGGCGGCCACCCACCAGGAAGGGCTGCAGGGCCAGTGAGCCCCGGGAGGGCAGGGCCTGCACTTCGGAGAAACGGGTGCCTTCCCAGCGCAGGATCTTGGAGTCACCTATGTAACGGCTGAGGCACAGGTAGCTGTCTCGGCCAGCACGAAAGTGTTTCACAGCCTGGGCATCAGGCACTTGAGTCACCTCTCCCTGGGGCACAAACTGCTTCTGGGTACGACTCCACTGATAGATGACAGGAGCCTGAGAACTACTAGACACAATCAGCCGTGGCTTGCCCTCGCCATCCACAAACTCAAGGTCAGTGTCACGGTGCCAGGCATGCAGGGCCTGGTGGGAGTAGAAGCCATTCTGGTGCCAGCGGTAGAGGCTGGTGGCGCCTGCCTTGGAGCTGTCGGCCACAGCAAAGTACCAGTCGCCATCGATGCGGAAGGCCTCCAGGTCATTGGGCTTGCGCACGCGCTGCGGGTCTATGTCCTGTAGCTTGGTGAAGCGCGTGGTGTTGGGATCCCAGTGGTAAATGTAAGAGCCACCAAACAGCTGGGCCACTACCACATACAGCTGGCTGTCCACCACCATCGGCTTGCAGTGCACGGCAGAGGGGGCTGCCAGACAGAAACGGACAGGGTCAGGCAGTGTCAGATAGGCCTGCAGATCCCATCCCACCCCACCCATGGGAGGAGACTGTCCCCCCCTACCATGGGCCAGGACCCAACTCTCTACTACAGTATCCGCTCCCTCTGAAATCCATCCACCCAGTGCTCATGGCTCCCTAATTTCCAATAGTCTCACATCCAACCATCAGTTTTAGTAGCATCCTTGCCTCCAGGGTTCAAATACAAGTTGACATTGAACATAAAACAGGTATCCCTAGATACTGACTGATGGTTTAACCATTATGTTGGGCATTGGATTTTTATTGTGTGTAGTGACTGTGCTAAGTGTAAGCATTTATTTGCTCCATTAGTTATGCAGAAAACAACCCTATGATTTTGCCCATTTCATGTAGAGAGAAGCTGAGATTCAGAGAGAGACAGTGACTTGACCACAGCCATGCCACTGGCAAGTGGTCAGCCAGGAAAGAATGACATAGGTGACAAAGGAGAAATCCTAGACATACTAAAAGGACATGTTTGATGTTCAGATTGCTGTGCTCCTCAGGGTTCTCATTTTTGGAAGGATTTTGATGTACAAGGATGTATGGCCAGCGTGCCTGTGCTCATAGCCAGATCTACCTAAACCCTCCTCACCCACAAAGCACAGGAGGCCACACACGGCTTACCTGGCATGTGGGAAAGCCCTGCCTTGCTCACTGTCCTCTTCACCATGACCCTACCTTTCCCCTGGGGAATTGCATGCAGTGCCTCAGTCTCCAGCAGTCACTGCCTTGGTCTGTCCCCCAGCTTCAGCTCTGCCCCACAGACTTTTGCTGCATACCCACCCAAACACCTCAGCCTCTGCCTGGCCCACACTGAGCTCCACACCACAGCTACGCTGGCTCCTCCTGGGAATTCCATTTTAGCATATGGCCCACCCAGTCCAGAATCCCAGGGGTCATGGTCAGCCCCAATACTCTTCTGTCCTTCGTTTGCCACTTCCTTATTAGCCCCAGTCCTGGCCATCCTTCCTTCTACTTTCTAAGACTTTAAGATATGAGTTGCTTATTCCTTAAAAGTTTGATAAAGAGCCGGGTACCTGTGGCTCACGCCTGTATTCCTAGCTTCTCAGGAGGCAGATATCAGGAGGATCACAGTTCGAAGCCAACCCTGGCAAACAGTTAGAAAGACCCTATCTCGAAAAAACCAAACATAAAAGGGGCTGGTGGAGTCTCTGAAGGTGTAGGCCCTGAGTTCAAGCCCCAGAACCACAAAAAAAAAAAAAAAAAGTTTGATAGACTTCACCAGGGAAATGCTTTGGGCCTGGAATTGTCTTTGGGGGGAGGATTTGTTTTGTTTTGTTTTGTTTAATAGACTTCAAGTTCATTAATAAACAGATTTAAATGTCCTGTGATCTTGTGTTAGTTCAATCCTCCTTTCTAAGCCTCTCTCTATCCTCACTGCTGCTGCCCAAGTCTCAGCTCCAGCATCCTTTCTGAAGACAGGCATGCATCCTCTACTGGTCTACCTACATGACCTGGCTTTTTCCCACACAGTATGCTTTCTAAAATGCAGATTGGCCAGGTGACTGTAGCTCATGCCTGTAATCTTAGCTACTCAGGAGGCAGAGAGGCCTCCTAAGCAAATAGTTCTCAAAACCCTATCTCAAAAAATCTCATCACAAAAAAGGGCTGATGGAGTGCCTCCAGTGATAAAAGTGCCTGCCTAGCAAGCACGAGGCCCCCCGCCCCCCCCCCCGTTTATTTTTTTTTTGGCCTCCCTCCTTCCTTCCTTTCTTTCTTTCTTTCATGCTGGGGATTAAACCTGGGGTCTCATGCTTTTGAGGCAAGTGTTCTATCCATGAGCTCCATCCCCAGTCCCACTTATTTTTTTTCCATAGAGTCTCTATGAGAGTTTTTGCCATGCTGGCCTTAGACTGCAATCCTCCTACACCTTCCATGTAGCTAGGATAACAGGCATGTACCACCATACCTGGCTCATTTGTTGAGATCGGAATTTTTTTTTTTTTTTTTGGTGGCCCTGGAGTTTAAACTCAGGTCCTCATGCTTGCTAGACAGATGCTTCACCACTTAAGCCACTCTGCCAGTCTTTTATTTGTGTTAGGTATTTTCAAAATAGGGTCTCTTGAACTATTTCCCCAAGCTGGCTTCAAACTGTGATCCTCCTGATCTCTGCCTACTGAATAGCTAGGATTACAGGTGTCAGCCACTGGCACTCAGCCTGAGGGCCTAAGATGGGATCTGCTAACTTTTTGCTCAGGCTGGCCTGGAATCTCAATTTTCCTGATCTCCTCCTTCTGAGTCACTATGCCTGACCCAATGAATTTTTTTTTTTTGAACTCAGGGCCTCCAACTTGCTAGTCAAGCACTTTACCATGTGGGCTATGCCCCCAGCCCTGCTGACCTGAATCTTATGTTGCAGTTAATTCAAGCTACCTATGATGTACACACACATGCACTTACACAGTAAGCTATTGCACACCTTTTTGACTTTATACCATTCCCTCTGTCAGAACACCCTTCCCCTCTCCCTTTTTTTGTTGTTGTGAGACTGGGGTTTGAACTCAGGGCTTCACACTTGGAAAGCAGGTACTGTACTGCTTGAGCCACACCTCGAGTCCATTTTGTTCTGCTTATTTTGGAGATGGGGGTCTCATAAGCTATTTGCCCTGGCTGGCCTCAAACCTATCTTCCTGATTTCAGCCTCCCAAGTAGCTAGGATTACAGGTGTGAGCCACCAGTGCCCCACGCCACTTCCCCTATCTTCCTCTCCTAATGAATTATCCCTTAGCTTTCAAAACTCAGCTCAAACTCAGTATATCCAAAACTGAACTCAACAGCCACTCCTATCTCCTCCTTCATATTTTTCTCACATTCTTCCCTCTCCCTCATTCTTCAAGAGGCTTAGGTATCTCCTCCACCAGGAAGCCTTTTTTTTTTCAGTGCGAGGGATTAAATGCAGGGCCTTGCACATGGTAGGTAAATGCACCACCAGTGAGCTACAGCCCAGCCCAGGAAGCCTTCCGTGACTGCTCAGAGCATTGTTTCATACCTTCCTCTTAGCACCTATCAATCACTCTGTGGATGTCATCTGTGTATGTACCGGCCTCCCCCAAACACAGGAAAGTCTTTATGGGCAGACACCATGCCTACCTCTCTCCCTGTTCCTATAGGAATTCAATGGAGTTGAACAGATCCTACTGCTACCTCCCAGACCAGGGCCAGCACAGCCAGGTCGGTGCAGTACCTGGGATTCTATCATAGTCTCGAAGCTGCCGTTCCACATAGTCCCACTTCAGGATGGTGCAGGCGCTGGCACCTGGCTGGGCCAGAGCCAAATACAAGTCACTGGAGTATAGGAAGGGCTCAGCTGACACAGCTGGGAAGGACAGAGTCTGGTAGAGCACGAAATCTGTAGGGATGAGAAGTGTGGGCAGTGGAACTCAACACGGGGAAAGAAGGTACTGGCCACTGGGTGGCAGCCATGACCTAGCAGCTGGGGCTAGGTGGGCCATTTAGCCAGTGCCTGGGGCACCTCCTACCCGTGGTGATGCAGTCAAACTCTCGCAGTGGCAGGTCCTGCACCTTGTGCTCCTGAAAGCGGGGCGGGCTGGCACAGTAGATGGGAGCCACGGTGGTGTTGGTATGAGACAGCCACTCCACCAGCCACTTCACCTTGCAGTCACAGTTGAGTGAGTTACCCCGTAGATCCCTGGATCATGAGGGCAGGGTAGGGGGCACAGAGGAGACAGGCTCTTAGCTACTCTGCCCATCTGCCCTTTAGGCTTTCAGAAGTAGATCTTGCCAAGGCTGCTTCGAGTTGCTCATGGGCAGCTTTGTGTAGAGTAGAGAGAGACCCCCCGCCCCCCGCCAGAGAAAATGCAGCCCTACAACACAGGAGCAGCCAGAGGAGTGCAGAATGAGTGGGGTGCCAGCCTGGCGCCCCTCCTGGGCTGGATGCCTTCTGCGGTGGAAAACCCACACAGTTATATGTCATATTCCTGTTCCTCCACCTCTCCTGGGATCCAGGAGAGTTTTATTTTCTTGTATAAATAATGATAAATGATTGTGGCTATGCTATACAACTTTAATGTAGATTCAAGTCAAACAAACATTTAAAAAGTATGTTTTTGAAAAGCACTATAATCTCTCATGTGCATTTTGTGAGGAACCCCAATTTGGAAAGTAATATGATCTTACCTTCTTAGAGCCTCCCAAACTCAAGCCTCCCAGACTGTCAAGACCCTATGATCACCCAATGCTGGCTCCCACACTCCTCCCTCCAGGGATGTACCCTCTAAGGCATTGTTAGAAGAGGCAGGACTCAGGCCTTACAAGTCACTCAGGATGTCCAGAGGCCGAAAGATATCTCTGGGTAGCGTCTGCAGGTTATTGTTGGCCAGTGAGCTGCAAGAGAGATCCTAGGGTCACTGAAGACCATGACTGAGGCCAAAGGCCAGAGGACACATGGGGCTGTGGTCCAGTGTGTATCTGTGTGTCAGGTACTCACAGGTGTGTCAAGGACTTGAGTCCTCTGAAGGTAAACTTGGACAGTGCCCAGATGTCATTGTTTTCAATGAAGCTGGAGAAAACAAGAATGTGCCTCAGTTGCCACTCAGGACCCCAGACACCCACGCAGCCATCTCCCCTCATCTGAGCCCAGATCCCAGCCCAGAAGTCTAAGACAGGCTTCCATCTAGTGCAATGACATCAAGCCTGGAGTCACAAGGTGGTCAGGCAGGATGGTACAAGCAGGGCCGTGGATGCAATGACCCCCTGCCTGGTCCTGCTGTGAGATGATCCAAGGCTCCCATATCCACTACATCCCCAGCCTTCCCATTCCACCTCAGCCCACTCAGGTCTGGGCTCCCGCCTCCCTTTTCCTTTCCCATTGCCCCTTTCCCTCCCACACACAGGTACTGCAGGTGCGACAGCCCTGTGAAGGCGTTGTCTCCAATCAGCGTGAACTTGTTGGAGTTGAGTAACCTGTGGAGACAAAGGTGGAATTAGAGCTTCCAAGTGTGTGCCTGCTGCCCCTAGCCCACTGCCTCACCCCAGAGCTTCCCTAAGATCTGTCTGTCCTCTCCGAACACGTCTGGACCCTAGCAGTGAGCCCCTGAGCCACCTGGGCACCAAGACCTCATGGGAATCTGTTCCAATGCCAGAAGCTCCCAGGCTCCCTGCTTGCTCCTAAAAACATGGGAAAGTTCTCCTGCCAATATGGCTTACCCCACAGGTGTCTCCTCTCTGTCCCTATCCTCACCCCAGTCCTCTCCAGTCTTTCATGGACAGCTGCTCTGCCATGCTGGCCTTTTAGCCCCCAGCTGTTTCTTTAAGTCCTAGTTCCTGGCTTGAAGAAATCCATTTCTAAGATGACCCTCCCCACTGTTGTCCACTCTCTGGTATTGGCCCAAGCTATTGCACCCAATTCCCTTGGGTTCCTACAGGAGCCAAGACCATGCCCCAGATTCCACGTTCTTGGCTTCTACATGCAGTCTACTTGTTGCCCTGACTCCTGACTTCCGGCTGCCCCACCTTTCGTGGGTATATTCTAGCTAAGCAAAAAAGGATACCTGAATCTTCATCAACCTGGGCTGCCTCTACCCACTCTCCCTTGCCCGCTTCCGCCATGCCCCCACCCGCCTTCCCCAAGGCCATCCATACAAGAACTGCAGCAATGGCAGGTGGGAGAAGGCTCCATCCTGGATCTCTGAGAAGGCCGCATTCACCAGGGTCCTGCAGGGGACACCCCAGTTATTACTGTGGGGAATGCTCAGGGCCCTTGCTGGGCACAAAGGTACACTGGGCGGTGACTTCTCACCAGCCCTGGCCCCCACCTGCATCAGTCCTTCCCTTCTCCTCCCAAACTCACTGCCCTCCTTCGCCATTCTCCTCCCCCACTGCCTGCGGGAGCACCAGTGGCCCCAGGCTCACCTTCCCTCTCAGCCAAGAGAAGGCTCCATTACCCGCACCACAGTCATCATCCAAACACCCACAATGGGCTGGTGCTGTTGAGGGACCAGGCACTGCGATGAGGGAGGGAGCTGGCATCCTGTTCTCAAGAACCTGGCAGCCTCTCTAGTCCCTCAGGCAAGGGGAGCCTGGGGCCAGTTGCTGCAAGTGATGCTGGCCAGGCTGGGTGCAAAGCAGCTGGCCCAGTGGCAGGCGTCTGCCCTGTGCCAGGGTACCGTGCGGGCAGGCTCCCTTGTCACCCCTCCCCCAGCTGCCATCCCTCCTCCTGCTTTCTGTCCTTGGTGTAACATCACAGGCAGGGACACACATGCTCATGTAAACTCCCCCTCTGCCAGGTCTGTATGCTCTGCAAGTACACACTATCACTAATGGCTGCTGCTGGTGATGATTCATTCTTGGCCATGAACTCTGGCTTTCCTCAGTCATGGCTGCTGAGCCTGCAAGACTGCAAAGCTCCCTGATGGCTGGGACCTGGAGTCCCCAGCATTGAGGATCCCTCAAAGTGCTCCTGGTCCCTACACTCTGAAGAGAGGGAATGGGGGTTCTCCCACCCACCCAAAGCAGTCCTTGCCCTGTCTCCCACCCCACTCCAAGGCCAGGTAGCCACTCACAGGGAGATGACCTCTGAGGGCAGGTTCCTGGGTACTGCCTTTGAGTCCACGCAGAAAGCGGTGTCCCTAGTGCAGGAGCAGCTGGGTGGGCAGGGGGGCGTCTTGGGAGGCCTCTTAGCACTGACTTGCAGCATCAGGCAAAAACCGAGCATGGACAGCGCCAATAGCCAGCACCGGGGACCCCGCCCGGCCTGCAGCACCGCCATGCCGCCTGCAGGTTCTTCCTTCAGCCACCAACCGGCCTGAGCCCTGCTGCTGCCTGCAGTCTGTGCCCACCCGCTTGGGCTGCCACCTCCCAGCTGCTGCAGTCCGAGGCACCTGCACTGTAGGTTCAGCGGACTCCTCCTGCCCTCTGGCGCTGGCTGCAGGACCCCTCCCCCGCTCGCTCCCGCCAGCCGGCTGCAGAGCGCTGCGCTGAACCCCGACCGACCGACCGACCGCAGTCTAGGGCTGCCCTGGCTGGTGGTGGACGCAGACTGCGGCGGAGGAGGCGCGCGTGGGGCGGAGCGGGGAGGCCCACGCCCACCCGAGAGCAGTCAAAGGAAGCACGGGTTGCACCCGGGCGGCAGTATGCCTTACCAGGCTCTCTGCGACCACCGATTGTGTGTCTGATCCCTGGGGCTCAGTGCATGAGTGCACGTGTGTGAGAGCGCACGTATGCATCTGTGTCTTCGGCATGACTGCGTGTAGACCTGTCTTTGCATGGGGCACGTGGATTGCTGTGTCTCTGTGTACTTGTGTGCATGTCTTGACTGTGAGGGGACATAGGTACAGAGGCATGTCATAAGTGACACGTGTGCATACAGGTTGGCTTGGAAACTCAAGGGTGCTTATCTGTACTCATGTCTTTCCACTGGCCGCTGAACAGAACGTGCCTTTGTGTCTGTCAGCTGAAAAGCGAAATGTAGCCTTTGGAGTTGGAGTGGGAACTTGTGGAATTCTGGAACATTTCTCATTGTACAACCACAGCCTGTTGGAGCTGGGAAGTGCCTTGGATGGGTTCCAGTACAGCCCATTGTTTTACAAAGGAGGAAACTGAGGCCTCAAGAAAGAGGAAAGGAGCCAAGCTTGGTATCTCTATTATGTGCTGTGTACTTGGCGTAGTTAATCCTCTTGCCCTTTGGAGGGAATCAATATTAACTCCCGTTCACAGATATGGGAAGTATAGCCCTACGACCAGTAGTTCAATTTCAAGTTCACAGCAGTTCTTCTACATTAAGAATCTTCTTCTGGGAACTATTTGCACCTTTCACTTCTGTGCTCTTACAAAAGTACCCTGGAATTTTCCAGAGGCAACATAGATTGTCTCCTACTAAGCTCCAAATTAAAGAGACTGGCAAAAAATGTAAAATAGTTGCATCCTTCTTAGTTTTGTTTTTTGTTTTTTGGTTTTTTTTTGCAACAAATATATAGTTATTTTCATTTTAAAATATGTATGACTTCGCCAGGCACCAGTGACTTACACCTGTAATCCTAGCTCCTTGGGAGGCAGAGATCAGGAAGATCATGGTAGTTTGAGACCAGTCTGGACAAGTATTTCTCCAGACCCTATCTCAAAAATACCCAACACAAGAAAGGGCTGGTGGAAAGGCTCAGTGGTATATTGCCTTTCTAGGAAGTATGAGGCCCTGAGTTCAAACTCTGTACCAACAAATATATATAATATTTAAAATATTTATTTATATGTTAATATTTGAAAATTTTTGGTAAATGCCAATATGGTAAATATCAATAGATTTAACCCACAACACAAAAGCTTTCTGGGGTTTTCAATACTTTTTGAGAGCATTAAGAGGTACTGCCAATGCTGGGTATTGAGGGGTGGCGGGGAGAGGGAGGGGACAGAGTAGGTGGTAAGGGAGGGGGTGGGGGCAGGGGGGAGAAATGACCCAAGCATTATATGCACATATGAATAATATAAATAAATAAATAAATAAATAAAAAGAGGTACTGCCAAGAGTGGTGGCCACACCTAAAACCCCAGCTCGGGAGGCTGGGGCAGGAGGATCAAGAGTTTGAAGCCAGCCTGGGCTACACAGTGAGACCCTGTCTTTAAAATGACAGAGAGAGAGAGAGAGAGAGATCATTAAACCAAAAAACTTGAGAATTACTGCTCTACTCCATGTGACCTGGGAGAATGAAAAGGGACTGTCCCAAGAGCTCATAGGTACAGGGAAGGGGAGACTAGAAGACAGTGTTGGGCTCTCAGTCTTATGATTGTCCACATCAGTCCAGCGAACTGACATCAAGAGACGCATGGCTGCAAGATGCTTCCCAAGCTGTTCTCAGCATCTGCCAGCCTAGGAGTCTTCTCTGAGCTTAAGTCCATGTTCTCCCAGCCAGGGATGTCCCTGTGCTGTGACACCCACTTGCCTCTGACCATCCAGCTGCCTGTGCTACCCTTTTCATGCCAGCTTGAGGGAAGGGAAGTGATGGGGGTGGGGAGGATGCCTGGGCAGCTGGGCAACCGTCCCCACCCGTCCCTGGCACGGCTCTGCCTAGCACACAATGCGCAAGTGAATCTTATCCCAGCCCGTGCAGCTGAGAGGTTGGGAGGAGGAAAAGGAGAGGCACATAGAGAAGGGGTGACCACTGTGGGGCTCTCTATCACCCACAGTTCTCAAAGAGGGTAACGCAGAGACAGATGAAGGAAGGAGCTTGGGTCCTAGACTTAGCTAGTGAGAGGCAGTCTGGGGGATGAGTGAGGTGATGATAACGATGATGACTGAACTTTCACATCTGTGATTGGAGCCTCACAACAGCTTAGTGAGGTGGACAAGACAAACAGAAGTAGTTCCATTTCACAGATGAACATTCTAAAGACTAGAAAAGCAGAATGATTCACTCCTGATCCCAGAGCTATCACTGGAAACAGAGACCACACATACCAAAGGAAGGAACTAGGAATGTCCCAGAAGGAGCCTCCTTGGGTTTGGATGGTCTTATCATTGAATATAATTACATGTGGGCTGTGCACATGCTCCCTGTCCTATGGCAAGTTCACAGAAGAACAAGGAAAGCATGCCCCTTTCCTTCTCAGGACAGTAGCCTAGTTGGGGAGACAGTGGACAACCTTCTTCTTTCCTCCGGCCCCAGCTGATCACCCTGTGTGTGGTATGATGCAGTGCGGCAGAGAGGTGAGATATCAGAGGAGGGAGGGTATAGTGGGCTGGGGGGGGAGGTCATACAGCAGGTGCCATTGGCTGTATGGCCTTTTAGGGTAGGTGGCATTCAGAGGGAGAGATGGCTTCAGTAAATACCTAAAAGTGAGAAGTCTGCAGTTCAGAGCTGGAATGGGGGCTGAGGTTGAAGGCTGTGCATATGCACCTAAAGGGCCTCCTTTCTTCCTCTTCCAAAGAGCCCAAGATCACTTTCAGGTGGGGGTCAGTATCTGAATATGAATTTCACTTATGAAACTTGATGGCACTTTTGTCCAGCCCCAAAACAGACAAAAACAAGTGAAAAATAAAAATAAAGCAGTGGGAACACAACCTAGAGGCAGCCAGCAGGGGACACTGAGGACCTGAGAGAGAACAGAGGCTCTCTTCCCACACCTGGTGATGATGGCAAGCCCTACTCGTGAACCTGCTCAGAGCAAGGCCCACCACTGGACATTGCGGCCCCCTGAGATGCCCGCAGGGACCCCGTGATGTCTGCAGTTCTTCTTGGTTCTCTCACTGGCCAGCTGCCCACCTGGCTCAGGCCCAGCGTGTGTGAGTCAGCCATCAATCCCAAGGTTGCTGGGACAACAGGGTGAGGGAACGAGAGTGGGAGCCTGGGGGGTGGACAGGAGTGGGCAATGCAAGCAGACTATCTCCTACATCTGGCACCTGCACACAGCTGATGCCAACCTGAGAGGAGCAGAGAGCAGGAAACAGCCCCCCTTCGTCCTACAGCCCTTTCCTTCTTCCACTCATCCTAGAACACTGGCTCACTGCTGGAGGCTTAGGCAAATATTGAAAGGGGCAGTTAGGAGGGTGAGGAGCAAACATTTCCTTCCCTGAGCTTCTCAGAGGTTCTCAGCTCAGATGCCATGCTGTTGTACCATGTAGAAGTTGAGGCCCTCCAGCTAGAGAGGGGCTCCTTGTCAGGGCAGAGGAGCCTGCCAGCCCTTGAGAGGGGGCCGGCTCATGATCAAAGTGCAGGGACAAGATGTGAGCGAGCCTGGCAAAAGGGACAGGAAGTGAGGTGATGTTTTAAAGTACAACTGGTTCTCTGTGTCCATGGGCTTTGCATTCACCAATTCTAACAAAAGTCGATGGAAAGTATTCAGGGAGTACTTCTACTGAATGAGTAGACATTTTTCTTGTCATTATTCTGTAAACAGTACCGTATTATAACTATTTACATTGCTTTAGGTATTTTAAGTCATCTAGAGATGAATTAGAGTACAAAGGAGGCTGTGGATAGGTGCTATGCACATACTATATGACATTTTATATAAGGGACTTGAGCATCTGTGAATTGGGTATCCACGGGGGAGGGAGTGTCCTGGAACAAATCCAAGGGATACTAAGCAATGGTTATATAAGAGGACAAGAGAGGCTAAGAAAGGGAAGTGCGGGGCTCTGGCTTACACATTGATGAAACTTTCAAGATAGAGGGATTTTAGAGACCACCTGGTCAGCAAATAAAGGGGAGCCCAAGAGAAGGGCACAGACAACTCCAAATCACTGATAGATTTGATTTAGTGCATAAGCACAGAGATGGCTTAAGGAAAACGGATAAAGCAGGAGAGGGGAGAAGATTCAGAAAGTGGATGGATTTGGTTGTGTAGCACTCAGAGGACATTTAGAATCCAAAAATATAAAAAGGAGACTAGGAGCCTAAGAGCCTAGAAGGGCAAGGAGCAAGTGGGTTGACTCCCAGACTAGAAGACTGGGACCACGCCCAGCACTGCATAGAGCTGTTTCTGTCTAAGAAAGCACTATCAGGGGCTGGTGGTGTGAGCATTTGTCTAGCATGCTAGAGGTTCTGGATTTAGTCCTCAGCACCACAAAAGCAAACACCTGATGTTAGGCATGGAATCTGCCATCAGAGCTTTCAGCCTACAGATGAGCCCAGAGCAAAAAATGAAACATCACCCATGAGTAAGAGTTTCCCAGCAGTGGGGACAGAGTTTCCAGAATTAGGAAAAGAATGACTGGGGCAAGTCTGAGGTTAGGTATGGCATGCGTGGGAGGAGGTGAAACAAGGTAAAGAGGACTCTGATCTTCTTGGAGTATGTGCTTATAGACCCTCCAACTGCTGTCACAGCCCCTCCTCCTCAGCAGAGCTCCCCTGGGTATACAGGTAATGTTCTGGTAGAGCTGCTGCCCATGCGTGGGGAAAGTCTGTTGGGAAATGGGACAGCCAGACCCTTGGCTGCCGCCGGAGAGGCTCAGCCTGGCAGAAGAAGAAGGGAAGCCACAGGGTTGCAGGGGGAGGTGCCAGCAAGAGAGTCAGACAGGAAGACAGGTGCCAGGAAGACACCCACGGTGAGAGGAGCAGGTGGCCTGAGGGCAAGTTTGCTTAGCTCACCCAGGTTTACTCTTGCTGGCCAAGAGAACTCATGTGCCTGGGCCAAGGGCCCTTAGGAGCTCTTGCAGCTGGCTTATCAGGGCCTTGGCTCTGGAGGACCAGGAACAAATAAGCTTCAAAGCTAAGAGCTTGATTGGCAGACAGATGACCCCATCCTTCACCTCTGTCCCCTCTCCCTGCTGATACATATAAGACCCTGGCCACACTTGAGGGATGAGGAGAGGAGAGAGCACAGAAAGATGGATGTGGGCAGCAAAGAGGTCTTGATGGAGAGCCCTCCAGTGAGTGTGTGTGTGTGTGTGTGTGTGTGTGTGTGTGTGTGTGTGTATGCATACTGGTCTCTGCCTTCTCTATTCTCCCCTAGGCCTGTTTCCTCATCCAGAATCACTCAGTCAACTAGCCTAGGACCGTGCTAAGTTACAATGGGGACACCAAGACTACAAACCTGGTGGAGATGAATGTGACAAGTCAACAATTCTAGTATAAAGAAGTTGAGGGCTACCATAGGGGTCAGTGGAAAGGACTGTGGAAAATGCTGAACCACTAAGTACTTGGGAGGTCACAGGAAGTTATCACAGAGAAAATGACATGTGACTTGGATCCAGAAGAATAAGTCAGAACTTACAAGATAGAGGAGGAGAAAGGCATGGCAGAAGGATATGGATAAAGTCATGGAAGCAGGACAGCCTGGATCCTTTGGGGGAACAGAGACTGGCCATGGCTGGGGTGCAGAGGCCTTAGGGGGACAGCAAGAGCCCAGACCTTACTTCTAAAAATCTATGGATTTATTGGAATCTAGGCCACCTCCTCTAAGAAGCCTCCTTGGATCTCCTCAGCCCTCCTCTGCATATCAATAGCATTGCCTGTCCAGTCCTAAGAGGGTGTGGGAGGGTGTCCAGTTTGCGTGGGGAAAGATGTCTTCATCACTTCATGCTTGTCTCCCTACTTGCCCCACCTTGTTAGGATTACTCGGCAGGCTCCCGGGGCCGGTTTGGCATCCCCTGTTGCCCAGTGCACCTCAAACGCCTTCTCATCGTGGTTGTGGTGGTGGTCCTTATCGTCGTGGTGATTGTAGGGGCTCTGCTCATGGGTCTTCATATGAGCCAGAAACATACGGAGATGGTGAGTAAGTCTGGGACAGGATAGGCTGTGGCCATGGGAGCAGGCGAGAGGAGGGCTGGGTGAGTTAGGCAGATGGGAAACCATCCAAGAGGAATGGGGGCAGGCAAGGACATAGCTTGGAAGGACAGACACATGAATGGTGGCCACCTGGCTTAGACTTCTCTACCAGGTCTCTGCCCCACAGTGTGACAACCAATTTCCTCCAGCACTCGGTTCTGCTCACCTCCCTGAGCTCCCAGGAATGAAGGCATTGCATTTGAGTAAAGGAGACTGAGGCTGGGCACCAGTGCCAAAGAGGAATGCCAGGCACCATTATGCTTCCTTCCCCAGGTCCTCGAGATGAGCATTGGAGCACCAGAAGCCCAGAAACGCCTGGCCCTGAGTGAGCACATGGATACCACTGCCACCTTCCCCATTGGCAACACTGGCATCACTGTGTGCGATTACCAGCGGGTAGGTATGCCTGGACTTCGTGCCCTGGAGCACAGTGACAAGGCTTTGCTAGAGCCATTCAGCTGGGTCACTTCATCACACTCACCTCTCTCTTTTTTTGTCCTCCCCATCTCTTAGCCCTCTTGCCTCCCCTAGGGTGCCTGAATCCCAGAGGCTAATGTGACTCCAGTGTCCAAGTAGTGGGAGCTGGCTGAGGACCAAGGTTAGGGAAAGAGCAAGGCAGGGACCTTCCTTAATGACCTCTAGCGGTATTCTGTGACTAGCTCCTGATTGCCTACAAGCCAGCCCCAGGAACCTGCTGTTACATCATGAAGATGGCTCCAGAGAGCATCCCCGGTCTTGAGGCTCTCACTAGAAAATTCCAGAACTTGCAGGTGTGTATGGGTAAAAGAAGTGGGTTGTCTCCCTCACAGGAAGTTAGGGAGGGGTGTTTGAGATGATGGTCATTTGCTACCTGTAAGGCTGTTTTTTCTGGGCTGCCATGTGAGTGCGCCTCTTCATCTCTGTCCATCCCCCCACTCACCACACCTTCCCTACCTGTTCTCCGTCAAGCTGCTGGCCCCAGTGGAGCCCACATATCACCTGTGGCTTGTCCCCTGCACAGTGCTCTCTGAATAGGCAAGGAAACTGAGGCTCAGAGGGGTTGGCTGATGAGCTGAGGGTCCCCAGTAAGGGCTACAGGTGAGACAGAAACAGTTTCCAGACTCTAAAGTAGGTGTTCTTTCCAGGCCAAACCTGAAGCACTGACCTCTAAAATGGGCCAGGAGGAGGGGCATGATTCAGGCTCTGCACCCTTGGGAGGAGACCAGGCCTTCCTGGGACTGGCCATAGGCACCCTGTGTGGAGAGCTGCCTCTCTACTACATCTAGGACTCCTCAGGTGAGCAGGGTGGCTGCCAGGGTTCAGGAGCAGCATCAGGGAAAGCTTAGCTGCCACATCGTCTGACCAGGCACTGGGACCTCTTGAAGAAGGTGTTCTGGGGGAGTTCAGGAGAGGGAAGGCTCACAGACACATGACCACACCGAGTCAGGTGGATAGCTCCCCTGTTCCTCTTCATCACAAGTTAACACTCGTTTGCTTCACAGGGTCTGTGGAAGCCTTCATGGGACGGCAAAGATCGTGAGAATACAGTCTTTTGCAGACAGGCAGAAGCTGCTCCTGCCCACACCCCAGGGACTGGAGCTGCAGGGAGAGGATGGGAGGGGCAGAGGAGAGGTGGCTCCTAGGGGCCAGGCCAGGGGACTCCTACCATAAAAGAATAAAGCATCCTGATTGAAAAACAAGAGAAGGATGGAACTTCTCTTTTCCCACACCTGCTCAGTCTGCTCTGTGTGGTGACCCGCTAGGAGAAGGGAAGAGCCTTGAGGGAGTTTTGCCGTGTCGCCTCCGTCCCAGAGTGCTGGGGATTCGGTCCACTCCAGCTGGGGGAGAAGGGGGCAGTAGGGAGGGGGACCTCTGAGCCATCTACAGGCGTTAGGCGCCCTCCAGTGGTGTGTCCGGAGGGAGAGACAGCGACAGAGAGTGAGAGAGACAGCAAGACAGGGAGAGAGAGAGATGGGAGAGAGCAAGGGTCCAAGAAAGCGAGAGACAAGAAACACAGGCTAAGAGACACGATCGCAGACCGAGAGGTAGAGGCAGCGGGAGCGACCTGACAGCGTGTCCCGCGTCGGGAGGGGCTCCGGGCCGCGCCGGGGTGGTGGTAGGGGGGGACAGCGGCCGCTAGGGGGCCCCTCGTGGGAGTGGCCTCGGGCGGGCACCCCAGGGCGGGCGCCCCCCTCTTCTCCCCTCCCTGGTCCCGACCCGGGCAGCCGAGCCCCTCCGGGGCGGGTGGTGCGGCTCTCGCCCTCCCCGTCCGGCTGGCGCGCTTCCCGGCCCGGGCCGAGCACAGTGCCGGCCCCGCGGGGGCCGAGCAGGGCGAAAACCCGCCCTCCAGCGAGCTCATTTCCCTAAAAAGGAGGGGGGGGAGCGGGAGGCCGGCGAGAAAGAAAGGGAGAAGGCGCAGGGAGAGCGAGGGACGCCGGAGCGGAGGGCGATCGCGAGCCGGGCCGAGCCGAGCGGGGGGCGGGAGACAGGAAGCGGGAAGGGAAGAGGTAGGACCGCGGGGGGAGCCAGCGGGCGGGCGGCGAGCGCCGGGAGCGCCTCCCCTTCGCCTCCGGTGCTCCGCTTCTCTGTCGTCCGCTCCCGCGTCCGGGCGCGATCGCCGCCGCCGCCCGCCAGCATGCCCGGCGTGGCCCGCCCGCCGCTGCCGCTGCTGCTGCGGCTGCTGCTGCTGCTGCTGCTGCTGCTCCCGCGCCCCGGCCGGCCGCTGGACTTGGCCGATTACACCTACGACCTGGGCGAGGAGGATGCCTCTGAGCCCCTCAACTACAAAGACCCCTGCAAGGCGGGTAAGCGTCCCCCAGTCCCCCCGGCGCGCGGGGCCGGGCGCGAGGCGCGGGCTGGGTATAGGCTTTGGGGTGGGGGGAGGACAGTCCAGTGTGGGAAGCCCGGAGTTGCCTGGTTGGCAATGCAGTGGGGAACAAAAGAACGAGGGGGAGAGGGAGGGGGGAAGTTTAGGGGACTTTAGGACTGAAGTTTTGCTGCCGTTTGTGGAAGCTGCTGCCGGGCTCTGCCTCTTGCCTTCCCAGCGGATTCCTGGGGAAATCTCCCTGGGTCCAAGAGAATTCCGTGGCTAAGAGGCTTTTCCGTCTGCAGGAAACTTTTCTGGCCAAACTCTGTGTGTGAGTGTGTGTGTGTGCGCTTTTCCGTCTCCCCCATCCCTCCACCGTGGAACACTGGTGTCTGCCAGCCTGTCTCTCCGTCTGGGCTGCCCTGGGGCTGCACATCTGTCTAGGCTGGTACCAGGAGACCTGCAGCTCTGAGGATAGGTCACCCAGACCCAGCCCAAGGGGAAGAAGGTTTTCCAAGGGATCCCCTGAGATCCTGGTCCATGGGTATCCCATACTCCTAGCCAGCAGCAGCTATCTGGGACTCAGGAGACAGCTGTCAAAGTTAGAGAAGCCTGCCCAGGAGGGGGACTTACCTGTGTCCCTGTGTGCCAGGAGGACCCTGCCCGGGCCAAGCCTGTGTGGCAAAGAGGACACAAAAGAGAACTCAGATATTCTACATCAACCCTCTCACCCCACAGAAACCAAAGGCTAATAGCCTAGGTCAGGGCCTGGGAGTGTGTGTGTGTGTGTGTGTGTGTGTGTGTGTGTGTGTGTGTGTATGCTTTGTCCGTGAGGATTCACTCTTGCTGGGACCAGAAGGGTCCTGACCCTGGAGTTACCAGATGGCCAGGCACTGGGGCCATTGGCCTGATCAAATGACCTGACCTGAGCAGGCTGCCTGGGACACAGAGGGGACAAAATATCAGAACTTTTCCTCAACTTCCTGCCTCTGACACCAAATAGCCAGCACCAGGGGCAGAGTTGTGGTTCCTCCACCTGGACACAGGGGTAAGAGGCAGCTCACTATAACCCTGGCTCTGGAAACCCTGAATCAGGGTCTCCATACCTGCTCTCTGGATGGGTGGATGCCAGGAAGGAATAGACTTTTCCAGTGGGGGAAGGACAAACCAAATTCCTCAGCCCTTCCTCCTTCATGCCTGCTGGGCTGTGGGCAAACCAGGATGTTAGCTGTCATCTTTCTCAGTAGGGGCGTGAGGTGGACAGGAGGCAGAGTGGACAGAGTATGGACTCTGGAGGACTTATTAGCTGCTTCCACCTTGGGAAAGCTACCTCTCATCTCTCACTTCAATTTTCTTATCTGTAAAATGGGACTGATAACGTATCTCTTCATAGAGTTGGTGATAAGGACTAAATCTGAGAACGTATATAAAACACTTATTGGTGCTTAGCATACAGAAAGCACTTAATAAATGTTGGCTGCTACTCTCTGTGTTCTGTGTCTCTGGCTCTCCTTTTTTTTTTTAAGGTGGTTTGGATTTGCTTTTTAGGAAAAGGTAATATCTCCCTGATTCTGTCCTTGTGTCACTTATCCATTCATTGATTTGGTGAGGCCTGATATGCCCCAGGCCTGGGTTTGATGTGGAGGTGCAGAGAGGTGCCAGACAGGCTCCTGCCCTCAAGGAGCTTACAGTCCACCAGAGCCCAAGAGTATACAGATGTAACCAACAGCATAAACCAAGATGTGAGGTGTCACACTGGAGGGTATTGTGTCCCTTGTCCCTTCTGTAGGCCTGATAGTGGGAACGGCAGAGCAAAGAGATTACAGGGGCTGAAGTCTTCGTGAGCCCAGGCATGGTCTCAAAGAATGGGTAGGAAGCCATGCTGATGTTGAAAATGGGAGTGATTTTGGGAACAGCAAGAGGTTGTGGGCTCTATCCCCAGTCTCGGGTTTCATGCTAGGGTGGGGCTGGCTGAGTTGGAACTTCAAATAAGAGCTCTGGAGAAAGTTCTCCACCAGGGTGAAGTGAGGTTTGTGGGGAGCTGGGCCAGGCCTGGGGGTGGCTGAGAGGGCTGGAGAGCCTGACAAGGCCACGCTTCAAGGTCAGATCAGGCCTCCCTCTTGGGCGTGACTGATGCTCAAGTTCTGTGGCTCACCCCTGGAGGAAACTTGGATTGATATTTCGAGGCACTCACATCCACGCGTGCATACAGACACACACACACACCTCTGCTGAGCCTGGCCTGCTGTACTGCCTCTCCTCCCCTCAATCCACGTGCTCTCATTTCTGTGTTGTCTCCTCTTTCCTGACTTTCAACCCTGACCTCCAGATGCTGGAGGTGACCTTGGCAGGTGCCTGACTCTACTTCCTTGAGATGTACCTGATGCGCCTCTCACCCCACAGCCATCTCCTCTCTTGCTCTCTCCATTTCTTCCTCTACCTACACTAAAGGCCAGCAATGAAAGCCCCTTTGACTCCCCCAGTTTACCTGTCAGGTTGCTGCAAGGACAGCCAGGCCCCATCATTTGAAATCATCTGAGTTTTTGCTTGTTTGTTGTTGTTGTTGTTTGTTTAGAAAGGGTCTCACTATGTAGCTATTTGACCCAGGCTGGCCTTGAACTTGTGGTCCTCCTGCCTCAGCCTCCCAAGTACTGGGATTACAGGCATGCACCACCAAAACAGCTAAGTTAAGACCCCTGAGACCCTGGGGAAAGCCCTAGATTTTTGGGCAGGACCAGTTCAATGGACAGAACGCCAGGCTGGTCTGTTGGTGTGCCCAGGGATGATTTCACCATGCCTGCTTTCTAACCCTTGCCCAGGGAGACTTCGAGGAAGCCCTGATTTCTTTTTTTTTTTTTTCTTTTTTCTTCTTGTGGAACTGGGGTTGTCCCTGATTTCTTGTATGTTGGGATGCCAAGACAATAAGGGGGTCCCTCTCTGAGATTCCAAGCATTGCTTCACTGCTCCAGGTGACTTGCCAGTGACACTTGTGACTCTAGGAAAGGTCTTTCCTGGAGGCTGGATTAACAAAGCTGATCTCATAAACAGAAAGCCCAGAGGCCCTGACCTTGAGCTAGGGAGCAGTTACTTCCACCTCTATCTTCACTGGCGCTCAGAGGTCTTTGGGAAGAGAGGTGAGCAGTAGCTCACCAGCCCTCCTAACCATCCTCACAAGTCAGGGGGTTGGGGTGGAGGGGGGAAGGAGAGGAGGGGGCAGGTGCTCCAGGCCCAGGTGTGGACTTCACAGGGCCTGGGGAGTAGGAAGCAGACTCCAGAGATTGAGCATCCTCTCTCATCAGACCAAACTCCCCTTTCCAGACATGCTGAGTGAGTCACCCACCCACCTAAGCCCCTGCTCCCTGAGTCACCCTGTCTTTTAGGTGCCCCGAGGGAGGAGACAACACAAATCTTCTGGGCTCCGGATGGAGGGAGACCAGTGAGATTCCGTGGGAAAAAGGGACTCTTGAGAATTTTGTTTCTCCAGAGATTTGGGGAGAAAATATTGGGGAAGGAGGTGGGAGTAAAATGGGCCATTCCTCAGGCCTCTAAGGACCTCCTAAGGAAGATGAGGGGGGCTCAGTTGGTCTGTTTCTCTCTTTGTCTCTTTCCCTCTCCCTTACTTTCTCTCACACACATGCACAACCCTGTCGATTTATAGGGCTGTTCTTCTCCTTTGGGGAGTGTGGCCTGTGAAATGTAGTGAACACCTACAGTTTTTTGAGGGTCTGACAACACCAGCACTTGCACAGGGAAGTGACTGATGTGTGCTGGTGCACATTTGTGGGTACACTCTTGCTTTACAGCTGATCTGTGTACCTGTTCACATTTGGCCCTCACTCATGTGAGCAGACACCAGTCTGCCCTACACACGTGGCCTTGGAGCTCCATCAAGCTAGCCAGACTGCTGTCCCTGCCCACTCAGGAGGGGAGGTCTTGCTGTGTCCCGGGGGTGGGGACTTCAGAGTCCAGAGGCTGATCTAGGGGACAAAGGTCCTCCCCAGGTCCAAGCACACATTGTAGCTCTCTCTGCTCTTTCCCCACCTGTGCCTGGCCTGGAGATGGAGTAGCCACGAGTGTTCCTGGCTGGTTTACAACCAGAAAACAAAACAAAAACTTATCATCCTATGTTGAAAACAACTACTACCCTGACCTTGACCCTGACACTGACCCTGGAGCTTCCTTTGGATCAGAGGGGCATCCTGGGCTCTCCAAAATCCAGATTCCCTAGCTTCCCCAGGTCAGGGTCCCAAATGGGCAGGCCCTGCTGCCCTGCTCCCAGCTATAAGGCTCTCCTGCCCACACTAGCCCTCCTCTGCTTTGTTCCCACGCATTCTTCAGCCATGACATCCCGACCACAGGGCACTGCTCACAGCTGAGCTCTGCAGCCAGCCCTGTTCTACCTTCTACTTGCCCTGCCCTGGTCCCACACTGCCCAGGTCCCACACTGTCCTGGTCCCACACTGCCCTGGTCCCACAGGCCAGCATAGTCCTGTGGCTTCTGTTTTAGGTTTCCCTCAACTAGGGAAGTGAGTATAGAGGGAAGGTGTGGAGCTGATCTTGAGCTTCTGGGATTGGTGTTGGGGTTAATATTGAGGTGGTTATTTAGTGGGTGCTTACTGTGCTGCAGGCTTGGTTGCTAGGGGCTTCATTTATAGGCCTTATTTCATGCAGTACTCCTAGGAGACAGATTCCATCATTGGCTTCTTTTATATGGGACAAAATTGAACTGTAGAAGAGTCTACACGAATTGTCAGCTAGCAGTAGCCAAGATGGAATTCAAAGACATGTCTGTCTGACTTCAAAGACAATCTAAAAGTTCAGCCACATGTGTACCAATTGCCTTCCATATCCAAGGCTTCCACACTCACAGGTTCAACCAACTGCAGATCAAAAATATTTGAGAAGAAACTATGTCTGTACTGAATATGTACAGACTTCTTTTCTTATCATTTTCTAAGCAATACAGTATAACAACTGTTTACATTGTATTACATATAAATGTAATCTAGAGCTGATTTAAAGTATGCAGTAGGACATGTGTAGGTTCTATGCAAATACTATGCCATTTTATATAAGGGACTTGAGCATCCTCAGATTTTGGTGTCTGTGGGAGTCCTGAACAAATCCCTCAATAGACTAAATGACAGCTGTGTATGGCAATGCCTGTGAGTGTGGAGTGGAAGCCTGGAGGTACAGCACGTGTGCAAAGTTGCGAAGTATGCAACAGTGCTAAGTGTTCTTGTGGTATGTGCATACTCTGGTAAGTGTTCTTGTGGTGTGTGCGTACACTGGTAACGTTGGCACATAGGAATCTACCACCTTCTATTTCATATCTGCTAAGTCCCCTCTTGCATGTCAGCTGAGAAGTGTCTTCTGTTGCTGTCCCATCAAGTCAATGAGTCTACCCTCAGAGGGTGGCATTCTGAGTAAGAGAAGCTTTCTAATGGACTGGAAGAGACTATAGACTAGTTACAGGCTATTGAACTTGGCCAAGTCATTTCCCTCTTAGACCCAAGGGCTCTGGTCCTGAAGTCAGGGAGATGGGGTCAGGGAGCTGGGCTGGTGTCTGGAACAAGGTGATTGCTCCAAGTGTTTGTTATGGGACCACATGTGTGGTTTACTGGGCATGTCGTGGGTGGGCCAGGATTAAATAAATTCATTAATGTGCAAGCACTTTGTCAACTGGAAAGCACTACGTAAATTTCAGCAGACATTTACATAAGGTATTACTATCGCTACTATAATTGGCTTAATGAGTTTAGAACTTGTCACTGGTTTGCGTGTGTTAAAGCTTGCGCCTGTGTGTTTTTAGGACTGTCTGTGACTGTGTGTGTATTTATTGGTAGATGTGTGTGTCTGAATGGCTATTTTTGTGTATTTGTAGTTACAATATGGCTCCAGAGAGGTAATGAACTTGAGCACAGTTGTCATTGGACTAGGAATGGGAGGTTTGAATTATAAATTGAATTTTCCAGCAATTGGCAAAGTGTGGTCTTGATTAAATCATTTCCTTTCTGGCCTCAGTTTCCTCAACTGTAAAATGGGAAGATTGGCTAGATGACTGCTAAAGTCACTTCCACATTTTGTTGATCTGTGTCTCAGTGAGCGTGTCTCTGGGCATGTATTTTGGGGCTGGAAGAAAACAGGCACGGCACTTCATTCAGAAAACATCACTGAAAGTCCTCGACATACTCTGCATTTGGCAGCATGGGTGGGGATGTCCCCATATGTCTGTAGAGACACTAATTTCATGTCTGATTCTGCGTGTGAAGTAAGCAGATATATGTCCACCCCATGAGCCCAACTGGGGAGCCCAAACCTGCGTGTAAGACCTCAAGGTTAAAACAACTTGTATAAGCCTGACCTTTGCAGCCCTCTGCTAGGAGAAGAAGCAGATGTCACTGTGGGTGGGGCTTCAGGGAAGCTGCTCTGGTTCTACCTCCAGCTCAGCCTTCCACCTCCCCCAACCCCCACCCCCACCCCACACTGCCCAGCCCAGCGTGGAGCTCACATCTGGGCTTCTTCCAAAGCAGCCAGTTCTATGGCTCTATTTGCTCCAGACTTCTCGGAAAGAAGACGGCTGTTCAGCCCATCTCTCTGGAAACATCTCTCCCCAACTCCAGAAATGGAAATGGCTGTTTGGGGAAGATCTTCTCTGCCTCCACCTCAGGCTTTTCTTCTTCAGATAGGGATTCAAAAACTCAGGGTAGGAATCACTCTGAGGACTGTTAAACCTTTTCCTGCTACCTGGGGAGCTCTCAGTATGTGCCTTGGTTTTCCAGGTATACCTCCCTGCTCCAAGTCTCATTGGACTAGATAAGCGTATTAGATGTTATATATTTTTTTTCATAACCTCCCTTTGATTCGATTGAAATGGTTTTTGCTTCATGAACACCATATGCTTAGTACAGTGCCAAGGCTATGGGCCCACAAATAGACTATGTTAGTCAGCTTTCTGTTGCTATAACAAAATACCTGAAACTGTTGACTTAGAACGAGAAAACCAGTTCTGGAGTTTCCAATCCAAGACAGGAGGGGGCATGATTTGGGGCCTCTGACAAAGCAGGACATTATGGCTGGAGTCCATGGTGGAGCTAAACTGCTTACCTCATCAACCAGGAAGCAAAGAGGGGAAGAGGAAGAGGCCAGGATCTCACAATCCACTTTAAGGGCACCCCAGTAACCTAATGACCTCCCATAAACTCTCATCTTCTAATGGTCCACAGTACCTCCCAATAGTACCACCCTGGGAACCAAACCTCTAACATGGACACTTGGTGGACACTTAGCCAAATCTTAGCACCTGTCACTGCCCAGAATTCTCTAAGTCAGTATTTGTGTGCTCATGTATTGGTGAAGTTTAGTTCCACGAGGACAGGGACCTCTTCTGTCTTGCTAATCACTGACATAGTGCCTGGCCCACAGTAGGTGCTGACTAAGTATTTGCTGAGGAATGATGGAATAAATGACACAACTGTCTCTGTGGAGCTAACAGTCTGGTAGAAGTTGGGTATCTGCTTTGCTGGGATTTTATTTTAATTTTTATGGTGCTAGGGATGGATTCCAGGGCCTTGTTCATGCTAGGTAAGTGCTCTATACCGAGCTACATCCCCAGCCCTATTTTTTATTATTTAAACTCAGGACCTCACACTTGCTAGATAGGTGCTCTGCCACTTGAGCTACGCCTCCAGCCCTTTTTTGCTTTATTTTTCAAATAGTGTCTTGTGGGTTTTTTTTTTTTTTAACCCCCTGGGGCTGGCCTCAGATCGTGATCCTGTTACCTCTCTCTCCCAAGTAGCTAGAATTACAGACATGTACCACCTAGCTTATTTGCTGAAATGGGGGTCTCACTAACTTTTTGCCAGGCTAGCTGGGAACTGCATCCTCCTGAGTAGTTGGGATTACAGGCATGAGCCACAGCACTCACCTATTCTTACTGTTATTTTCTTAAGAGACAGAGTCTCAGCTGGGTGTGGTAGTACCTGGGCTGTAATCAGTCCCAGCTATCAGGAGTCAGAGGCAGGAGGATCACAAGTTTGAGGTTAGCCTGGGCAAAGTTAAGATCCTGTCTCTCAAAAACAAAATGCAAAGCAAAGGACTGGGAGAATGGCTCAAATGGGTAGAGTGCTTATGTAGCATACCAAGGCTCTGGGTTCAATCACTAACGCACACACATGCACACGCACACGCACAAGTGACAGGGTCTCGCATGTTGTCCAGGCTGGCCTCCAACCCCTGGGCTCAAGTCGTTCTCCTCTCTCAGTCACCCAAGTACCTGGGACTACAGACACGTGTCATCATGCCCCACTTTTGTTGGGATTTTAACTAAAAAGTGAGCATGATCTCCCAAGAGATTCTAGAACCCGATTCCTTACTGCCTTTCTCCATCTTCCTCTGGTGGAATCTGAGTGTCAGAGTTGCTGTGGGGACTGGGGCTGTGTACCCACAGGGTTGGGTCTGTAAGCACAGTCCAGGGTAAGAGGATTAATTCCGCCCTTGGCCTCTTCTTTTTTCTCCAGCTGCCTTTCTTGGGGACATAGCCCTGGACGAGGAGGACTTGAGGGCCTTCCAGGTGCAGCAGGCTGGGGATCTCAGACAGCGAGCAGCCTGTAGGTCACCCATCAAAGCTGCAGGTACACTGGGGACAGGCCAGCTTTCTGTGTTCCAGAAATGGGAGTACTTGGAGAAACAAGGAATGCCCCTGTTTCCATCCAGGCCCTCCCAGGACAGAGGCCACGAGCTTGAACCCAGCACACAGGCTTGTCCTCCCTTGGGATACCTTTATCTCTTCCCCTGGAAAGTAGTAAGTGTAGACATCCCCAGGACCTAAGAGCTGACATCCTTTCTGCTTACAGCCTACAAAATACTTTCAAAAGTATTATCTAACTTGACTGTCCCCAGCACCTTCAGACCAGGCCAGCTCTAGTCTTACAGATAAGGAGACCAAGTCTCACAGAGGTAAAGTGGCTTGCTTAGTAACACACAGCTTGTCACGGGCAGGGTTGGGACTCCACAGCACAAGTCTTCAAATTGAAGATGCTCTACCCAATACCACAGAACTGCCTGGGCCTCCTCGTCCCACTTTGCAAGCTCTATGCATCCTTTAGGGCCCACCTCATGTGCTTCAGGACTCTTGCCCGCCGTCCCTTAGATGTGACTGTACACCTGCATTTCCTGTGCCCTCTGCTCTGCGTAAACAGTATCTCACATTCCATGACACATGCAAATGACTTGTTTCCATGTCCCACTGCCCTAGCTGGGCCCAAGACCTCTTCAAGCTTAGGGTCACCTCCTTCTTCCTCCCCGGTGGCCTAGGCACCTGACTGCCTATGTGAAACTGGGACAGGGGAAGGGAATGGAAGACCAAGGGCCTGGCTAGAAAGAGTCGACTTTTCCCAGATTTCTCACTGCTCTGTAGAGGAAGCAAGTCCTGCCGGCACCGTGCGGATGCTCAGAGCAGGTCCTTAGGGCCCCTGTCCAGCTCTCCTGTTGCCAAGGCTCAGTCCTGGGCACACTCCAGTCATCCTGGCCATCCGGAGGGAGGACCCTGGCATGGGCAACCTGGGGAGCAAAGATCAACTACCCCAGACAGCAGCTGGAATCAGAGGGTGGCCTGGTAGCCTGGTTACAGGGTTTACTGATCTTAGTGGGGAACTGGTAGGCATGGCACAGGGGAAAGCCACACGAGGGGCCTGCTGCCAAACCTTCAGGTGACTTTTGGCAATGCTTTGGCCTCAGTCTTTTCTTCGGTCAGATGTAGACAATGGCACTTGTCCACCTCCCATAGAGCTGTCGCGGCCCATGAAAATGTAAACCTGGGAAGCTTCCAGAAATCATAAAGCCCCATAATCACTACAGATATGAAGGTTTCTTAGATGAGAAGGGATGTTTTCCAAATCTCAGATCCCCCAGGCCCCATAGTTCCTAGAAATGAGGACATCATTGTTCAGCCCATTCCTACCATTCATGGTAGCTGTGAATAGTTATAGAATAACTTCATGGTGATCATAGAACTTTGTAATTTTTCTGTACAGTCACTATGAACACTGAATTAGTGAATACTGAGTCATTGCTCCTAGGGTGAAATGCAGACTCCTGCTTGCCTCGGACCACGTTTTTGTGAACTGATTACTGTGTGACCCCTGGAGTTTGAACATCTAAGTGCTCTACGAACTGAGCATGCCCCCCCAGCCCTTTTTTGCTTTAGTCATTTTTCAAATAGGGTGTTGTGCTTTTGCCACAGGGCCCAGCCTGGGACGACGATTCTATTTCTGCCTCTGGTGTAGCTGGAATTACAGGCATGAGTGACTATACCTAGCTCTGACCATACTTCATGCGTACTTCATTTAAAGACACCTTACTTAATACCTAGTTGATTCATTAAAATTGACTCAGGCCTGAACAAATTCACCGAATGCATGTATTTCTCAGAAAGACACACACCAGCCTTCTTGCCCTTGGGAACAAGAGACAGCACTTCAGCACTACATTTGGGAGTCATTTGAAACAGCAAAACCATCAATAAAAAGCCAAAAATGCAAGCAGGTAGCACTCAACTATACCTCAGAAGGCATAGTTGTTTACAGTATAAGAGCTGAGACAAGCAGGCAGAGAGTCACCTCGTTCAGCCTCAGCTGGCAATGTGTACGTTGGGTGGTTCAACTTTTTCACTGCTTTGTGTATGTCCACGAATGATGATGAAAGCCCTCAGTATTGATTTGGGGTTGCAGATAAATGTTAGCAAGTAGACTAATTCTCAGATGCAGAATCCACAAATTCAGGGCTTGTTATGCTTTGGATCCTCTTCCTTCCATCCACTCACCTGCTGCCAGTGCCTTCTTCCTCTTACAATTTCAGGAAACTCTTCTGCCCCTAGCTGTCAGAGCACTAGTGGGCGGTCACAGAGGGAAACCCGGGGGAGATGGAGAGGCAGGCCCCGCAGCCGGCGGGCAGCTACATCCAGACCAGAGCGTGTGTGGCCGGATGGAGTCATCCCCTTTGTCATTGGGGGAAACTTCACTGGTGAGCATTCTGTTGTGGGACCCCAAGCACAGTCTGTGTCCAGCCCTGGCCGTTCCTTTGATCCGTCTGTCCACAAGTTCCTGGCTGGGCAGTATGCACTCGAAATGACTATAATGCTTTAGCAGTGGGTGAAGGTGGCCCACCGGACACTGTGACAGCCTAGCATTCTTCCTCCTGGCAGGTAGCCAGAGGGCAGTTTTTCGGCAAGCCATGAGGCACTGGGAAAAGCACACCTGTGTCACCTTCTTGGAGCGCACTGATGAGGACAGCTATATTGTATTCACCTACCGACCCTGCGGGTGAGCAAGGACCCTGGGACACCGTGTCCTTGGCCATGATCCCCAGCCAGGTTCTGCCCTGGGCACTGCCACTGCCCCAAGTTGGGCACTACCCTGGGCCCACCCAGCCCTTCCTGCCATGGGGCATCTCCTATTGATAAGGCTCTGACCTTGGCACACAGCCTGGGCATTGTGCAGTGCACTCAGGGCTTTCCCACCCCTCCACTCCCCTGCCTCCTCGGCAGCCTGGCCCGGCCCCTGAGTGGATGCACTCCCCCAGCTCGGGACCGCCCCCCTGAGCTGGCCCCGCCCTCCAGGTGCTGCTCCTATGTGGGTCGCCGTGGTGGGGGCCCCCAGGCCATCTCCATCGGCAAGAACTGTGACAAGTTCGGCATCGTGGTCCATGAGCTAGGTCATGTCATTGGCTTCTGGCATGAGCACACGCGGCCTGACCGGGACCGTCATGTCTCCATTGTGCGTGAGAACATCCAGCCAGGTATGGGGCACCTCCTGCCCCAGCTCCACCTCCAGGGCCCCTTTTGGGGTGAGAGCTGCATCTGCAACTGGTGGGGGGTGGAGTTGGACCCCACCCCCAGGCATCTGCACGGCAGTGATAGCAGCTCAGTGACTCCACATCAGTGTGGAGCTGCTTGGGGCACAGGTCCTGGTCCTGGTCACAGGGGCCATGCTGAGTAGCCAGAACCCAGCTGGCCAATGGGGGCAGGTTAGGGTGCAGTTGGCCCATCCCTGGATGTTACTGCAGACCTTTCTCTTCACCTTATTGCAGTCTCCTGCCCTCTGCCTGTTCTGTCCTCTATGAGTTTTCCTTCCTTCTCCTTTTCATTCATTGGCTCCTCTGATGGACAGGACTGTCCTACAGACCTCCCCACCCCCTCCCCTGCTCCCCTTGGCTGTTCTCCAGACCCTTAGGTAGGCGGTCCCTCACAGGTACAGGGAGATATACAGGTCATTTCTTCCCCCACACACCCTTCTCCTGGTCCTCCCAGGGCAGGAGTATAACTTCCTGAAGATGGAAATTCAAGAGGTGGAGTCCTTGGGGGAGACCTATGACTTCGACAGTATCATGCACTATGCCCGGAACACGTTCTCCAGGTGAGAGATGGGCTGGGTCTCTTCCAGGGACTTGCCCTCTGGAAACCATTTCCTTTCCAGCTCCCATTTGCCCTGGCCTGCCCTGCTGTGGCAGGCGCTGTGGCAGCCCCCACCCACAGGGTCTGCCTGCCCTATTGTCTTCTTCTAGGGTGGAGTGATGGCCAGCCCAAGTTCCTTGCTTATAGCTGTACACGCTAAGGGCCTTTGGCCTGGAAGGCTGAAATCTAGCACTCCATGAGCCCCTAAACTGTACCAGCTCAAAGGAGCTCTGAGCTTGTCTCATCTGTTGCCTGAGAGGGCATATTTTTCTCACTGGTACCCCTTTCTAGTTATTTGCCTTTTGTGGGTGGCTAATTCGCACAAAGCCTGACTCCTGCTCTGGACTGGTCCCCATCACCACTCTCACGATGCCTTCTTACTCTGCTGGATTCCCAGAAGTCACAGTCAGAATCCCCAGGAGTTGGCGGCCCAGCCTCCTCCCCAGCTGCTGCCACCAGGGTGTGGGGAACTCCCACCCCACTCCCCACAATGCTCCTTCCTGGAGTGGCCTTCCTGTGCCTAACTCTTTCCTCATCCACATTCCAGCCCCGGGGTGGTGGCCCATCCCCCTCTTCTCTGAAGTCCTTCTACATTCATTCTTCCTGCTCCAGACCTGAGAACAGAGACCAAGGAAGGGCAGTGAGGTCATTCTGCCCGCTACACCCACAGACCCTCCTTCCATTTCCCACCACATCCCACCCCACCCCTGCTCTGCTCTGCGCAGCTGGGTGTGAGTCAGGGGCCCTAGGGAGGTGAGGGGCTGCTGCCTCCCCTTCCTTCTCTTCCCACATGAAACACCAGGGCTTAGCAGGGAGGAACTGGGGAACAGGGACACTGGGGACTGGGAGCTGGCCAGCCACGGTGGAAGCTGCTCTTGCCCTTTGGCCTTGCTCCAGATGCTGTCAGACACAGCGTGTTGGAGGATGACGACTTGGCTGGGCAGACCTGGGAGAAGTTCACCAGGTTGAATCAGCATGTAAGGCCTAGAAGCAGGAGCTGGGTGTGATCAGAGATGATGGACTAGGGGCCCAAAGTTCTCCTGGGGCTGGGAGTTGGGGCCAGACTGAGTCGGGGCACCAGGGAGTCCTTTTGCCATCGTAGGCCTGGGTCTCTGACCACCCAAAGCATCCCTGGGGCTCCCCCAGCTCCTGCGGTATGGCTGCCACGGAACAGGGTGGCTGCTGGTCAGTGGGCAGCTTAATGACAGGGTGAGATGTCTCCACCCGTCCCTGACCCTGCCGAGGAATGTCTGGGCTCTGGCAGGGTTGTGACCTGAGGGTGCAGATGGGCCTGCTGTCTTCCCTTCTTGCCTACTTGCACATGTCATCCTCAGGGGCATCTTCCTGGACACCATTGTTCCCAAGTATGAGGTGAATGGTGTGAAGCCTCCCATCGGCCAAAGGACCCGACTAAGCAAAGGGGACATCGCCCAGGCCCGCAAACTCTACAAGTGCCCAGGTTAGAGCAAGAAAGGGACAGGCCAGGAGGGGTGGAGGACAAGGTCCAAGGGAGGCAGCCTGGGGCCACCAAAGTCAGAGCTGTAGGTCTCAGAGGAGGGTGTTGGGGGAGGAATGTCAAGGGAGGGTCAGGTTTCCACCCAGGGACCAAATTGGGACTAAGCTCTGAGCACCCATCTTTGAGAGGGAAGGGTCTAGAAGATTGAAGAGTACATAGTAGAAGAGAAAAGGGGAAAACAGAGCCATTCCAGGGCAGTGAGGAGTGAGGCCCATCAAAAGGAGCTTGACCTTAACTCTGGGACCCACATTACCTTGACAACAGTGCCTCTGGTTACCCTGACAGCCTTAGGCCAGGGTGATAGGATGGTATGTGCCTGTGTGTAAGGAGGAAGGGATGGATCTTAAAGGCACAGAACCAGCCCCACTCCTCAGCTACTCCTCTCACCACCAAAGGGCACCAGGTGAGCCAGGGGGAGGGGGATCTGGTGCCTGTAGCCAGCTGCCCAGTTATTTCCTTTCCTTGACAGCTTGTGGAGAGACCCTACAGGACAGCACAGGCAACTTCTCCTCTCCTGAATACCCCAACGGCTACTCCGCTCACATGCACTGCGTATGGCGTATCTCAGTCACACCTGGGGAGAAGGTAACTGTGGTCAGTCGTGGGCGTCTAAGCCTCCCCTCCTCTGCTGGGAGGGAGAGACCATATTTCCTCCTGGGAGCCCCAGCTTAGGGACCGTCCCCACACCGGGATGCATCAACTCACAAGTCTGATGGAACACCACAGTGAGGACAAGTGTTCCCACCAACTCTCAGCCTGCCTTGGCTCTCAGGTATTGTGAGTCAGCACTGCCAGTTTGGTTTTGATCGTCCGGCTCCTCTTGAATGCTTTTCTTTCTTTTTATTCTCCTGGCAATCTTTTGTCTTCATTTTACAGAGGAGGAAACTGAAGCACAAGGAGGTCACGTAATTTAGTCACACAACTAATGAGGAGTGAGGAGGAATATGAACGTTTCCCAGGGCTGGGTTCTATCCCAGCCTTGGTTTTGATAGCCTGGGTGGCCTTGGATGAACTGCTCAGCCCCAATCCTGGGCTTTCTCATCTTTGTCCTCAGGGTTTGGGTCAGGGCCTCCCAAAGGACCCCTCCCAGTTCTGACAGTTCTGATCCTGGGAACAGTAAAGGAACAAGACAGGTGCCCCCAGCAGGCTGCTTCCTGGTACATCTCTCCTTCCCATCCTTCCTTCCTCCTACCTGGCCTCTGGGCCTGATTTTGTGTCCCTGGCTCTCTCTCACTGGCATCCCATTTCTTCTCCCTCTCCCTGTCACCTGAATGTCAGTCCTGATCCAAAGTCTGTGGGTAAGCTCTAGGTTCTCACATGTACTGCCACTGTGATAAGGCTGGCTTTGGGCAGCTATAGAAGTGAATCAAAGCTGTCTGCATCTTCTTGGTCTACTCAGACAAGACCTCTTCTGGGAAGCCTGCTTTGCTTGCTATTCATGCAGACAAGCAGAGTGGACACCAAGTACCCAGAGGGCCCTAGCCTGTCTATTGCCATCCCTCATGTATGTTTAATTAGCTTTGTTTGAATACCTGAGATGACAAAGGGCTCACTACTTCTCACAATATTGTATTTTGTTCTCTAACCAGCTCTTCCTGTTCTAAAGTCTCTTCTTAATAGAGAGGGGGTCCACTGTCCCTGAAGATCTCAGTCCTTCCCTCAAGAACAATTCACTGTAACTTAACCTCCAACCTGGGGAGGTCACCCTCCTGCCTTCTTAGATGTACTTGTCATGTGCAACCTGGACCTTCTTCGGTCCTTCATGTTTTTATTGCTCCCAAGAATGAGCTACGAGACTTTGTTCCCTTGGTTGGAATGTGGTATTTGACGTACTGCAGAAGCCTTGAGCTAGATCCCTTGTTGTGATTGGTTGCGTCATTCATGCCCACATCTCTCTAAGGTGGTTTTGAACAAGCATTCCACCAATCCAGCAGGTGGTCAGTCTTTCACTTCTGCCATGGCTCTTTTCATAAGTGTGTCCTCTGGATCTCTGGCCTGGTCTTTGATCAGACCTTGCTTGCCATCTTCTGTCCCTGGTACAGGAAGTGGTGAATAAATGCTAAATACATAAGCTGGAACGCCTAACCAAATCACTTCCACTGTTCTGCCAATGGAGAAAACCCCCTTAACTTTTTGTTGTTGGTGTTTGTTTTGAGACAGGGTCTCAAACTGAGCCCAGCTGGCCTCAGTCTCATGAGCCTCCTGTTTCAGCCTCCCAAGTGCTGGGATTTTAGGCATACACCACCAGGTCTGGCTAGGTGAGAACACCCCCTTTAAGAGGAAGAGAAGTGGGTTTGATGGGTCTTGTTTCAAGTGAACTCAAACTTGCTCCCAGCAATCAAGTGCTACGTGGCCACAGACAGTTAACTGGGAATTGACATTTGGCTCAGTGGTTTACAATTCCCAGAATCCACTCCTAATCCCCTCCCAACCCCCACACACGCATTACCCCATAAAGTTTGGGAAAGCTTTTGCTTTGGGTTCTCGAGATTGCATATGCTGATCACATCTGCAAGTTATTTGACTGTCTCTGATGTCGTTGGTGAGCCGAGAGACCAAAGCCAATTTTGAGAGGTGTCCCTAACTCTCTTCTGAATTATGGGGCAGCTTCCCTTTCCTTTCCAACCGATGCTTATTTTTACTTTTTGCAATTTGAAGATCATTCTCACATCAGATGGACTTCTACTGAAAATTGAGTAATGCTGTCATCTTTTTTGCTTGGCGTTCTACCATCTTCCCTCAAAAGCAAACCCATCTCTTCCTTGTTCTTCTCATTCCAAGTCTCTTCACTTAAAATTGCAATCCTTTTGGCTAATTTGAACTGACCGAGCCCTGGCTGCTTTCATCCCTCTCCCAAGGGTCCCCTCTACTCCAGCCTGTGGAAATCTCACCCACAAATAATAATAATAACTAACATTTATTAAGCATATGATTGACCAGGTGCATGTCTTTACATGCGTTACGTCTTTTGGTTAGCACACTAACATTATAGGCCAGGTACTGACATTGTCCCTGTTTTGCATACGAGAAAATAGACTTGGAAAATTCAGTAACTGAGCTAAGGTCATGTGGAACCTGAATTTCTTTTTTTGGCATTAGTGGAGTTTGAACTCAGGACCTTATGCTTGCTAGAGGCAGGCACTCTATCACTTGAGCCACACCCCTAAAGAAAAAAGGGCTTTTTCTTTAGTCATTTTTCAGATAGGGTCTCATGTTTTTGCCCAGGTCTAGCCTCAGACAGTGGTCTTCATACCTATACCTCCCCATAGCTGAGTTTACAGGGTGTGCTCCACCATGTACAGCTTATTTGTTGAGGGGTCTCCTCAACTTTTTGCCTGGGCTGGTCTTGAACCATGATCCTCTTGATCTCTGCCTTCCAGGTAGCTAGGATTACAGGTGTAAGCCATCTTGCCCAGCTCTAGAACCTGGCTAGTGATGCACAAGTCTATGGTTTCAGTAAGGCTGTGTTGCACATCAGCAATTACTGTAGTGCTTGTCAGCAAACCTATGTGCTTTTGATGTGTTGGAGAGTGTAGGATACAAATTCTAGACGAATCAATGTGTAGCTATCGAAGTGCACCAAGTGACAGGTGATCAAGTTGTAAGTAAATCCACGATGGCACCCTAGGAACATTAAGCTTGAAAGGGCCTACAGATAGCTGGTGGCACATATACCTGTAATCCCAGCACTCTGGAGGTAATGGCAGGTGGACTGTGAATTTGAGGACAAACTGAACTCCTGGCTTTTCTACCATTTTGAACTGACTGTACCCTGACTTTGTTGTTACAATTATGTGTCAGGCAAAGTGTTAGACATCTTACACGCACAAACTCATTTCTCCCCACCACAATTTTACAAGCAAGGTACTGTCATCCCTCCTGTATAGTGAGGGAATAGAGGCTCACACTGCCGAGCGCAGATCTGCACTCAGGTTTACACAGATCGTAGCAGTGGAACTGACATTCAGTTCTAGACTGACTCCAAAGTCTGTGATCTTTCAACAGTAAACCTTAAATAAAGCCACCTGCTGGGCTGGGTGGACTTTGACATGGATTTTGGCTGCTGGGAGGCTGTTTTTCACTTCCCAGGGCTCAGCTTATGGCCAGAAGTATGAAGGATAGGGGACAACATGTACATCGAGGTATGTCAACCACAAGGAAGAGCTGCTTCGAAAGCCTTCTTTAGGATCTCCAGTGTCTACACTTGCTCAGTTAGCTTAGCAGTGACCTACCTGAGGACTTGCAGTGGTTCCCAGGCAACCAAGCAGACTTTACTAGGAGGAGATAGTTTTAAGGAGGAACCTGTGGCCAACAGGACATTTTAGAGGAGCCAGGAAGATAAGAATGGCAAATGTCTTTTGGAACTGGCAACACCCACCCTCATTCCCATCCCTGCCTTCAGAAATACCTCCTGCTTTTTAAGATCCAACCCTAATTCCTCATCCCCCATCATGCCTTCCCAGGCCCACCTCCCATCCCCCAACCAGGCAGAAGTGATCCCTCCCCACTCTGGGAAGCCTGAGTCCTAAGTCCTGCTTCTTGGGTGCTAGAGAGCATGGGGCTGTGCGAAGGAAGGAAAAGTGGACCCTTCTTCTTCGCATAGCTGCTTAGTAGAGTGGACTAGAGGCCCATGGTGCAGTGGTGAAGGGGTCAGTTTGGGAGCCAGGGGTTTGACTGCCAGCTGTGCTGTCTACTGGCTGTGAGATCTTGGGGAAGTTGCCTAGCCTCTCTGTGCCTTTTTTCCCACCTGAGAAATGGGCCTGGTGATAGTACCTCCCACATGGGATACATATAAAGATTAAACAGATTCATCTACAGAAAGTATTTAGAGCAATTCCAATCACATAGAGTGACAATTCAGCCATGTTAGCTGCTGTTGTCTTTCTGTTTCAAATCATTAAACAAGTAAACCCTGGTCAGGGTCTCAGGCACCTTGTTTGCCAATCTTTACTGCTAGGATCTGATCTTACGCTAATTCAGTTCTAAAGGTAAAATCAGCACTTTTTGACTGCTTACCCTGTGCCAGCCCCAGATGTGAGCTTTGCTTACTGGGCTTCATTCCCCTAAGCCCTGAGGTGAGTCCTATCATCTTCACCCTCTTACAAATAAGTAAACAGGCACCGAGGAGTTCAGTGCCGTGTCTTCCACATTGAAGTCAGTGAGCGGCTGAGGGTTGATAGTCCTAGCATGCAGTGTAGCTCCTGAATGAAATGAGAAGCAGTGATTCTATCAGTTCACCCCTGAGAGCATCCCCTAGTGTGGAGAGGTCTCCCCACCTGTGGGTGCGCTAGGAGACGCCATACTCCTGTCTCCCAGTGCAGTCACTATGGCCATCTCCAATTGTTAGACAAAGACCCTAAGGCTCAAGGAAGCTAGCTGAGCCACAGCCCAAGGTCCCCAGCCAGGAAGTGGTGGAGCTGGCCAGGTTTTCTTTGGCAAAAGGCAGGGCCCCTGCCACAGGGCACAGCTGTGCCCACATGACAGAAGTCACTACAACTCTTAATTAGACACCTCCAGTCTCAATATAGCCACACATGGGCCTCCCTGGAGGGTGCTGCTAACTGCCAGCACAGGTCTCTTCCTCCTCCACAGGTGACCCCGGATCCTCCTACCCTTTGGGAGGTCTTGGGTGGGCCCTTTGGGTTCCTGCCCGCTGGGTGTGGTCTCTTTGGAACCAGTCTTCCATGGACAGAGCCAGACTTACTTCTGTGGATGAGGGAAAGCAGATGCTTGTTTGTAGCATGGCTGCTGAGCAGGAAGACCGGCTGCCCAGGGGCCCCTGCAGGAGTGAAGGTTGCAGGTTTGGGAGCTGGGACCTTGCTTGGCCCTCTGCATTTCTTTCCCTCTGTGCAGCATATCTTTGAAAGACATTTTTGTCCTTTCCCAAATAAAAATAACATAAGCATGTTGTAAATTTTTTTTTTGTTTGTTTGGTACTAGTGTTTGAACTCAGGGCCTCAACACTTGCCAGGCAGGCGCTCTAATACTTGAGGCACGCTCCCAACCCATGTTGTAAAATTTTTGAACAGTCTAGAAATGCCTAAGTAAAAAAAAAATCCTACTTGTCAGAGGTGAGTGGATATTGGAATCATTTGTTGTGCCCTTCCAGACCCTGCGAGGGTATTTGTGTGTGCACAAACTCAGAAGGACTTTACACACCCATACATAGTGTGCAACCCATCTTCGCTCGTGCGAGCCCATACAGATGTGCCGCATTCATTTTCATGGCTGCTTAATATTCTATCCTCCTGATTTCCCTTTGTTTAATATTTCAGGGCTCATTTCATAGATGGCTGATTTAAGCTTTTTCAAGTTTTTGTTACTACCCAAAATGCTTCAGTAAACACCTTTACATTTTACACTTCTACCTTGTACAGTTAAGCAAATCTGTCTGTAGTATAAACTCCTAAAAGGAGAATTCCACTCAGAAGTTCCTGAGTCCCGACTATGTGCCACACGCTGAGGAGTCCTGGGAACTAAACAAATGAAATTCCTGACTGTCTAGGTTTACATTTCAATGTGGGGCAGAGGAGAGACAGACAATAAACAGATAAGCAAGTCACTGCACAGTAAGTCAGATGGTGATAAGTGTTGGGAGCGGAGGTGGGGGGTAGGAGGGTAACTGATTCATGTGGGTTGGTCAGGGAAGACTTTATTCCTGTCATGTGAGTTGGAACAGAAACTAGCAGGAAGTGAGGGAGCACATGGCAGATAGCTGGGAAGAACTTCCAGGCAAAAAATGCAGAGGTCCTTGAGGAAGGCTTTACGTGTTGAGCACAGGTAAAGTCAATATGGCTACAGCCAAGTAAGCTAAGAGGAGAGTGGTGAGAGATGGAGTCAGAGAGATGACAGGATCAGACCGTAAATGCCTTTCATGTTGAGGACTTTGGGGTTTATGCTGAGTTACATTAAAGGATTTTAAACAAAGGGAAGATGTAATCAAATTTATATCATAAAAGCCCTGCTGTGGTTGCTGTGGCTGGGGATAAAGCCAGGATCAAGGACTGCTGAACTAATCCCAGAAAAAGATGATGGTGAGACTAGGACTGAGAGTGAAGAAATGAGGTAGCTAGAAAAGAGAAGAGCAGTGTGTTGGGGGGGAGGGGTAGAAGGTGTGTCTGGCAGCATCGAGGGCCCAGCAAACAGGTGTCTGGAGTACCAGGTGAGACATCGGCTGGGCTTTGTGGGGTTCTCTAGCTGTTGGTACAGGCAGGAGGAGGCAGCAGCAAGTTGAATGAAACCTGGCTGTAGTTTGCAAGTGAGTATAATGAGGAGGAAGAGGAGCATGAGTGTGGAGGTTGTGTGCAAGGAGGTGTTCATCCAGGCTGACATGGACTTGCTTTGAAGGGTTGCCGTACCAGCTCTTGCTGCTCCTCTGTGGGTGCATGTGGTCATTTTCTAAAAAGATGAGATACTGGCTCCATAGCAAGAGCTAGAATAGATTTATAACTTCAGTGTTTGAAAATGCTAGGACTTACTCATCACAGTGGTACACACCTAAATTCCCAGCTACTCAGGAGGCCAAGGTAGGAGGACTGAGGTCCAAGGCCAATCCCAGCAAAAGCATAAAACCCTGTCTGAAACACAAACTAAAGGGCTGACGGAGTGGCTCAAGTGGCAGATAGGTAGGGCACCTTTCTAGCAAGCATGAGGCTCTGAGTTCAAACCCTAATACTTTAAAAAAAAAAAAGAAAAGAAAGAACAGAAAAAAGACAGAGAGAGAGAGAGAGAGTTCTTTTGCTAAAAAAGCAAAAGAACTGGGGAGCATGGCTCAAGTGAAGGCCCCGAATTCAATTACCAGTATGGCAAAAAAAAATGAAGGAAGGAAGAGAAGGAAATGCTAGGGCTCATAACAGCAATAATAACTTTCAGTGAAGATGAATAATAACAAGAGAACTGATATATGAATACAAAAATAAGAAAGGAAAGAAAAAGGGGTGACTGTGAACTAAGGTAAGGAGAGAAGGGAGCAGGCAGAGGAGAGAACATGCTGTAGGCTCAGTGCTTTGAGGGTCTTAGTGAGAACTGTTGGAGGATGAGCTAGGAAAAACTAGGGGTGCAAAGGGGAGCAAGAACCTGGGAAAGGAGTTTATGGAGGGGTCACACAGATGGTGCCTGGGCCCAGGGCATAGCATGCTAGGGAGTGACCCAGAAGGGATAGAGAGAGGGTGGACAGAGGATGTCAAGGAACTGGGAGGCCAGGAAGTAGAAGGACCGTCTAGGTGGGTGTTAAAACCACCCCACATTGTGACGAGGCTGGCATGAGAGTGCTTGGGAACCAGAAACTCTTACTCAACTGCATTGGTCTTGATATAGACAGCAGGTGCCAGGATCCATCTGGAAATCTGTTTCATCCTGGCCTCCACTCTGTCTAACTATCCATCATGGCAGAGGAGAGGCAGAGCTCCTGTCCTTCCTAGCAGAGAATCTCACTAGCTTAGAACAGGAGATCTTCTTGGCCCTATTGTATCCACCTCACAGGTCTTGGCCAACACTTCCCAAATCCCTAGCTTGTGGGAACGCTGACTGCATAGCAGGCTGCAGGCCCCTCTGGACCTGCCCAAGGAAATGGGTTCCTGCTTGGAAAGGGCGCCCCCTGCCTGTTAAAACGCCCCTTGCTGGGGAGCGTTGAGACTCACCAAAGTGATTGTGCTCCTCCAGTGTTATGCCAGCATCTCGAAGCCTGCAACTAGGCCCTGTGGACAGTGCCTGTCCTGAGGGCCCAAGGCTCTCACTCACCTTTTGCACATGAGCTGGCTGAGTTTGGCTCAAGGAGATTTGGTGGTTCACCTAGGACTCAGGCAGTAATGCAGGACTGAGATCAAACCAAGGTCTGGGGGGCTGGAGTCTGGTGTTTTTTAACCACATGATCTTTTCATATGAATGTCTTAACCCTCTAATCCTAAGTCACTTGGGCACAGGGACATAAGTTAAATCCCCCAGGGGAAGGTTCCAGATCTGGTAGTTCCCTGCAACAGTTAGCAGGCCTCTACCCAGTGAATTCCTGCTGATTGGTGACAGCTTTCCTTGCCTCTGTTTCTCCTCTCTGGCCCCTTCATTCCCATCTTAGTCCCCTCACACTATCCTGGGCCCTTTCTGTCACTGGGAAAACCTGTTCCCTCTTAAAGACATTGCGACTTATATTGACTGTGAGGGGAGCTGGGCTGTTGAACTCAACACAGTGAGAGAGGCTACCCTTACTTGGGAAGAAGGGGGTACAGTGCAGTGGGACTGCTATGTATGCTGTGATGGGAACAATTGATGTGCGTTTTCAGCAGGGACTGGGCTGTCTGGGAGCCATGCTGACCACAACTAAAAGAGAGTTAGCTTTTACCCTGGTGACACACCTAACATAAGGTGGGCAGTGATCATGCAACTGCCCCAGGCACAGATGCAGAGTAGGGAGCAGCATAACCCTCTACTGCCCTGGCTTCCTAGATCATTCTGAACTTCACATCCATGGACCTGTACCGCAGCCGTCTGTGCTGGTATGACTACGTGGAGGTGCGTGATGGTTTCTGGAGGAAGGCGCCCCTTCGAGGTAAGAGAGCCACTTCCTTCTCAGAATTACCTATGTCATGGTCTTCATCCTTCAAGGTCAGCATCGTGGGCTGACATCCTGATGTGGGACCTGGAAGTCTTTGGGGGTTGGTCCTGGCAGCTCAGTCACTAACCAGCAGTGTGACCCCCAAACCTCAGATTCCTCAGTGTTGGCTTCTAGGCTTGCCTCAGAGGATGGCTGTCACTATACAGGTGGGGGAATCATAGGAGTTGACAGAGCCAGACAGGCTGTTCTGTGCATTCTATAGTTCCAGGTTTCTCCTGCATCACAGAGATTGCATAAGCTTCATTTTATCTGTCTGCAAGGTCTGACTTTCAGGTATCTACTCTGCAGCCTGGCTGAAAAGCAACTTGTTATAAACCTGCTGGGCAGGCTGTTAACTCACCTTAGAAGTCTTTATGCTTGAAATGGTGGCCTGACCCTGTTTACACAGGATATGTTGTCACTGATCGTGTGTGCAGGAGATGCGCGCGCGCGCGTGTGTGTGTGTGTGTGTGTGTGTGTGTGTGTGAAGCACATGGGACTAAGTGGATCAAAACTGCAGGGCAAGATTGGGTGTGGTGTGCTTGCCTGTAGTCCCAGTACTCAGGAGGTTGAGGTAGGAAGAACATGAATTCAAGGCCAGCCTGGAATACAGAGTGAATCTGAGGCCTGCTGGGGCTGTATAGTGAGATCCTACCTAAATGGTAACACATGTACACACACACACACACACACACGCACACACCCACAGGACAAAGTAGGGTGTAGTGGTGTATGCCTGTAAGCCCAGTGCATGGTAAGCTGAGGCAGGAGGATCATGAGTTGAAGGCCAATTTGGGTACATAGTGAGACCTTGTTTCAACAAAGAGCAAACACACAGACACACACACACACACACACACACACACACACACACACACACACGAAGGCACTTCAACTGACATAGAATTAGCGGAAAGTGAGTCTGTTGTTAATAGAGAACATCTGGATCAAGCCTGGTTGCTGTATGACTTGCTTCTCCATCTGGACGCAGTCCTTAGCAGTGCAGGCCTGCCCTGCAGCCTTAGCACCTCTGCCTCACAGACTGCAGGAGGCAGCCTGACACGCTCTTGCAAACCCTCTCTCTTTGTCCCTCAGTTTCTGGTATCTGAAGAGTTCTTGTGAGTCGCTCAAAGCAGCTGTCATTACACTTCCTCTGCAGCCATGTTAGGTCTCCAAAACTGCAGTTTCTTTCTCATAACTGACATTCCTAGGCCAGCTCCCTTTGTCCCTTGCCGAAAATTGGGAAACACCCAATCTTATTAGGAACACACAAATCATTCATGGTCAATTCTTGACTGCAAAGAATCCCACAGATGGCCAGCCTCACCCTTTCTGTTGACTCTTGTTGAATTTTATTTCAATGGAATCATTTGCTGACCTAGTCCCCAGATCCTGGAGTTAGGAGTTCTGGGGCATCCCCTGCACGTGATCCAATGAAGTCATGCCTGTGAGAGATGCCTTAATGTGCAGGAAAAGCTTGGTCCATTTCTTGATTATTACTTTTTGGTATGAAGAACAAATATGGAAAGACCATATTTGTGTGTATGCATGTGGCTTTTTGAGACAGGGTCTTTCTATGTAGCTCAAGCTGGCCTGGAATTCACGATCCTTCTGCCTCACCTCCCGAGTGCTGGGGTTACAAGTGTGAGCCACCACACCCAGCTTGGTAATATGTTTTCAAATAAAACACATGTGCAGTCAGATACTATGAGGATCCATCATTCCAGAAACAGACTCACATTCTCTTCCCCCGAAAGGAGTCTCTAGCTCTTTGAAACCAAATTGGGCCTTGGGCAAGCTGGAAGCCAACTGGCGGTCATGTTAGGAATGCACGTTAGGAACGTGCAGTAGGGTGGCTGTAAAACAGAGTTCCAACCCCCTTGGAGAGGTAGGGCTTCTTAGGGAGGTGTCAGGGCTCAAGGCTCCTTTGTCCACACTGTCTGCAGGTCGGTTCTGTGGCGGGAAACTCCCGGAGCCCATCGTCTCCACCGACAGTCGTCTCTGGGTTGAATTCCGCAGCAGCAGCAACTGGGTTGGGAAGGGTTTCTTTGCCGTCTATGAAGGTACTGAGGAAGTGGGGGGGAGGTCCCTGACCATCCTAGAGCTACTCCCTCCTGGCCCCCAGGGACTCAGTGTGGGTCTTGATGGAAGCAGAGGGAAGGGTGGGGTTGGTAGGGTGGGTGATGGGGAGACTAGTTGTGTGGGAAGGGAAGGAGGAGTGGTGAGGGGAGAACATGCTGACCTACCACCTGTCCCACCTTATCCTATGTCTCCATGTCCCTGTGTCCCCAAAGCCATCTGTGGGGGTGATGTGAAAAAGGACAATGGCCATATCCAGTCGCCCAATTACCCAGATGACTACAGGCCCAACAAAGTCTGTATCTGGCGGATCCAGGTGTCTGAGGGTTTCCACGTGGGCCTCACGTTCCAGTCCTTTGAGGTAGCCAGAGATACTGATCTGACCCTTGAATGTCCCTAGTGTCCTCCGGGACAGCCCCATTCTCTGCAGACTCCAAGGGACTGGGGCCTTGGCAACCAGAACTCCTTCCACTAACAGAGCCCCTCACCCCTAGATCGAGCGCCATGACAGCTGTGCCTATGACTACCTGGAAGTGCGTGATGGTCACAGTGAGAGCAGCTCCCTCATCGGGCGCTATTGTGGCTATGAGAAGCCCGATGATATCAAGAGCACATCCAGTCGCCTCTGGCTCAAGTTCGTCTCTGATGGCTCCATTAACAAAGCTGGCTTTGCAGTCAACTTTTTCAAAGGTGTCTCCTTCATTCCTTCTTCGGTCACTCATTCCACATAGAGATTCCATGAGGGAGGCAAATGCCAGAAAGTTGCTGAGCGCTGATCTTCACAAGCTGTGGGAACATGGGAAAAGGGCAACCTCCATGAGGAGGGTTTTTTGTTTTATTTTGGTTTGTTTGTTTTTTCTTCAGTACTGGAGCCTCGTGCTTGCTAGGCAGCACTCTATCACTTGAGTCATGCCTCCAGCCCTTTTTGTTTTAGTTATTTTTTAGCTGTGGTTTTGTGTTTTTGCCTGGGGCAGATGTTGAACTCTTCCTACCTATGCTCCCTACTTAGCAGGAATTATGGGCAAGTGTCGCCATGCTAGCCAATGTAGAGTTTTTAAAGAATGACCAGAGGCAGGTGTTCTCCCCGAGCCTTAGTTCCTTACCAGTGTGATGGGCACAGTAACGGCTCCATCAGAGTATTTTAGCAGGGATTGGCACCAGGAAGTGGTGGTGGCCTCCAGTCAACCTGTGTGCTCAGAAGGAAGGCTCTGTGGGGTCTCCTCATGGGGTTCCAAGTGACCCTGGGGGCTCAGGGGACTTGGATCTGAGCAGGCAAGTGTGGCTTCCATCTGACTTCTCCCTGGGATAAGGGTGGATGTGGGTCATAGGAAGCCCAGAGGACCCTGGACTTGACCCCCCTCCCCAAGCAGAGGCCAGGAGGAAGAAGCCTGGCCTGGCCTGCAATCTGTGACCCCCTTTCCTTCCCCACAGAGGTAGATGAATGCTCTCGGCCCAACCGTGGAGGCTGTGAGCAGCGGTGTCTGAACACCCTGGGCAGCTACAAATGCAGCTGTGACCCTGGGTATGAGCTGGCCCCAGACAAGCGCCACTGTGAGGGTGAGTGCACAGACTGCCTTGGGACCCCTGGTCCCTTTCCTGTGGCCTGAACAAGCTGGGATTGCCTAGTGCTGCTCCCAATTTTCTATTGCAGCTCCAGGTACTAGTACTCTGTGTGACTGCTTTTAGAATATTTTAATTCTTACTCTTTCATTAAAGCTGATCTTGACTTGGTAATCAATATCACCACCTACTAGAGGTGAACAGTGGAAACCACTGTTCTCTAATGGTGACCAAATCTCAGTTTCTTGCATGTCCCCAAGGTGCTGGTGACAGCACTTCGAGCTAATGACTCCAGCTTGGGCACCTTTGAGCAGCCCCTCTGTGCACCTCCTGGAACTGTCCAGCCATACTGCTTTCCCAGACCCTCCCTGCCTGCCTCCCCTGCAGCAGTTTTTGGGCCCATTCTCCAGCCACGGTGATAGAAGTGGCCACAGTGCAGCCCCTCCATGTCTTTCCTTCTTCCTCCAGACCCCTGGAGACCCCCCACCTTCACCTTGCTTCCTTCCATCTGTCCCAAGCCCCGTGGCTGTAGGACCTACAGACCCTATCTTCTCCCAACTGCATCCCAGACCAGGCCTCCTAGAGCCGAGACTCCTGGCAGATGATCCCACGTCATTTGTCTCCCCAGCTGCCTGTGGTGGATTCCTCACCAAGCTCAATGGCTCCATCACCAGCCCAGGCTGGCCTAAGGAGTACCCACCTAACAAAAATTGCATCTGGCAGCTGGTGGCCCCCACTCAGTACCGCATCTCCCTGCAGTTTGACTTCTTTGAGACAGAGGGCAATGATGTAAGTGCCTCCCAGGGCATGGGTGGGTAGGAAGGTGTAGGCTGTGGGGCCTAGGCTCAACACCTGCCTCCTACCATCTGGGAGAGGTCCAGGCAGAAAGGCAGAGAATGTAGAGGTAGACGCTGCACCCAGTGTGGGTGGGGGTCAGAAGCTTGGGGGATCCTTGAAGGAGTGTCTGGCAGGTGTGAATGAAGGACATAGGTCTGAAGCCTATAGAGTGAGGAAGATCTTGGGCTGCCCCAGGGCTTTGTGGATTGCACTGGAGCATCTGCTGGGGGTGAGCAGCTAACCAAAAGCTAAAGGATCTGTAGACCTTCTGCAAGCTTCCGAGTGTGGGAGTAGTCTGGAGAGGCTTCCTGGAAGAGACAGCCAGAGCTGGGTTCCCCTGCAGGTGTGCAAGTATGACTTTGTGGAGGTGCGCAGTGGACTCACAGCTGACTCCAAGCTGCATGGCAAGTTCTGTGGTTCTGAGAAGCCCGAGGTCATCACCTCCCAGTACAACAACATGCGTGTGGAGTTCAAATCTGATAACACTGTGTCCAAAAAGGGCTTCAAGGCCCACTTCTTCTCAGGTAACCCCGAGCTCCCCAGCTCCAAGTCCTGCCTCCCTCAAAGAACGAGGCTCCCCTTGCCCCTGACCCTGTGTACTTTCCAGCCCTCTGTGGTACCTGGCCTGCCTGCTGCTGCCTCCCTTTCACCACCCACCACCAAGCCAGCCTCAGGGACATCTGAATCCCATATTCCTAAGTCCTCCATGCCTGTCAGGCCTGGGGAAGGGTAGAACAAAGGGAGGGAACATTCCAGGTACTGGGAGCCTGCAAGCCAAGGCCTGAGAGAGGGCAGGCTCTGGAACAGGGAGTTCAGTTTGACTGAGAACACGGGGTGGATGGAGAAGAGGAGGGTGTTTTCCTTGGACTGTTTGGGGCAGATTATCTGGCAGTAGCTGGACTTCTAATCAGACCCTGTACAAGCCAAATGGGTTCATGCCTGGGCCTTCTGAAAAGGAAGATACCTCCCTGCCTTTGATATCAAAGCTTCCCACTCTTTTCCCCTGGGTGGGGGGCTCAGGTCCCCTCAGCATGTCAGCTGAGAGCTGTCCCATATAAAACGTGGGCTCATTTGTGCTTTCAAGGCCCCTCTCTGGGTGGCCTAAATGGTAGTCAGACAACCCTCCCCAGCCTATCGAAGCTGGACCTGGGGCGAGGGGGGATGGATGGGGGAGGAGTCCCAGGAGACTTCTCCCCTGATTTAGGAATCCCATAGACTTTGGCCCCAGGCTAGGCTGTGAGACAGCTGGTGACCTCCAGAGGCAAAGGACCCAGGCAGTGAAGGTCAGAAGCTCTGCAATGGAGCTGGAAAGAACAGGAAGTGTGGGCTGGTGGGAGCAGGTGGTTTTGTAGAGGAGTGGTCCAGGGACCCTCACCCCCACGTCTCCTGATGGGCCAGGCATAGGCAGGCAGGAGGCAGGAGGCAGGAAGCCCACAACTACATCTATGCCACCTTCCTTCTCCTGTCCCACCCAGGGTCCTATATCCTTCAGTCCCCTGTGCGGTTGCCCTGCACCCCTGCCTGCCCACCTGGATGCAATGCACCTGCCCCTGTGCACTGGTTCCCTGCTTGGCACTGCCAGCTGCTCTGCTCTGCTCAAAGTGCTCAGTTGAGCTTTTGGCCCCCCACCCTCAGCCCTGCCCCACTGCTTGCCGTGACCCTCCCCTGTAACACCAACCCTTCCTTCCCTGACCCCAACTAGAAGTCCTACAAGGTGCTCACCAGAGGGCTGGGGGGATATAACACCTGCTCAGGGTGGGAGCTGCCCCAGGGCAACCATTACCTGCTTACTCTTGTCTCTTCCTGCCCTTCTGTTGCTCCAGCCTTGAAGGGGACAGGGCGACACTCACATCTGTCTAGAGTTACTGCCTTGTCTCCCCACCCCACCCCACATAACACTATGCCCACCCTACTCAGCTCTGCATAAGACACACACACACACACGCACACGCACGCACACACACACAATACCCCCTCGTACAAGAAATCTGCAGAGGACCCCCATCGGTGGGCATCAAGGTGCAGCCTCAGGACCTGGGGCACCTGACTCTGGCCCCCCAGGAGGGGCTGTGTGGACTTTTGGGACACCCATCGAGGAGACCCTAAGTCAAGAAGGAGAAGCAAGAGCCTGAAGACCTTCAGTCTGACCCCAGCACCTCCAGGGCATTTGGGCACTGTAGGGTGAGTGCCATCTCCTTGTTGGGACCCACATCACCTCCCCTGCCCCTGCATCCCTTGTTACTTGTTTCCCTGGCACCAAGGTGGGCTGCCCACTCCTCCAGGTGCCAAAGCCCTGCCCAGACACTGAGGCAGCCATCTTTGGGCCTGACTTTCTGTCACTCATTCCTTCAGCCATTCACATGCATACCCACTCATTCATTCAACAAGTATTTATTTTACACATATTGTGTTCTGTGCGTTGGACTTGGCGTCTGGGGTGCAAATATGAGAAAGACATGGAGATCCAAAATTGTCAGGGCAGTCTTTGCTCAGCCCTTGAGCTAAGCTCTATACAGCTCTCAGCAGAGTCCCAGGCATGTCCTCAGAGAACCTCCCACACCTACATGTCCCATGGGCTAGTGCAAAGACTGCTTCCTCAGGCCCTCAGTCAGACTCCCCTCTAATGTGCATGGAAGGGACCCTTTTGAAGAAACATGGGGACTCTACCTGTTGACCCTGTGTCCCTGAGGGCCCTGACAGGTCTGGTCTTATGGGAGCCAGGTCTTCTAGGAGCCGATGCTCTATCCCTCAGGCTCCTCTCCTGGGATACCAGGAACAGGATCCTCTTGTCACAGGCCCACCTGGCCCATTGAATCCCAGCTGACATCTTTCTACCTCATGGTTCATCTCTAGAATTCTGGGTATCCGCTTTTCCTGAATGCCTGCCTCTATGACAGGCACACTGTCCCCAAAATGATCACAGACAGACCTAAGAATATGTGGCCGTGGCATACACATGCCTGTAACCACGTGCATCTCTGTGTGTCAGTGCACATGTGTGTGTGAGTGTGTGCACTAGACCATCGGCATGATCAGCCTGAGCGTCTCTGCACATGTGCGTGTCTGATCCACGTCTGGGTTCCCAAGTGTGCATGTGTGTCTGTCTCCCTGTGTGTGTCTGCACCCACCTGTGTGTTCCTATCTGCACTTTTCTCCACTTATGAGGGAGAAAATCCTGTGAATCTCATGTGTGCACCTGTGTATAGGCAGGGTGGATGGGTGGTGTGTGTGTGTGTGACTGTCTTTGTACCTTTTTCTGCATGGTATACAGTAGGTTTGTATCTGTCTGTGTGTCTGTGGTATGTGTCACCTGATCATTTGTATCACCATGTTTGGACAGCAGTACATTCGTGCTGGGCTGTGCTGGGGGCCTGACTGTAGATGTGTTTATGTGAGTGTGTGTGTGTGTCTGTGTCTAACACTCTGTACATGAGCGCCAGACTGAGAATTTGAGGCGAGCTCTCACGCAGCCCTCTCCACACACTGCTCCCCTCTACCAACAACTTCTCCTTTCTCTTCCTCCTTGATGTTGCGCGCCATGGGGCGGGCCATCCCTCCAGCCCTTCCCCTTGCCACTGGCCCGGTGGTCTTCCCTGTCGCTGTGCCTCCTCCTACCTGCTAACTCAGCCCTCTGTGACCTGGCTGCGTGTCATGGCCCGCCTGCATGTGTGTCCGCCTGCCCTCCTGCCCCACCACACCCTGCCCGCCTGCCTCAAGGCCCTGGGTCTGGTTTCCACTGCTCTCCCTCCCTGGTCCCTGCCCTCCACCCCCACCTCTTGGTCCCTTTTCTCCTTTCTCTCTCTCGTTTCAGAAAAGAGGCCAACTCTGCAGCCCCCTCGGGGACGCCCCCAGCAGGTCAAATTCCGAGTGCAGAAAAGAAACCGGACCCCCCAGTGAGGCCTGCCAGGCCTCCCAGACCCTTCGTTACTCAGGAAGCTCACCTCGGACGGAGTGGGCTGGGGGCTTTGGAGCCCACCTACCCCCTGCCTCCGCTCTGCCATTCCGGCTGCCTCCTCTGGCTGGACAGAACTGGTGCTCTCCTCTCCCCCTGTCCCCCTCAGCCGACAGGGGACCCTTCCCTACCCCCTTCCCATTTTGATGGTGTCTGTGACATTTCTTGTTGTGAAGTAAAAGAGGGACCCCTGCGTCCTGCTCCTTTCTCTTGCAGTCTGCTTGTCCATGTGTCTGTTTTTCCACTTGTCCGTCTGTCCAGTAAGCAGGTAATGGTAGAGGTCCCATGCTGGTCAGCTCCTGACCCCCAGCCCTCCCTCCACCCACTTCTACCTTCTCTCCCCACAGCTGGGCCCCACAAGCTGCCTCCGCTTGATGCAGTACCTGGGACCTTGCCATCGCCTTGGCCTCCCACTCCCCACATGCCCTGCTGGCCGGTGCTGGCTCTTGCACTCTCCCTCCCTATGAGAGGAAGCCCAGCCAGGTCTCCACTTCCCCTGGGGTGACGAGACCTCAGCCCACACAGACCCACCACCCTTGTTTGCTCCCTTAGACAAGGATGAGTGCTCCAAGGACAACGGCGGCTGCCAGCAAGACTGTGTCAACACGTTTGGCAGTTATGAGTGTCAGTGTCGTAGCGGCTTTGTCCTCCATGACAACAAACATGACTGCAAGGAAGGTAAGGGCTGCACAGAGGCCAAGGCTGATGGTGGGGGTGACCAGAGCTTGCTGAACACCGGGCATTGCCCCAGGGCATCTGCACAGGAGATTTCCGTGATGGGAAATGGCAGACTGGTGGTGCCATCTCCATGGGCCTCAGTTTACCTGTGCAGTGAGTGACCTCTGAGGTCATGCATTTCATCTCCTACCAGGTACACAGGCCTCCTCCCCTGCCTGCAGTATCATGGTCACATGCTAGTGGTTTCCCCTTGTCTTCGTCAGGAAAGGAGCTCATAGCTGTCCTGAGGCTCCATTTCCAGACTCTTCTGGTGGTCAGTGCTTCTTAAAACCCATGTCCAGATAGGCACAGGGAGGCTTACACCTGTAATCCTAGCTACTCAGGAGGCAGAGGTCAGGAGGACTGAGGTTCAAAGCCAGCCCAGGCCAAATGGTTCATGAGACCCTATCTCGAAAAAAACTTATCACAAAAAAGGGCTGGTGGAGTGGTTTCACGTTGTAGGCCCTAAGTTCAAGCCCCAGTACCACAAAAAGGAAAGAAAAAAATACACGTCCAAGTCTTTCTGTTTCTAATTGCTTCCTATTGGCACATAGTGGCTTAAAAGCACAGACTCTGAGGCAGGCGCCAGTGGCTCGTGCCTATAATCCTAGTTAGTTGGGAAGCTGAGACCAGGAGGATCGAGGTTTGAGGCCAGCCCAGGCAAATAGTTCACAAGACCTCACCTTCAAGGAAACCAAAGTAAAAATAGATTAGAGATGTGGCTCAGTAGGTAGAGTACCTGCTTTGCAAGCTTGAAGCCCTGAGTTCAAATTCCAGTCCCCCCCCAAAAAAAGAGAAAAAACAGACTCTGGAGACAGGGTGTCTGGTTTGACTCTGCCACTTGGCTAGCTGTGTGCCCTTGAGTAACCACTTGCTCAGTTGCTCCTGTGTACAACGTGGATCATAATTGACCCGTCTCTGAGGCAATACTTCAAGCAGCATAGTTACATATATTCCCATTACTGGTCACACTTCTCACCCCTGGGGACACCCAGGACATGCTGCTGCCTTTCTGACTTTGGAGCCCTGCTTATACATATTAAGCATCCCTAATTTGCTCCAAAATACTCCAAAATCTGAAACCTCTGGAGCACCAACATGATGGCACAAGTGGAAAATTCCACACCTGACCTCATGGGGTGGGTCACAGTCAAAACGCAGGTGCACTAAAAATATTGCACAATATTACCTTCAGACTGGGTATATAAGGTACATAGGAAACATAAATCAGACTTGGGTCCCATTCCCAAGATACCTCATTACCTATGTGCAATATATTCCAATATCACCAAAAACACTTCTGGTCCCAGGCATTTTAGGTAAGGGATGTCCAATCTGTATTTCAAAATAGCTCTCATGCCATATCATCTGATACCTGGTCAGATATGCTACAACACTGTCTGCTCCAACTTGCTAATTCTGTGTCCCTGTGTCTGTTCAACATGTATAATCCCACATGTATAATCCCAACAGCACAACACAATACAGGCCTGCTTCCACCCCTGAATGTCTGTGTGCTTTGGGGCAAGTCGCTTAACTTCTCCGTGCTTCAGTTTCCTCATCCATGAAATGATAAACAGTGATCCCGCCTTTTAGAGATTGTGTTTTATCAACATTCCTCTGAGGACTGAACACAGTGCTTGGCAAATGACTCTTCACCGTTATTAAGTGGACAACCCAGGTTTAAACAAATGAGCTGCTGAGCAGAATAAATAGAATTGAAGCACCCTACAGTGATCCAGTGGGGAGTTGACAACCTCCAGTCCCATCTCCAGGGTGTGGGAATCCTGACTCGGAGATTCCACTTCTTTTTTTTTTTTCTTTCTGTGCCTGACTTATTTTTTTTTTAATTTTTTAGCATAAATTAATTGTACAAAGGGGTTTGTTTCATCATGGTATTTACAACATGCAGGAACTGTACTTTGATCAAATTCACCTCATCTATATTATTCTTTCTTAAGTACCCTCAATCCTTGCCCCTCCTTTTTAAGTTTTTGGTGGGTTTCATTGAGAGTGTCCACTTCTTTTAGCTAGAGGGGAGCTTTGTCCTGATGTGGTCTAAAGAGCATCTGTGTTTGTAGTCTTGGTGCAAAAGAGGGTTTGAATAAAAAATAGCATCAACAAAGACAACCAGGCCAGGGTGTACACGTCTCAGGAAAGTGACCTACCCACCTGCTTGTCTTCAGATTCACTCGGGAAGCTCTACTGAGGAGTGCCTCACATGGGTGTAGATCAGTCCACGTGCCCTGACCTCTGTGGACCATCCAGTGCTGTGCAGAGTTCTGTAGGGAATTCAAGAGAGCAGGTCTCCCACTCCCACAGACATTGCTGGGAAGGACATGACATGGGGGTGCAAGGGAAATGGCAGGGAGACTAGCATAGAAGTGGGGAGGGCAGGGCAGAGTAGCCATGAGAGGCTGCAGATGAGCAATGGGAATGGCTCAGCGGTGAGACAGGAGCCTGAACCGCTGGAACTCAGCCCTATGTTTGGTGAGCCCCAGACTCTAGGCCCAGCTGTACCTGCCCATCCCTTTTTCCTCCCTGGACCCACAGTACAATGGCTGCCTGTTTGCTGAGTTAGTCAGTTGTCTGTTACTGTGATAAAACACCTGAGAAAAATAACTTAAAGGAAGAAAGATTCTGGCTCATGCTTTCCGAAGTTTCAGCCCATGATCACTTGGTTCCATTGCTTTGGACCTGAGACAAGATCAATCGTGGCGGAAAGCACACAGTAGAGCAAAGCTGCTCACCTCATGGCAGCTGGGAGCAGAGAGAGAGAGGCACTAGAGACAAGATACACCCAAGGGCACACCCAAAATGACTTACTTTCTCCAGGTAGGCCTCACCTCCTAGTTTCCATCACCTTCCAATAGTCCATTCAGTTGTGAACCCATCAATGGATTAATCCATGGATGAGATGAGATCCAATGACATCCCCAAAGTGCCACCTCTGAACATTGCATTGGGGACCAACTTTTAACACATGAGCCTTTAGGGGACATATTAGATCCAAGCCGTAACACTTGCCCTTAGAGGGACCTGCCAGAGTATCTGATCATGAATACTGGTCATTGGTTTTTTTTGTTTGTTTGTTTGTTTTTTTGTGATACAGGTTGGAGAGACACCTCCCCTGAGGCCACAGGACAGGAGGCAAGAGAGAGTTAGGAAAGGTTGTGTTTGAGGGCCCTGGTTTCTTCAGGAGGCAAGAGGAAACTGCAGCTGGGAGGGATGGGAACTTGAGACAGTGGCTTTATTTTTTGGGGTGATACTGAGGTTTAAACTCAGGCCCTTGAACTTGGTAGGCAGGCACTCTGCTACTTGAGTCATACCCCCAACCATTTTTTGCTTTAAGTTATTTTTCAGCTAGAGTTGTGTTTTTGCCTGGGACCAGCCTTAGATCACAGTCCTCCTACCTATTCCTTCCTTGTGCATACAGGCACGTGTTACCACATCCCCACTTATTTGTTGGGATAGGCTCACACTAACATTTTGCCTGGGCTGGCCTAGAACCACAGTCCTTCCCCTCACCACCTGTTGGGTAGCTGGGATTATAGTACGAGCCATTGCACCCAGCCCCGCAGATGGGGTTTCTAAAATGGAAGGACAGCATGAGGGAAGCTGGGCCACAAGGAGTGTCAGCAAACACTTTGGGTGATTAGCCATGTAGTTCAGCCACAGAGGACAGTCATCTAAGTCAGACAGGGAAGAAGATGGTCAGCCCTCCAGGTCTGTGAGTTCCATCTTTAAGTTCAGCCAACCTTGGGTTGAAAGTATAGTTAGGCCTGTGATGGTTGCATCTGTACTGAATATGTACAAGCTTTTTTTCTGATCATTATTTCCTAAATAGTGCAGTATATCAATGGTTGAGATAGCATTTACATTGTGTTAGGCATTATATAAGTAACCCAGAGATAATTTAAAGTGTACAGGCTGATGCAGTAGGTCCCATGCAAATACTATGCCATTTTACATAAGAGACTTGGACATCTGTGAATTTTGGTATCTGTGGAGGGTCCTAGAACACATCTCCTTTGGACACAGAGGGTTAGCTATATGGTCTATAAAGACCATGGAGGTCCCTCTAAAGTGAAGTAAGCCTTGGGAAAGCTAGGGCCTGAGCATGCTGGAGAAGTGGGAGGTGGCTGTCAAGAGGGTGACGTGTTGGTAGCAAAGCCTACAGTGAGGTTGTGAGGAAAGGAAATAAGAACCAGCAGAGCTGAGTAGGTCAAGGGACAGAGGTGTATTGGGTGGGCCAGCTGCCTGTTTGATGGTGTCAGGAGTGGGGTTGGAGAGGACTGAGTCAGGTAACAAGGTCTACCATGACTGCGGAGGCTGCTGCGGCTCGGTGGATGACAGCCTCAGGATGCACAAAAATTCTCAGGCTGCAGAGCTGGGAGAAGGGGATATTTGTGGTATGAGGGGTCCCTAGCAGAAGTAATGTGGCCAGATGGCTGCAAAGTGATGGGGTACTTACCCAAGGGAGCTGCTTCCATGAGTGCTGCCAGGGGCCTCACCCAGGGCTTTTGTAGAGACCAAGCAGTTAGGTTCTCCCAGTTATTCGCAATCCTTGTGCGTGAGGGACAAGAGGCAGAGGAAAGGAGCGGGCAGGAGAGAAGGGTCCTCTTCATAGGAAGCACTGGAGCTTGGGGTCCCTGCCAATCCCACTCCATCACTCACGTTCCCACAGCTGGCTGTGACCACAAGGTGACATCCACCAGTGGCACCATCACCAGCCCCAACTGGCCTGACAAATATCCCAGCAAGAAGGAGTGCACATGGGCTATCTCCAGTACCCCAGGGCATCGGGTCAAGCTGGTAAGATGCCCACTGCCCAGCTGTTTGGGACCCCTGCACCTCCGTATCATATGGCCACTTCTGTCTCACCAAAGTCTTGCTTGAGTCAGGAGTGTTGGCTGTAGAGTGGGTGGTCTAGCTGAGCTCCTGAGTCTACATAGACAGAACACCCTCTTCTCAGGATGCAGTGGGGTTGTCTCTGCCATTACCTATTCCTGGGTCCTCCCTATAACCATCATCCTCCCAGCCATGGCTGCTCTCACAGGTGTGTATGAGCTGGGATCACACACCCCAATGTATGATCAAGCCTAGATTTGGGACTCCCTGATTCCTGCCCCAGCTGCCCCCAACTTAATCCGTAATCTGCACTCCTCTCTTGTGCCTTCCAGACTTTCATGGAGATGGACATCGAGTCTCAACCTGAGTGTGCTTACGACCACCTGGAGGTATTTGATGGGCGTGACGCCAAGGCGCCTGTTCTTGGTCGCTTCTGTGGCAGCAAGAAGCCCGAACCTGTCCTGGCCACAGGCAGTCGTATGTTCCTGCGCTTCTACTCAGACAACTCCGTCCAGAGGAAGGGATTCCAAGCGTCCCACTCCACAGGTGAGGCCTGCCTCGGGCCAGCATACTGCCTTCATGCTATTAGCTCCAGAGGCACTGCTGATCCTGGTCTCTAAGCCAGGCTCAGGGTTTAGGAAGGCCAGATAGACAGAGCCCTGTGACCCTGGGAGACAAGACAATGGGCTCCAAGAACCAGGTCAGAGGTGCAGAGTGAGCACTGAGGGCCAGGGAAGGGTATGTCATGGGTAGAGGTTATGAAAGTCAGAAAACAGAGAGCAGTGACAAGTTGGGGGGTGGGGTTGGGAACCCAGGAATGAGGAAGGAATCCCCCACATCTTCACTAATTGCATACTTGGCAATACATCACCCCACCCACCCTTCAACCCCCCAAATGCACTTCTCATTCTTTTTACAGGTATTTATTAACACATGATATGAACGAGGCAGCATTCTAAGTGCAGGTTCTTGAGGGGCTTGCTCTGTGTTCATTTGTTTATTCAGCCACCACCTCTGAAGCTCTCCCTATTCCAAAGACTGAGGGGCAAATGGCAATGAATCAGACACAAGCCTTTCTCCCCTACCCATCCAGGAACTCATAGTCCAAGGACAAGATAAGTCAGGCACAGATAATTACAACATAAGACAAAACACAATAGGAATGAGAAGAAAGGCTCTCCAGCCTGAGTGGGAGCTGGTGGAGTCTGCCCAGGCAGGGGGTAGAGCCAAGCTCCACCACAGCTCAGGGTGTACCCAGGTGACAGCAAGTCACTTACTTTGGAGGGAGCAGAGTGTGTGATCACAGCAGCTGAAGTGGGGTCCATGTTGCTGTAGAGAGAGGCTGGAGTCCAGTTCTTGGAGGCCGGAATGCTGACCAAAGATGTCAGCTGCCAACTTCATAATATCCTGATGGATCTTGAGCCACCTGTCAGTGTGTCTCCAGAACTAATGGGTCCACAGACTCCCCTCTTCCCCTTCACCTCTAACCTGACCCAGGCCCTACTTGGGTCTCTCCTCATCTCCTCCAGAGAATCTGAACACAGGGTATAGGAGTCTAGGGGCGCTGGGAGGAGGGTGACCACTGATGACACTGTTCTGTGTGCTCCCACTTTTCCTGACCAGCACAAACAGTACAAACCAGAGGCTGGAACTCCTTCCGGCTCACAGACCTCAGTGTTTGGCCCACACTGTATTTTTTAAAAATTTGAGCTAACACTTAAAATCAGGAGTTTTCACATAAAACCCAGATGTACAGCTTCTCTGTTAAAAATGGAAATTCTGGCAACACTGGGCCACATTCTTCTATGACAGCCCTCAGCTGGAGCAAATTAGCAATGTCCTTTTTTGACAAAGCTGCCTTCCCCAGTGCTGCCACTCTGCTGCCTTCCACTCAAGATGCTTCACCCCAGAGTGTCCCCGCAGCCCCCTCTGTAAGCACCTATCCAGAAATGACACAGCAGAACCCTTGCTCTGGGCTGAGTCCTAGGCCAAGTCCCAGCCCACCTGTACTGTCACGTGGCCTCTGTCCCAGGCATCCATCTCTTCATAGTTCAGCACGGTGTGGCAGGGTGCCCAACACATGGCAGTGCTCAGGAAGAGGTGGCCAATTTTGTCATCCCCCGCAGAGTGTGGGGGCCAGATGAGGGCAGACGTGAAGACCAAGGACCTATACTCCCATGCTCAGTTTGGTGACAACAACTACCCCGGAGGGGTAGACTGCGAGTGGGTCATCGTGGCCGAGGAGGGCTATGGTGTGGAGCTGATATTCCAGACCTTCGAGGTGGAGGAGGAGACAGACTGTGGCTACGACTATATGGAGCTCTTTGACGGTTATGACAGCACAGCCCCAAGGCTGGGACGATACTGCGGCTCTGGGGTAACTACCATCCTGGCTCCACAGCCCCTTATTACCCTCCAGCCCTTACCTCAACTCAGAGACCCAGCACCAATACAGCAGTGCCGCTGGAGTCCTGGGTGCTAGGCTGAGTGGCAGTACATGCCCGGCCTTCTTCAGGAGCCAGTACACACAGCCTAGTGGCTACTAGACTCTGGACCACCCCCACCCAAGAGACCAGGGTCTTTTCTGAATAGCAGAGGTTCCTGAAGCTTCTGGCCCAGGCCCTGCCCTGACAAAGCCTGTTCAGAACCAGCTTGGTTGGACTTGCAGGACAGCTTGTGTTTGAAGTGTCCCAAGGCAGCTCTCCAGGGCCTGGAATGGGAGCACCACTAGGGCAGAGCCAGGGACAGGAGGCCTGAGCTGTTGCTCTTACTAGACTGGCTGAGCCATAAAAACACCCTCTTCTCTTCCTCTGCTCAGTCCTCCCCTGGTGAGAGGCCACTTGGTTCCAAAGCTGTTTCTGCTGTCGTTCAAGCAGGGTCTGAATATTGCTTCTTGCTCTGTGGGATGGCTCTTGCACAGGCCATGTGCATAGTCAGCTTGGTGGGCTTGTAACCAAGGTCATGGGCCAACCCACAGATGGATTTTTCTTTTCCTCCCAATAAGAGCTTATGCCCCACCTACCTTCTTTATTTTCTTTTTGTCCTTTTAATTCTTTCTACTTTCAGACAAAGCTGTCATCCCCTTTCCATCTCTCTCATACACACAGGCTTGTACTTTCTCATGCACACTCAGTCATAAGTCCCTGGCCCCCACTTCTCTCATTGGCCATCCTCCAGGGCAGGCTGCTACCCCAGGAAGGGTTAACCCTCCCAGGAGAGGCAACAGCTGCTGGCCTCAGCATTGGCCAAGCCTCTCTTTAGAAGCAGAACTTTAGCCTTAGTGACCGGCAGGGGTTGGGCCAAGGTGGGATGGGCAGTGGGAAATGCTTGCAAAACCCCAGCATGCCTGTTCAGCTGCTCTGGCATCCCCGGGCTACCAAGCTCATACCCTCTCCCCACTTCGCCCCTTCCTGTGAGTCGCACACCAAATGGAGTATCTCCAGGGCACTCCTCCCAAAGACCTTCCCAGGCTGGGGGCAAGGGGATGGGACATGGGGGAAGAACCCAGGCAGGGCTCTTTGGCACAGTTATTGAAATGTTCCTAAGGCTCTCAGGAATGATTCTTTCTATGCCTGGAGGACCAGTGCATCACTGTGGGCTTGTGGAACCACCAAGAAGGGTATCACCTGGCAGCAACCACAGTCAGAACCAGGTCAGGGACAGGGATGGACAGGGATGGAAGAGTTCAGGTCTAGGGGAGACCATCTTCTCCCTATGGCTTCCTCCACACCCCAGCAGGCAGAGGAGTGCTAGTCCATCTTCTTTAGGATCTAAAATTATCAAAGCAAGCCACCTCTGCCTTTGCACACTTCAACCTTTATCCTCTTGCTGCATCCCCGCTCTAACACACACCACCCTCAGGAATCCTTCCAGGCTTGGAGAGCAGGAAGCTTTTGCTCCAGTATAGATATGAGGCCCAGAGGGGTTAGCATGCCCAAGCTACTAACTAGTTAATAGCAGAACGGAGTTTAAAATGGAATGTGATTCTGAACTTAATACAAGCTGCCCTCCTTCAGGTACCCCATTAAACTCCCAGAAGCATGACAATCTGTTTCTTTTCTTTTACTTTTTTGTGACAGGGGTATCACAACATAGCCTAGACTGGCCTCAAACTCTCAATCTTCCTGCCTCTGCCACCTGAGTGCTGGAATTACAGGTGTGCACCACCACTCCTGGCACATACTCTGTTTCAAGGGGCTAGGGGATCTGGTGAAAGTAGGGGAACATCATGCCTTCCTGTGAGCTGGGGATCTTGAGGAGGGAAGAGAGCAACCCTACTCTCCTCCCTCCTCCTCATGCCTGTCCCTTTCTCCACAGCCTCCTGAGGAGGTGTACTCTGCTGGAGATTCTGTCCTGGTGAAGTTCCACTCAGATGACACCATCACCAAGAAAGGCTTCCACCTGCGGTACACGAGCACGAAGTTCCAGGACACACTCCATAGCAGGAAGTGACCACTGCCCTCACATGGGGGCAGGGATAGAAGTCCTGCCTCCCTCAGTCATCTAGACTGGACAGTAGGGATGACAGGCAGGAGGTGACACATCGTCCCTCACCCCCAGGCACCAGGACCTGCAGGGCCAACAGGCCAGGTGACACTGTCCTCAGGAGGTGGGGAAATTGGACTCCTCATAAACCACTTCCCTACAGTCCCCCCACCAGAGTGCGGGGTCAGGGCCCAGGGGCCAGAGCTTCCACTGAGACACTTGAAGTGACCATTCCTCCCTGAGGCCCTGCCTGGTGGCAAGAGGGCCTGTCAACAGGACCCGGCCACCTTCCCTGCCGTCTCTACACGCTGTATTGTGTATAGCCGGTGGTCGTAATCTTCATTGTAATGTACATCTCCCTCCTCTTCTCCAGCCTTGACTTGGTTTTATTTGACCCCTACCTTCCCTGTTTCTTGGGGCATGAGTATCTGTGTGTGTCCCCTAGGAGCCATAATGGGGAGATGGAGAGGAGAGGGGGAAAAAAACAAGACAGGGCTTCTCCAGGCCCGTGGCTGGTCAGCCACACCAGAGCACACCAGCCAATAAACCGAAAGTGTTACAGCCAACATTCTGTGCCAGATACTCTCTGGGACATGGGGGAGGGGACAGCTCCTTCCAGATGTGCAGGCTTGCTGGGTGTCTGAAGCCGGCATGTGGCCAGAACACCTGGCTTCACTGGCTGCCTTTCCCTTCCACAATTCCAGGACCCCTAAGGGTGTGATTTCACACTTGGACACACACACACACACACACACACACACAGCTTATAGCCCTCCTACACAATAAAGAGAGAACATTCTATAAAGAGGCTGTTTCGGGGGAGGAAGGAGGCACATAAAAGGAATTTGGGGTGTGTTTGTCCATCTGGCTTTTCTATCTTGATCTGGGGAAGGAATGGGCTATGGTGTGTCTGGCCCACCAGAAGCCAGAGAACCCACACCAACTAGGACAGGTCCACTAGCTGGCCCCCAGAGCCTGGCTTTGTGACAGTCAGACAGAGTGCTGGTCCCATGGGCCCTCCCTTCTTGGAGACAAGAGCCAGATACTGGCTAGGCAGCCACACTGAGCAAATATTCCAGCTGGCCCCTCTCCCCAGGCAACTCAAGGCTATGTCTTATTCAGCCTTCTCCTTCCTGCCATTGCCCCCTCCCTCCCAAACCAGTGGTGGGGCCCAGACCTGTGCCTCCCAGTGGAAAGAATCCACACTCCTACTGCCTCCCTTCCAGGGGCTGTCCCTCCCCTTTCTCTGCCTGGATCTTACAGGGGAAGAAAGCAGAGGAGGATGTGGAGATAAGGGTCTTCTGCCTGGGCTGGTCACACCCAGATTCTGCAGCTAACTGGCAGCCTGCAACAAGCCCAGTCTCCCTGAGAGCTTTTAGTGGACTGTGAGTCTTCTGTTGCTGGGGCAGGTGTTGTGCCAGATGCTATCTGGACTTAGGGATCCACTCCCAGGGATCGGTGTGGCATGGTGGACCTGTATCAGCTTTTTATGCAGAAAGCAGTAGTAGAAAACACAAAGGAAGCCAGCAGCTCCCTTGTCAGACAGTGGGCCTCCCCTCCAGGCCTGACCATAGGTGAGGCACTGAAGCCCTGCCAGGAGCAGGAGATGCCTAGAGGGGCCACTACATACCCTTCCAGGCAGAGATGCTCAGGACAGCCTGGAGGGCTATGAGCAGAATAGAAGGACCCCCAAATGATGGGAGGTACATGGGCACCTCAGCCAGACAATTTGTCCATTAACTCGGCATTGACTCCTCCATGGCAGAATTTGTAGTCAGTGTCCACAGCTCTCCATTCTAGTCCTCCAGGTTCTTCCAAATCTAAAAGGACAACAATCCCAGCTGGAAAACCATGTGCCCAAAGAAGCCAAAGTCATAATCCTGTCCAGACTGGGGCTTCAGCCCACGGAGATGAATCTGGTCCTCCACCCAAAGGGAGGCCTTATGCAAGCAGCAGCATCACAACTAGAGGCAGGTGAGGATCCACCCACGCAGCCTCCCTGGCACATGTGCCTGGACCATCATCCTGGCAAACTGGGACTCCTCTGAGGATTTGGATGAGCCTCCTGGTCTTCCCTGGGCCCATCTTCAAAGGAAGCTAGGAGCTGTAGCCTCTCAGGTCCAGGGTAGGCCTAGCAGGGGGGATTTGGCGCCAGCAGTAAAAGGTGCATATCATCTTGGAGACCCCCCCCATCCAGATGGAAACACTGTTGGAGGCTATTGTGCAGGACCAGAGCCTCAGTGTGAGCTCCCAGGCCATTTGAGGAGTGTGTACGGATGCAGATCTTAAAGACCAATGAGCAGATTCTCTTTGCAGATCGCCAAGAAGCAGGGAGTCAGGCCTGTCTGGATGCCCATACATCCACCCCCAAGTGCTTGCAATCAGACAGCAAGCATCCCAAAGCATGGGTGAGGGGCAGGCTTTGATGGACAGGAATGAGGAGGAGGAAGAGGGGGAAGGGGAGGAATGGAGGGAGGGGAAAACGAGGAGGAACGCTGGAGGGCAGAGGACAGAGAGCACCGAAGGAAGACAAGATGATCGGAGAGGAGGAGGACATAGAGCAGGATGTCCTCAGGGTTGTGGGAGCTGCTCAGAACGCTCAGAGTGAAGCCGTGGAAACTACTTAGAATTTAGTAAATCACTGGCCCAGTCACCTTCTCCTGGTTGCTTCATGGCTCTGGACTAGGCCAACTCCAGTGCAGAACAGGTGAGGCCATGGTCAAGGAGGGTACAGTGGTTCCTCTAAACTTCTCCTAACCTTGAGGTCTCCCTGGGGCCTGAGTACATGATGAGCTATGGAAGAGCCAGAGTGGGGCACCCCAACTCTGCACTCCCAATCTCAGAATCAGGTGGAGAAAAGTGCACCCCAGAGCTTCAGGACTGCCTCCCTGGGAGCACAATTCTAGCCCTAGGCAGAGGGGTCAGTGCAAGCACAGCAGTCAGGTGACCTAGCTCTGCCATGGTTAGCTCTGTGATGTTTGTGAGGTGTCCCCTTCTTGGGCTTCTTTTCCCCAAACCTGTCACTCATCCCCAGCACTCTTACTGCCATGGTCAGAGACATATAAGAAACCCCAATGTTAAGCTCCAAAGCAGCCAGAATGCAGGGGACGTAGCTGTTGAAGCTACCAGGATCCTTAGGAAAGGTGTCCAGGCTTCCAGGGCCAACTATTGGCTGGACACTCAAATCAGGAAAGTTGGGAGCCCATCTCTGCCCCTCTCTTGCTTTTTCTCCTTGTTTCTGTTCATCCCCTCCCCCCACCTGCTTCCTAGAAGTAAAAAGAGCAGATAGCCTGTTTTGAACCCTTGCTCTACCATTGGTGCCTGTGTGACCCCGAATGAGTCACTTAACCCTTTGAGCCTCAGTTTCTTAATCTGAAACCCAGGTAATAATCACACCTGACATAGTTATGAAGAAGGAACAAGGTGACCTTTGAAGAGAGCCTGTCACTGTGTCTGGCAAACAGCATGCTCTTAATAAGAGGCCTTTTCTCCACCAGAAAATTTTCTTGCCCTGGACTGCTCTGTTCCTGGGCCAAAAGTAAGCCTCATACACTGGTTTCCAGTCAGACATTTAGAGCTCACTGCAGATCTTCTTCTGCCAGAGGGCTCAATGTTGGGCCCACAATAAGGAGGGGCTTGTGGGGCAGCAGGGACATAGTTCTGGCCAGCTCGTGGCCTTTCTGGGCACCTCCTGAGTCACACCCTGTTCTTGACTGTCCCTACACACAAGGCTGATTCTGGAATCCGTGAAAAGATTTGCTGCTCCAGTTTGCAAAAATAGTGGTGCCTGACTTGCAGAGTTTTGGGGGAAGAGGCTGGCCAGATGTTTTCCCCAGCATACTGTGAGGCCCCTAACCCAGCCCCCTGATGACCAGAGCTGCCACTCCTGCCCCACACCCTCCCTTCTCCCATCCCGGGACATCTGGTTCCAATCTCTTCCAGATGCTGCAGCCATGCTGTTTTATGGCCAATCGCCTCAGCTCTGCTTCCTGAATCAGGCCTCCCTCCATTTTGGGGGATGGTCCCCTCTTTGTTCCTTTCCTTAGGACCTCTTTTCCAGCCACCTCTTTTCCCAACATGGAGAAGAAACACATTCTAAAGTCAGCCTCCCCCCGACCTCAACTTATGGCAGACTGGGGCTCTTATTCACCCAGGATTAAAAGAACCAAGATGCTAGCTTCGGAGGACAGAAAGAGCAGGGAAGTATGGGTGCACATCAGAGCAGAGGAGAACACAAGAGTTGTATGTGTTGGAGACTCAAACATGCAACCACGTGTTTGTGTTTGATGTGTCTGTGTGTTTGTGCCTACACAGCATAATACCCCACCTGTTACCTAGGGCCTCACCTTCTGACCACTGCCTTGGTTTCCCTCCCTGCCTGTACTAGAGACAGAGCTAACTTGGGTCCCTCAGCTGGATTGTAAAGCTAGCTACAGTCCATGGTTGTCCCTTACCTTGGAGCTCTCTGGGGTCTCCTAGACATTCTCTAACCCCAGCCCAGGGAGGGTATGTTGTGTGCAGGCCAGAAGGAACCCCAGGGCATATTCCAGCAAATGCTTTGGCCCTGTTTCATCTGCCCAGTGCTCCACGCAGCCCAGGCTGGCCATGTGCCGGGAGTGGCCATCTGGACAGAGGTCAGAGAAACACATTCTCTAGGGGAAACTGCATGCTACCCTCCATCTCAGTTTGCTGCCTTTGTCACCAATGAGAGGACTCTGACAGAGAGCCAGTCCCTCCTTCCAAGAAACCTAGAATTGCTCTCTAAAAGAAGACTAAACCTGCTCTCGTGGAGAACTCTGAAAACCCACCCAACCCAGAGACAGGAGGGGAACCCTGGAGTCACTCCCCATCCTGGGAATCTTGGGCTCAAGTGCTGCCCACTATGTCTTTAAGTTAAGCCTCCATGGCATGTGTGACTCCACAGTACCTCCCACCCCCACCCCGCGTTACTCTGGAACTACGCACAGCCTTGCTTAGCTGGAAGAGATGTGGAGACCCTGGGGGAAGCCCACTGTACCTGAGATATCTGAGATGGGGCCAGCCTTTGTCTTACTGTCCAAGGTGGCCCCTGACTAGGGGAGGCAGGCACAGAATATTAAAAAGGGAAGACTCCTATTCCTGGCTTGACATGGGCCTTTTAGCTTCTTTGTGCCTCGGTTTCTTCACATGTTAGGTAGGAATAGTCCTGCTCAGGGCCATTGTGCAGACTAACGGCTGGTATGAAAGCATTGGCCCAGTGTCTGTACCCAGTAGGTCCTAGGAAGTAGTCACCTGCTCTTCAGATTTCCTTCCTATCTCAAAGAAACCATACCCCACAGTTTGATGACACATGTGATCTTGGCCCTGACGCAGGCTATGTTGGTAAGGTACCTCTGACTGTTCTGGAGTGTTTCTACTCCAGCTGAGGACCATTTTAATAAGCCCATAATTACAGCCACAGAAGTGACTCAGATCTGCAACTGAGGAGCCTGCTGGAGGAAGGGACAATCTGGCTCTTGGGAGAGGGAAATCCTTTGGCGCCTGGGTCTGAGCCATGGCAGGCTGCAGTGGTGAACTTCAACAGG